AGCTAGATAGATAGATCGATAGATAGAAAGCTAGATAGCTAGATAGCTAGATAGATAGTTAGCTAGATAGCTAGATAGGTAGATAGATAAGGTGATAGTTACAGAGAAGATAGATAGCTATATAGATTGCTCGATGCTAAATAGCTGGTAGACACTGGATGGCTAGATAGCTAGATAGCTAGATAGATAGTTAGCTAGATAGCTAGATAGGTAGATAGATAGCTAGCAAGATAGCTAGCTAGATAGGTAGATTGATAGCTAGATAGATAGATAGCTTGCTAGATAGATAGCTAGCTTGCTAGATAGATAGCTAGATAGCTAGCTAGCTGGATAGATAGCTAGCGCCCTCCCTCAATCCCCCCCACCCTGTGGGTGTGTTGGGGGGGTGGTGGGGGGGGGGTATGAGGGTTGGGTCCTCATCAAATCCCGCGCCCCCATCCGCTTTTTATCTAATCCCAAGCTTCCGCATCTGTAAATATTTGGGTGAACATGCTCACATGTAGAACATCCCATGCAATCTAATCCCAAGCTTCCGCATCTGTAAATATTTGGGTGAACATGCTCGCATGTAGAACATCCCATGCAAAATGGAAGGTGAACATGCCAAAATGTGGCAAATACCATACAAAATGGAAGGTGAACATGCCCACATGTAGGAAATCCCATGCAAAATGGAAGGTGAACATGCCAAAATTTGGCAAATACCATACAAAATGGAAGGTGAACATGCCCACATGTAGTAAACCCCATGCAAAATGGAAGGTGAACATGCCCAAATGTGGCAAATACCATGCAAAATGACAAATTCAAGTTCCAAACCGTTGCAAACACTAGGCAAATGGTACCAGCCAAGAAATCAAAAAAAAAATCCCAAACCTGCTCAAAAAAAAAATCCTAAAACTATTTCACACCCATTTTATAGGAGTGGGAGGGGCGGTGTCAATGGGCAATGATATTGTAAATACCGTATCATACTGTAAGATATTCAAACATACTGTAATCGAATAAGGAATCAACACTGTTACCCAATCAGTTTTGTGCAGGGTTGAGCCTTTAAAATGGAGATCCAACCACTCTTCTAAAAAATGGTTCCCAAGGTTTTTTTTCTTGAAAGGTGCCAGCCCAGATCCAAACGTGAAACCACATTTTGGGCCTTGGAAATAGCGTGTTCTATTCAATTCAGTAAATTATTTTTCTCCTGATCATTGGGACTCAGAGTGTTTTGCTATCGTGGATAATCTTTTGGAAGTAGTGGTCAGTGTCCGGCTGGGTTTTCATTTTACAGGAGTGGGAGGGGGGAGTGTCAATGGGCAATGATAGTGCAAATTAAATACTGTAACAGAACAAGTAATCAACACTGTTAACGAATCAGCTTTTAGCAGGGCTGCTCCTATAAAATGCAAATCCAACCACTCGTCTAAAAAATGGTCCCGAAGAATTTTTTTGCTTGAAAGGTGCCAGCCCAGATCCAAACGTGAACCACATTTTGGGCCTTGGAAATACCGTTTTCTATTCAGTAGGGTTTTTTTTTTCCTGATCACTGGGACCCAGTGTTTTATCCTATAGTGTATATACTTTGTATTTATGTATTTATTTATATGACGGGTGGTCAGTGTCAGGCTTGGTTTTCATTTGATAGAAGTGGCAGGGGGGTTTGTCAGTAGGCAATAATAGTGTAAATACTGTAACATATTGAAACATACTGCAACCGAATAAGTAATCAACAGTGTTACCCAATAAGTTCAAATCACATCAAACAGTATGTTGATCCAAGTGAAGCACAAATACTTCGGTGTGAAGTGATGCGAATAATTGAAAATAGTAGTGCGTGTATCTAAATCAATAAATTACCAGGATTAAATGAATAAACAAATAAATAAACAAAACAATACACACACACATATATATATAATTATATATAATAGTAATAATTAATAATGATAATGATAATGATAATGATAATATATATATATACATAATTATATGAATGTTTCTGAGCCTGGCCATGCTGAGGCACAGCTCCACTTGGATCAGCTCCTATAAAATGCAAATCCAATCCCCCCTCTATAAAATAGTCCCCAAGTATGTTCTTTTGTGGAATGGTGCCAGCCCAGATCCAAAAAGTGAAACCAAACTTTGAGCCAGCCTTGCAAACCCAGTTTTCTATTCTATAGGGGGGTTTTCTCCTAATCACTTGGACGCAGTTTTTCATTCTATAGTGGATAATTTGTTCAACGTGACGGCCAGTGTGAAGCTGGATTTTAATGTATTTTAATTTTATAGGAGTGGCAGGGGGCTGTTAACTTGGCGGGGTTTCCATTTTATAGGGAAAATCCCCCCTCGTCGGGTTTTCGATTCAGTTAACTGAACACCCAGGTTTGGTTCGAATTCCAACAGGGATTGAACTCATATGAACCATCAATGCTACTGTCGTCGCATGTTTTTCCTCTGGGAGAGGGATCAAAAAAAACAAATATAACAAATAGGGATCAAAAAAAAACAAACAAGGATCAAAAAAAAACGAGAAAGGAAGGAAGGAAGGAAGGAATGAACCAAATCCCCATTCCTTCCTTCCTTCCTTCCTTCCTTCCTTCCTTCCTTCCTTCCTTCCTTCCTTCCTTCCTTCCTTTCTCGTTTTGTTTTTTTTGATCTTTGTTTGTTTTTTTTTGATCCCTATTTGTTTTGTTTGATCCCTAGTTGTTTTTTTAATATATCTATTTGTTTTTTTATCCTCTAGCCTGTTGTGGCCATGAGGCAATGAAGAGTAAAAACAAATCGTGCGTGTTCTGTTTCAAGTGCATATGCTGAGTTGATGTACTGTACTACTATGATTGTACCGCTATGTAAATCCATGTGACTATGTGTTGACTTTGCGCTCCTTTGCAGGCGGCATTTCTGCGGTTGTTTTTGCTCAGCTGGATCCTTAAGACTCTTGGGTTGCTGTCTCGAAGTATCTTGTACAGGTTCGGATTAAGGATCGATGCGGTATGTAGTATGGCGAAAGATTGCTAGACAGCCGATAAAATTCACAAACCAAAAACTACGAAGTGCCAAGAAAATCAAGAGAGAGAGACAGATCAGACAGTCTGTGCACATCCATAATTTGACATTTGACTGTGCTCGCTGCAAAGGCTTCGGCCAACAAATGGTTCAAATGGATCGCTTGCCGTTGACTCCGTGGTCGTAACGAACAAAGGCTGTGGCTATGCCAAAGACATGAGTTTGGTTCCTAAGGCTGGGATGGAATCCCTTGACGCTTGATGATGATCTTGATATTTTGATATATTTTGATGATCTTGATGGTTGTAGTGCGTTCATTATGTTTCTTGGCGAAAACAAGAGCATCATTGGACTCGTTGGACGTGGATGCAACAGTATGAATTCTCAAGAAGTATTTTTATTCCGTTGTTTTGAAATCGGATGTGCAAATAGATATTGCATTCACAGTTTTCATGCAAAGCATCCAATGTTTTGTTCAATAGTTGCATTTTTGCTGCCTTCACTGTTTCGCACAGAAAAAATATGTATGGTTCTTGATTCATCCTTCCCTTTGGCATTTGCCAAAGTATCTTCTCTTGCAGCAGGTCCCAAATGTTCAAAGGATGTATTTTGGTACCTACCTAGATAATTTTGAAATACTGTATAATCATATGCTATAATTTTACATAATCCCCCCAGTGAAAATTTTATATCTGTATATGAATAAATAAATATATATATATACATACTCACTATCTATCTAATCTATCTATCCATCTATCCATCTATCCATCCATCCATCCATCCATCCATCCATCGATCCATCCATCCATTTATCCGTCTATCCATCTATCCATCTATCCATCTATCCAGCTATCCATCTATCCATTTATCCATCTATCCATCCATCCATCCATCAATCAATCAATCAATCAATCATGTATATATGTATATATATATATATATACTATGGGCCATAGTATATATATTACGTTATTAATTCAATTTCTGTAATGTAAAAGGAGTGGCTTTCATTTATGGTGTGTTTTGTACTGTTTGCTTGCTTCTTGAACGTGTTTGACTCTATATATATACACAAAAAATGGTAACCACACTCGCACCTATACAATATGCAGCAACTCCTAGGTTGACAATGTCCGATATGTCCGCCCAAGACCGTCAAAGTATAGTTATTGTGTCGTTCTGTATGTTAGATAAACTATGATGTCCTATGATGTCCCTTGTTTCAATGTTTCAGATGTTGTCCCATTTTCTCCGCGTTATCCTGGTATTCCGTTCTAGGCTTGGAGATGTTGTTCTTGATAAGTTTTCCTTGCACGTTATTTGTAATTAGGGATAGCACATTTAGATACTACCCTTCTGGTTCTCTTGAAACAACTTGTGTATCACATAGATCTCCTTCAAGAGTTTCGGATTGAAATGTACTAGTTTTATTAACACACTTTAATCCGAAATTCATCAATCAAATCACATCACCTTTCTGCCCACTACAATTCTAATCCCTCCATGTGGTACCGTATCCACGGATGAGGTGCTTTGCGACAAAGCTCTTCCCCTAACAACTAGCACTGAAAACCATAGTCATAGAATATTATATTCTGTGGGACTAATCAGGGCTGGCGTCTCAAAGCATTGCACGGCCGTGCCATGCAATGCTGTGTGAGAGCTTCGCTCCGCAGGTTGTGCTGCCGGCTCTTCGGCGAGAAGGAATTCTTTATCCAACGGGACCAAACCAGAGACATGTGTTTTAGATGTTAAAGCAGACAGAGGGTGTTTACAGAAGCAGTCCACTGCGTTTGCACAGGCTGAAAAGAGTATGAATCGTCGGTAGTCGGGGGGTGGATACTTTAAACATCTTTAAACCTGCTGGGACTGGACTAAAGGGTTTTAGTCGCCTTGCATCATGTTCCTTGTGCAGCTTGACTCTTTCATTCGAAGGGCTAGTGGTCAAGTGGCCGGAGTGTGAGAGGAATAGACGTAGACTCTCAGGGTTGACTGAGGCAGACTTGAAGATGCTTCGTGCTCCGAACCTGACTGTCCAGCTAACTCGGCCTGCCCGTCTCGCGCGCATGCGGGAGAAAGAGGCTTTGCTCGGCATTTGTGTGTGAGGTAGTCAACTGACTTACTATTCATACCTTTTTCCAATCAGCCCAAATCAGCCCCCATAAAACAAAGTCATACACACACGCACCCTTGGTTTGATGAGGAAGCTGTTGCTGTTGCAATGTGAACCATTGTGATGCTGATGATGCACAATTGACTTGATGACGATAGCACCGCGACCTGCTTGTAATGGGCAATGGATATGACAATGCTGCGGAGAAGCAAAGCTGTTGGCCTTGCCAGTTATTTGGGAACCATATGGTTTGCAAGAGGAAACTTGGGGAGAAAAAACATTTTGTGCCATTTATGTTCAGAAGAATGTGTTCAGAAGAATGCTTCGACCTTGCATAGGCCCCTCCTGATCAATTGAAGAGCGGCTGAGCGGCATTGTGCTGTACTTCTTGGATTTGCCAAAAATGCAAAAGCGGGAGTATGCAGTATGTAGGAGTGCTGTCTGCATCCTCGTTTGTTCACTGTCACTCCACAAACTTTTGGGCTCCTAACATTTGGCATTTGGGCGAGTGCAAAACACCTTCAGACTTTAGAGCGTCCAAGCCTTATCAAACCTTCAGGCAAGATGACAAATCTTCTTCCACCGTTGCTGGGAAGCAAGTTGGCCCATGACAGTGGCACCAGCTGGCACCACGTTGGCACCACTAATCTCCAAATTCCTAGAAGTGGACATCACTTGTCCTTGAGACTTGTAGGTTCAAACTGACTGTAGAAGAAGGAACATGAATGAACCGAATGTTCTTTCTAAGACATCAGCTGAAGCTATTATTTCTGGTTGACCAGTTGTGCTGGCAAGCTTGGTTTAGGATGTCCTTTCCAGAGTAGCTCTCTTGTTCTGAGGTTTCTTCTTCCTGTGTACAATGCCAAACTTGACCGCCTGGTGCGGACCTAGACGGGTATGGTTCTTATCATATCTATTCATATCTGATGAAGTTACCAGATGGTCTCTTGCAATATGTTCCAATATTTATTGTACATGAGAAGAGCTTGATGTTTATGTCACTCGGCATTTGGCTGTGTAGCCAGTCAGCGGAAGATGAGACATAAATGCTGTATAATACAGTATACTACAGTATAATACAGTATAGTATAATAGAGTAACAAGCTGTCAGAAACTGTCAGAAGTTTAGGTCTGTTCAGCTTCTTTGCCGTCGGATATGGCCTGCCTGGGAAGGTGCCAGATCAGAGTTTGCCTTTGACACCAGATCCAACGCCACCAGAAGAGGGAAGGCGTTTGGACGAGGTTTTCGGCACTGGAAGGCCTAAGTGCTAGCTGCTAGCATGATGTTGCTGAGATGCCTCAGATTGGTGTGGATGTATAATCATGATTAATCATGTGCATGTCATTGGTCACCAGCGCATTGCCAAGAGCCATTGGCTGGCCATGCCTTGTATGTCATGGTGACAGCCTTGTCTCCGCATTGCTGATCAGATTCTTTGCTGATCAGTTTTGCACAGGATTATGGATTTGGATATATATATATACATACTCTATATATATACTATATATATATATATATTTGGATCGATTTTTACTGATGATATAGAATCTATTGATGGGATGGCGCATTGCAGGCAAGTGGACCGATTTCGGGCTGACTTTGTTTTTGCCGAGCTCCGTGGATGTGGTGGATTTGGTTTCTATCGGTTTCGATTATTTTTGATGCAACTTTTGAATTGGCTCTCAATATCTCTCAATGCTACACAGTACCTTAGATTCCCTTAGATGTCACTTATCTTTTGATTGAAACGCCTGGGAAACTCGCAAGCTCGTTTGGCCATAGCAGGAAACGCTTGCATCAATCTTGATGGAGTGCATCAATCTTCAAGTCAGTATTCTTGCTTGTGAGGTTTGATTCGACATATGGTCCGGTTGGAATCTCGCCATTGGAGCGAGAGCGGCAACTCTTCCCCTCGGACTATTTCCGACTCATGGCCTCTGGTGCTTTAGCAAGTGTGGTGAGGACAGAAAGCTCATGACAGTCCCCATCCAACTGTTGCCGTCTATCCTAGCTAGCAGATGCTAGCAGAAGAGTGTAAATTTCATGGAAGTTTGCCTTGCTGAATTGGAAGATATTGGAAGGCTGACGTGGCTTTTGCAAGCTAAGAAAGCTATGCTTATGATGCGCTTCTAGATTCCACGTCCCTAAAGTCAGGTCAACATAAGCCAGCTGTATCGGTGGTATCAAGCAGTGCTTTTGCTTGTTGGATCTTTTGGGAGGACAATCCTCTTTCTGCCAGTCCAGACTGTGAAGGTGCGCCAAATGCAACAAGATGTGGGGTGAAGTTTTTGTTTTTGAACAGTGTTGCTGCAAGGTTTTGCATCATACATTTCTATACATTTCTGCATATCAGATGTTCACTTATCTTTGGTCTGGTTTTGTTTGGGGAAGTGGGGAAATCTTGAGTTCTCCCCCTACACCAAAGTCTTTGATTATTTTGTTTCGAGGTTGATGATGCCTCTTTGGAAGTACTGAGTGCAGGTCATTTCAGCTGTTTAGTTTTTATCCAGGGGGTTATCACCCCGGGTCAGATGTCAGGATTGAATCAATCCTGATGCCATGTTGGCTGGGCTCCCACCACTCCCACCCTGGTTTATCCAGGGGTTCCCCCACAAAAAATCATCCTTCAGAGTGATCACTCTGTGCTCATCTGTGCTCACAGGATCAATTTCAATCAATTTCAACAGATCCAGTTGTGTTTGATGGGGGAGATTTGGCGATCAAGCTGATGGTCCGATGTGTTTTTTCAACTATTTGATGGTCCGATATGGTCCGATGATCCTGGTAGATCAACCAGTTGTCACATCCATCCCCATTTACCAACGTCGTTCGGGGATAGATTGAAATGAAAGCGTTGCATTTAGGGCGGGCATGTGATCACATGGACGTTGCGAGAGCTTGATTGTCATGCATATTCCTTGGTTGGATTGTCACATGTGTTTTTTGCATTTGTTTGAATGATTTTGTTAAAGTTACCGAAATATGAAAGCCTACATGACATGGGCGAAGTCAAGTGCCATACACTGACGGCATGACACCATAAACTGCCATAAACCATGAAACCATCGCATGAAACCATCTACTGACGCTTTAAGCACCTTCACCGTTGACTACAGAGGGCATCCTGCTTGTCTCGAGTTTGTGCGTTTGCTTGTTCATCATGCTATTTAGCAGTATGTAATAGTATATAATATATATATATAATTATATATATATGTATGTATAGCAATGTTTGCTGGCATGGTTGATGTTTGTTCGTTCTGTCTTCAGTTCGTTGATTGCAAAAGAGGCAAAGAACTGGTTGACTCAGCAACCAAATGACTGACTAAACTATGCTTATGACATTAACTATGCATATATAATTTGTAGGTATATATATATAATTATTCTTAGTGTTTTGCATGTTTGTCTTTCAAATTTGTACTGGGGATCGCATGTCGGTGTCCCTGGGCGATCCATGAATTTCATCCATTCACCGATCGTTTGTCGTACTTCATCCATACGTCTACGTGTCTGTTCTCAGATATGATCATTGTCATGTACCATACCAAAAATACCAAAAAGCGCACAGCAAACTGAGGTCCGCATGCAGACAAATCCTGATCTTGGACAAAGAGGCTTCATTCCTGCTTTGAAGTATGTCGCAACGCCCTCTGGCAGCTGGGGAAGATTCTATATTATGTTTCAAATTGAGGGCTATAGTCTCACCCATGTCCACCTCAGAGATGGCGTATGGACCGGCATGGAAACCTATGGCAGTATTTGTCGCTGCTTCGGCCCGCTGTATTATTTGGTCCTCCTTGTTCAGACGTCCTGATGATCTGATGACCTTGTCGCAGCTAAGGTCAGAGCCGAGCAGCAATCTGTTCCGTGGCATAGTGCCCCGGTGTGCGGTTTCTGTTTTTCAACCCGACCAGACTATGATGACTATGATTACCCTAGTTCAGATGCCCCACTGTGAATCAGGATCGGTCCAAACATTAAACAGACATAATGACATAAACAGACGAATTATATATGTGTTTCAATTTGTTCAATCACGTTTATCACAGATCATGAGCCCCAAAACAACACAGGCTGTGGATTCGTTTAAAGATCAAAGGCATTCAAAGGTTATGAAATGTTTCAAAAGAGGACGTGGAGTCATGATAGGTACGTAGGTAGGCAACAGGAAAACAGTCTCTCTTTTTGCTCGAAGTGCAGTGTGTTGACGTTGTCGTGCCACAGCAATCTATTTGCTGCGCTGCTTTTAGGCGCTTTTGAGTTTGCTTCTGGTCTGTCCGATGGAATGTATCTTATAACGAATTCAACATGTTACGTTCAAACAGTCCTTGAACATTCCTGTTGCAGAATTTCAGGGTGTTAATGCCCAGGATTGTTTAAACTTAAAACGAATCCTGGTCGCAACACGTCGCACCCTTGTTTTTGAATTTCTGCGCCTTCTTGAGGATGTTGCTGTGATGTTCTCAGCCACATTTGGCTTTTTCAGCTTCGGCATCAAGGACACGAGTGCACGCCGTGTACGCATCATGTTTATCAAAAAAAACGTGCTATGCGAACTCAAAACCAGGAGTACCTCTCCCGAGAGCTTGTGTTGCTTGGATTTGTTGGGTCAGACGATCAGCTTGCCTTTTTCCGACCGTCTATCAAAGTAGGGTTCAAGCTCGAGTCAGAATGCTTTTGTATCCTTTTGTGCTATATATATCTCTAAGATTCTCCAAGCACGCTCGGACTGCAGTCTTAAGGATCCAGTTTCCTGGTTTGAATGAGCTCTTTGCGGTTGTTTCTCGGCTCTCAAGTGATATCTATCCGTGGTGCGAGCTGAGTGTCATCTGAGTGTCAAAGCTGCATTTGTTTGACACTTGGTGCGTCCAAGATCCTCGCTAGCATCGCCAGCGTCGTTATCACCTTGTTCTTTGCCACTCCGTGGGAGGTACTGAGCTCTGGCTGCATGACACATGCGCGCGTGACATCAGCATTGAACAGCATTGTAGATATTTTTTAGATTGCTTTTGATCTCTTTGTTTTGCATAGTAACAGTATAATTATTTTATTTCAATTAAGCCACAAGAAATTGTTTTTCCTAGGGGGTTGTCCTACAGCACTTTTGCGAAAGGGAAATTGCTCCGCGAAAGGTTGCAAAAGCTCGTGTTGTTGCTTCTTCATGACATGTTCGTCCATGGTTGTGAATCTTCAGAACAAAAAGGAACGCTCATTGTAACTGACTATGTCATATAAAACGGGCAGGTTTGGGCACCCAAAGTTCCCGAAAGAACCGCGAAAGAGCCGAAAAAGATCCACGAAAGAGCCGCGAAAGATGCAATGGGGCAAGTCCACCCTGCAAAGTCTCCACTCTTAAAGGCCATATGTTTATGGTGAAAGGCCCGATATATATGTCCTTTCTGCTTTCTTTTCCTTTCCTCTTCCTCTCCTTCTACTCTCTTCTTTCCATCCGCTCTCTTCTTTTTCTATTCCTTTCCTCCTCAGATGAGCGGATGGGCAAACACATTGCCAATGCCAGACTTAATCTTTCTCAAGTGACTACAGGCTTCCCCCCACCAAGAAAGGTCCGCGAAAGAGGTTGTTGTAGCATGGGTTTCACGAAAGCCACCGGGATCCGCGAAAGACCCTTGTAGGTTAGCATGTATTTGTTTGGTCATTTTTTTTTCAGTAAATTTTGTTGTTTCTGATATTTTGCAAAGGTTTCGCAGGCGCATGCTGGACTAAAAAGAAGTTTGCTCGGGATGCATTCTGAAGATTTCTGAAGCCAATAATTGCGAACATGGGCTGAGGACTACCAAAATTATGGCTAGCAATGACCGCTATTGGGGATTTGGGCTTCTCAAAGATTTGGTGGCAAAGAACTTCCTAAAGGCAGGACATCGATCATGATTGGCTGGATGTGACAGGATACAAACTTGATGAAACGTGTTTGTTTATTTGGCATGTCGAGATGTGCTACTTGTTCAATCGAAATTAATCGGAGAGCATTCCTGAAGCGAAGCAAGAGAAGCTCAAATTTCTTTCATGTTGGTGCTTCTAAGCTGCATCAAGCTGCCTTTGCTATCACGGGACGAAATTATATAAATTAAATGAGGCCGCCCAGGAGCTGTATGAGGAATATTGGCTTTTGACCAGATGCTTGGACAGCTTGGACGTCTTGGATTCAGAGGTGTCGTGTTTCCAATTAGCATAATTCACTGTGGTATTCTAGAGGTGTCCGTGGATAAGTATTTTATACAATGGAATTGTCTTCCCAGGTCGATGGTCAAGTGGATTCAAAAGGGAGGGCTAATTATTTTAGGATTTTTTTTTTGATCAGGTTTAGGAATTATTTTTGGATTCCTGCTTCTCTGCTTTTCCTGCTTTTCCTGCTTTTCCTGCTTTTCCTGCTTCTCTGCTTTCCTGCTTTTCCTGCTTTTCCTGCTTCTCTGCTTTTCTGCTTTTTTGCTTTTCTGCTTCTCCTGCTTCTCTGCCTTTTCTGCTTTTTTGCTTTTCTGCTTCTCCTGCTTCTCTGCTTCTCTGCTTTTCTGCTTTTTTGCTTTTCTGCTTCTCCTGCTTCTCTGCTTCTCTGCTTTTCTGCTTTTTTGCTTTTCTGTTTTTCCTGTTTCTTTGCTTCTCTGCTTTTCCTGTTTCTTTGCTTCTCTGCTTTTCCTGCTTCTCCTGCTTCTCTGCTTTTCTGCTTTTCCTGCTTCTTTGCCTTTCTGCTGTTTTGCTTTTGTGCGTTTCCTGTTTCTTTGCTTCTCTGCTTTTTTGCTTCTCTGCTTTTTTTTTTTGCTTTGCCTGCTTTAAATACTTGATTTTCATGTAAGATGCATTTTGCACAGTATTTACATCCCTGAGTATCACATGACCAACCTTCTCTTGAAAACTAGCAACGTAACATGTGAGAAGAGGTGCTTGCATTCTGCTTTGAGGGGAGGCGCTGCGCCCTCCCCCCAATCCCCCCCCTCCCGCTTTTTTTAATTTAAACTTAAACCCAAGTTACATTAGTTGGTTTTTGCGAACTAACCTTCTCTGGAAAGCTGACAGGTTTACATGTGATAGATAGATAGATAGATAGATAGCTTGGTAGATAGATAGCTAGATAGATAGCTAGATAGATAGATAGATAACCAGCTAGATAGATAGATAGCTAGAGAGATAGATAGCTAGATACCTCGATAGATAGATGGCTAGATAGATAGCTAGATAGATAGATGGCTAGATAGATAGCTAGATAGATAGATAACCAGCTAGATAGATAGATAGCTAGAGAGATAGATAGCTAGATACCTCGATCGATAGATGGCTAGATAGATAGCTAGATAGATAGATGGCTAGATAGATAGCTAGATAGATAGATAGATAGCTAGCTAGATAGATAAAGAGGTAGCTAGATAGATAGCTAGATAGATAGATAGATAGATAGCTAAATAGATAGGTAGATAGTTAGCTAGATAGATAGATAGCTAGATAGATAGCTCGATAGCTAGATAGCTGGATAGACAGCTGGATGGCTAGATAGATAGATAGCTAGATAGATAGAAAGCTAGATAGCTAGATAGCTAGATAGATAGTTAGCTACATAGCTCCATAGCTAGATAGCTGGATAGACAGCTGGATGGCTAGATAGATAGATAGCTAGATAGATAGAAAGCTAGATAGCTAGATAGCTAGATAGATAGTTAGCTAGATAGCTAGATAGGCAGATAGATAGCTAGCAAGATAGCTAGCTAGATAGGTAGATAGATAGCTAGATAGATAGATAGCTTGCTAGATAGATAGCTAGCTTGCTAGATAGATAGCTAGCTAGATAGCTAGATAGCTAGCTAGCTGGATAGATAGCTAGCGCCCTCCCTCAATCCCCCCCAACCGCTTTTTATCTAATCCCAAGCTTCCGCATCTGTAAATATTTGGGTGAACATGCTCACATGTAGAACATCCCATGCAAAATGGAAGGTGAACATGCCAAAATGTGGCAAATACCATACAAAATGGAAGGTGAACATGCCCACATGTAGTAAATCCCATGCAAAATGGAAGGTGAACATGCCAAAATGTGGCAAATACCACACAAAATGGAAGGTGAACATGCCCACATGTAGTAAATCCCATGCAAAATGGAAGGTGAACATGCCCAAATGTGGCAAATACCATGCAAAATGACAAATTCAAGTTCCAAACCGTTGCAAACACTAGGCAAATGGTACCAGCCAAGAAATCAAAAAAAAAAATCCCAAACCTGCTCAAAAAAAAAATCCTAAAACTATTTCACACCCATTCAAAAGCATCAGCAGATGGACTTTGATTATATACATATTACCTGACATAACCAAGAATGGTGTCAGGTTCACAGATTAAAAAGAATGGAAGGCAATCAAGCTTGGCAATGGCCCTCACAAAGCGTTTTGATATTCAACGATTCTACCGACTGTATAGTAGTGGACCCATCATTCGCGTTGGTGATCGGTGCATTTTCTTTGACTCATGTGCCTGATTCCCAGTGACCTAGTTCTTTAAGCTGACACAAGCAAAACAATACAAAACTGTTTATCTCTGGTCCTTGTCCGGCAGTCTAGACAGGTTTCATGGCAATCAAAAGCGCAAAAAAAAATGCATTAAAGCGAATGAGAAGGTAGCAGTACAACGATGTACAACGGAGATGACGATGGAGAGCGAGATACGGAAATTGAGAAAAGAGAGGAAGAAAGACAACAGAGATTGAGATGCCACATGATGCCACTGTAACGAGAAAACACACAATTCTTCGCTTTGAGGCAAGGAGCTTGCCTTTGTGACGACCAAGTTCTTAATCTTCGACTCTTTGCGTGTCTCTTGGCGATATGCACTTGAAGTGGGCCCGTCCCCTTTGCGAGTTTGCTGGAACCTTTATAATCGTCCTTACAAGCTTGAAATCCTACAGCACAGAGGCAAAATATATCAAAATATGGCAAAATCATTCAATTTCAGCTTATTTCTGACAGCTCAGTACCGTCAGGAAGCGTTGCTATTCTTCGTCCCAGCCTTTGTTGAGGTGGAAGCTTTGCAAGTTCACACTCTTTTGCACTGAATAGCAACATTCACACACCTGAAATCACACATGGTGGCCGAAGTTAAAAATTGAGAGCCAGAGGTCGTGTGCTGTTTAACATTGTTTAACGGCAAAAGTACACAAAAAGTAATTGTTGTATCCTGTCACCTTCTTGGGCAATCTTTTTTGCATGCTGGGCTGCCGTACACCACAGTGAGATTTGGAAAATTGATGTCAGTTGCCCGCCTATTGGTCCAATTCTGTTGGCATTCATTGATTGCTTTTAGTTTTGTCTTTTGTGAGGCGCAGCCGTTGTTGATAGCTTGCCTTTGCGGTGCTTTAGCTGGAGCCTGTGGAGCGATAACATCGCATCCCATTGACACACTCTTTGCGCTCCGAACAACAGGTGTGTCACTCATTCATGCAACGATAAATCAGACCCTACAGACATCTACCAAGTAAAACCCCACACCCAAAATTTCAATGTTGAACAAAACTCTATCTAATTTCCTCTGTGTTCAGGGTTTTATTTTTTTGTCCACCGGTGCCAAGCGCGCAGCCCAAAGACAACATTGAAATTTGGGGGTGCGGGGGTTGACAACAATACAGCAAGGATTTGATTTCGTCGCCCATCTACGGTATGTCAGACATGCAAAATGTATCAAAATGTCGTGTGTCATAGAATTGGATGATGGGAAAATTTACAGGAAACCCCTATATTTGATGGTAAAAACCATGGTTTCCTGTAGATTTTCCCTTAAACCAATCCATTGAGTGTGACATTGAAGAGGGGCCGAGCTTTTCGCATAAAATTGTGAATAGAAAGCTGAAGTGACCTGAAGTGACCTGAAGTCAGAGGTGGTGGCAAAGATATCCCAAGCCTTGACAAGCTGTTTCGAGGACTCATTGACGACCAATGCACTTTCGACTAAGCATATCGGCAACTCTGGTGCGTGGTGCACTAATTCTTTTTAACTGCAGGTGCTGATTTTGTTGTTGACTTTTATTACAAACTTTTGTTCTTCTTGCGGGAGTTCTCATCATTTGGTTGGAGGAAACAGAATTCGGGAATTTAGGACGTCAAGAAAGAACTTGTGTAGGATGCTTGATGCGTGTTGCCACACATGCAAATGTGTAGGAGTTGGGGCCAGAGTGCTCATTTATTCACCTGGCATTGCGTTGACCTTTTTAGTGCAGCTTGGATCCGGGATCTCACTCCTGGTGTTGCATAGTTTAATAGTTGTATATTGTCAAAATATGTTAATTACATTCAGTAGATACAATTCAGTAGACTTGCCATGCAATGCGTGTATATGTTTTTGTTTGGCGTTGCAAGATACAATATATACATATATATATATAGTATAATATGTTAATTATATTTTATGTATATATATATATACACATTACCAAACATCATATCGAATTACATTTCACTTGTGAATTCAATTTGCATGGCATTGCATTGCAGCACACTGTCAGTAATTACACTGCATTCCATTCCATCACAGTATATACACTATGGTATGTTACAAGCAAGTGAATGCATGCGGATGCGTATACTATAGATATAGATATAGATATAGATTATTCATAAACACATAGCCAGGTTCAACATACATAAACCACGGATTTCACTGTAAATATGCGTATTATTGAAATTTACATGTACAAAATTGGATAAATACATTGAATGCGTGTTTCTATTCGCACAACTTTTTTTGTCCACTGCTGCCGGACATATAGAATCATCCAGTAACAGCAACAGTAACAGTAACTAATAATCGCTGACCCTTCTGGAGTCGCCAATTCACCGAGGTACGATGCTGCCAAAACATATTTGGGAGTTGGTGGCAGCGCCTTGATGCAAACCTTGGACTTGCTGCGGCCATAACTTGCCGGCGAAGATGACTTGTGATGAGTCGTGATGATTCTGCGCTTCACTGTGTCTAGCGCTCCTAAATTCTGGCGCGCTTTAGCAAGCTGTGTGCTGCAAGGGCTTTTTGTTGCCCTTGCTGATCAATTGTTTGATAGTTTTCATATTCACGGGTTGAGCAGCAGAGTGCGTGTCTGCTGCTCCCTTGCTCGCAGTTTGATTTGTTTATTTAAATATATTTAAATAGCCTCACGCATTTCAGCGATCGTTCTCGCGATATCCGGAGATGGGAGGGAGATAGACGCTCGAAATCATGAGCCGGATGCACGTCAGCATGATCAAGGAAGTGCTCATGATTGCCCACAATTAACTGACTCGCCGGTCGTGTTTTGCTTCAGCTAAGTGCTTGCAATTGAATAATACCATCTTTTTCTTCCAGTTTACTGTTTACAGTAGATTTCTCATCCATGCTTGCACTGGTTTTATAGTGATCAAAACATATCAAGACATGGTGGTGGGGTGGGGCACACTTCAAGAACGACTGCATACGCAAATGCACTTCAATGCGGGCAGCAAGGATCCTATGGATTCAGGGGGCATTCAAAGATCATGCTAGAGGATGCAGCAGGGTCAATAGCCCTTTGGCATATTTATTCCAACTTGTGTTTGTGGAGTGGTTAGAATAAGTGAGATGATGGGAGATGAACGTGTTGCTGCTTGCAAGTATGAAGAACTAGGATTCTTTGGGCACACATGGTTCTCAGATATCATCAGCAATGTCATGCTGGTGAGTCATTATGCACGGTGTTCATGGCTGCCAAGAGGTTGGACTGGGAGATGCATCGTCGGATCAATTTTTTAGATTCCTAACGGGAGCTCTCGCTGAGCACATTCTTGCAGGCATGTTCTTAAGACATTAGGCGATTTTCTTTGCATTTTGCACAGGATGCCGCAATTCAATGTGAGGAGATGTGAGGAGCAATAAATGTCGAGATTGTGACAGATTCTACACGTTTTAAGGGTGCCTGCTCTTGAAGGTGCCTTGTGCTGGTGCCGCTCTCACAGCTGCTTTGGGCAAGGATCCTACTTCAAAAACGATTGAGACAGAGTGAGCAACCTATGCAGAACAACATTAACAGTAACAGAGCCTATAGACTCCTCGCAGAGGTTTCTTTCATTGATTCCACATGCACCAGTGGGACCTGTGGACAATTTCACCCTGCAGAACAGCATTGGCTGTGGCTCTTACAGTGCACAGTTGCAAGTTGTTTAGCCTGGGAAATCCTTCGGATTTGTACGGAGTCAGGGTGTTGATGCTTCCCAGGCCAGTCGCCATGGCACAAGAGCCTCACAACGCTTCGAGAAGCCCAAGACGCAGGCATAAACAGCTCATGAATTTGTAGGTCTGGGCCAACAAGATTTCATCGAGAAGAACCCAACAAGTCGTGGAAACCACTTGGGCCACAAGCATGCAGGTGAATTGGACTATTATTACATAGTAGCGATCACTGCCCCTTGCTTGTATATTTGCATAGCATCATCGTATGATGCTGGCAAGTGCTCTGTGTCGGTTTCTTGTGGGCAACCCGTAGCAGCGACACTAATACACACACATGTAATGATTATAATTATATAATTTAAACAGATTTAAACATATACATACAGTATGCATAATTAATATGAATAGCGATCACTCATGATTGTTTAATATTACTTATAGATGCATACATTAACGTCGCGCACACAACATTCTTCCCTTCTTCCCAGCCTAGAGTTGTCGAATCTTTGATTGACTTCCTTGAATCTTCATACATTGGCAAGAGACGGGCATGTGAGCTTCGCATAAGGTGTCCAGGTAAATGTGGTGCATTTGGGTGCCACAATGGCTTCCATCGCCAAGGTGCCTGCTACGGTGCGCAGAAAATTGCACACGGTATCTTCATTTTATATTGGCAAGATTTAGCAAGTTCAAACCAAATCTTCGAATTGTAACAATGCGTAACACACAATTCACCACGATTCTGTACAGGCCAATCGTTTGCTATGTTAGACAGCAAGGTTTGAGTGACATACCTGCCCCAGTTATGCTAGCAATGCTGTCAGCAATTGCTTGCTGTTTGGATGTGGCGATCAGGCCACCCGGTGGGAAGCTGCAGTTGCGCTTCTTAGCGACTTGTCAGCAGAGGAAATAGACCGTTGAACTGTTTGGGTTCAAATAGGCGCAGGCTAAGGCAACCTTTTTTGGTATTACCCACCTGCCAGGTGAGGGTCTCTAGATTTCAGAACTTCCCCACAGCTCCTTGGCCTCTATGGACCCGAACACTATTGCGAGCTCCCTGGGCCGTTACCGACCTGAACACTACGAGCTTGCCAGCTCTCCGAGCCCCTACGGACCCGAACCTTATGCCAGATAGAATGTCGGATAGAATGCCAGAGAAAATGAAAGATAGAATGCCAACTAGCAGATAAAGTCCCAGATAGAATGTCAGAAAATATGTCAGATAAAATATAATATCGATTAATATCGGATAGAATCGGATAGAATGACAGATAACATGTCGATACAATGCCAGATAGAACGTCAACATATATGCCAGATAGGAAAGCCAGATAGACTGCCAGAGACTGCCCGATAAAATGTCGGAATATATGCCAGATGGAATGTCAAACAGAATGCCAGTGGCAACATAGAATGTTAGATGACATGTCAGATGTATTTCAGATGTCACATAGAACGCCAGAGAATAGGTCTGAGATAGATTGCCAGATAGAACATTTGAGGATATGATGTCAGATAGGAATGCCAGATAGAATGCCAGCTTAAACGTCAGATGCAATGCAATTTCGGAGAAGATGTCAGATAGTATGTCAGAATATGTATCAGATAAATTCAGGTAAGATTTAAGATAGAATGTAAGAATCTATGTCAGGATATATGCGACGGTGGGGTTCGCACGAAGGAACATATTGTTTCTTGTTCTGAATTTTAATACGGAATAATATCATATAGCGGATAGAGCGTAACATAAGGTGATTCAATACATTGTCTAATTTAGCATGAGATAATACACTACACAAAATCTTAGAATGCAATATAATACACTATAATACACGTATATGCGTCGAAGCAACACTTTGCACGCTGATAAATGATAAGCGAGAAGTGAACTGTCAGATTTCCAAGGTGATTGGGCGGAGTGTGTCAGCGGCTTAGAAAAATCTAACTCCATAGAATTTGTTGTTTGCCTTTGGTTCCTTGGATATGCAGTAATTAACTGCAGTGCTCAAAGTAACTGGATATCTTTGGTTTGATTGATCTCCTTTCCTAAGATCCAAAGCCTGTTTCTGACATTGATGCTTGGATACTGTTTGACAGCAACATGTAGCAACTCATTTAGTCCTAGGTGACTCCCAACATACTGGTGTTCAATACGCTGATTGCAGCACTTGACAAGGTGCAGCTAAATTCTGTATCGCCACTTGCACTTGTGACCACGGGACAGGAATTGAAGCTTTCATTTTTCCAGTTCTTCCAGTGACGTTTATAGGTACTGTATCAGGCTTGCTAAGGTTCTGCAGCGTCAAGAGCAGGCCAGGACCAGGAAGCTCGATTTTCATTGGCTTTGCATGTTCGTTTGGCTCGGAGCTTGGTACATGGTAAAAGAAGGCACTGAAAAAGCGGCACTTCCTCACTTTTAGGGAATATGTCATATAGAATGTCTATGTATTTCTCCAGTGGGATGCAGTGGTGGCATGTCGTTATGCCATGTTCACTGGCAGATCCCCCAAGCCGTCCCTTGACAGACTTTGAGACTGCATTCATGACGAGTTCTGACATGGTTTGTTTCTGTTTGAATTATTTTGGTATGGCATGATCATGTTATATCATCATATGTCATTTAGAATCATTTAGATTAGTTTAGTTTAATGATATAGAATGTTGGTCCATTTTGTTGTTCTCTCACGTGATCATTTCCTGCACGAGCAATGCTGCAGCCTGCTGTTTTTGCTGCAGCTGAGCCTTTGCTCAGTGCTCCAAGAAGACACAGGCCCGGTATGGTCCAGTCAGCGTAGCAAAGTTTGTGCAAGTTTGGTTGAATCCAGTTACTTTCAGAATTGCTATTGTTTGCTGATCAAGTGGCTGATCAAGTGTTCGCAGATGTTCGCAGAAGCATTTCATTCTGACATTTTGCTGCACATCATACATGATCGTTTGTGTGTGCTGGCCGTTTTGCCTGGAATGTTGGTCGACGATGTTTGGCTCAAGCTTGATGAATCGTTTTATTGCTTTTTAGTGGACTTTAGCGTACTACATCGTACTACATCGTACTACACTTCTAAGCCCATCCACAATGAATCAGGAGCTTGAGAGCTTCAAAGCATTGACTCCAGTTGGCCCCAAGCCAGGTGTGCAAAGGCCAATGCTTTTGCGCGGCAAGGCCGCAAAGCGCATCAAAGCGGAGAAGTCGGCTGTCTTGTGCAAGTCTGAGATTGATGCAAACCTCTTGGCCTTTCAGTTGATGAAGAATGCCATGGCAGAAGAAGCCAAATCAGCAGGAGAAGACTACTTGCTTTATGAGTCTGGTGATGATAGCCTTGATGAAATGGATGATGAAGTGCTGAGCTTGGGTGGTCAGAGTGAATCTGAGGAGGAGGAGGGAGACTTAGTTCACTTGGCATACAACTTTGCAAAAGGTGCCGTCGGGCAAGGAGTGGACATCGACTTTGCCAAAGCAATCCACGATGCATCAGAAGAGATTGCTACCTGCAAGGACTTTGTTGACATCTCAGAGCTGAGTGAGGCTGAGGATGTAGAGGATTTGCGCATGAATGAAGCCGCTGCCTCGGGACGTGAGGGAGCAGCAGGAGGCGAAGAGCTTGAATTGGAAGACGCGGCAGCTCAGGACACATTTTATCACATTTTGGGGATGGAGCTGTGCCTCTGGATGTGTTCCCTTGTATGTAGTAGTATGTATGTAGTTCCCCTTTTTTGGGGGATAGTGTTGGAGCTATTACCACACCGTATATCGACCCAACTTTTTAGGCTGATGGTGTTGTATGATTTGTATATCATATAATATAATGAAATATAATATAATATAATATGATATTGTGAAGTTTGGTGCCGAGGGATTGGTCATTTGCACATCCATGAACCATGGGTTGTGACTGCAGTGCACTGGGCCGAGATTCATTAGAAAAGGCGCGTCGTTCTTTGCATGCCATGGCCATTTGATTTCTTTGAACACCATTTGCAAGCAGCACGCATTTTGGTGAGTTGGCACCGGAGCCTGGTGTCATGTTTTACAACATGTCGGATGGTGGCGATTCAGATGGTGCATTTGATGGTTTTCATGCTAATGCTGCCTATGAATTTGACCTCTTCGGCGATGACTACGAAAGTAGTTTTGATCCTGTTGATCAGCATTTCGATGATCGTTCACCTCCGGATGTTGGACAGACCGATAGCAGATCCAGGGTTAGCACATGTTGGCGATGCTACAGTTGCAATGCTGACAACTATACTTGGTCGACCTCCCACAGCAAGTGGACATGCATGGTTTGTGGCTCAGATGAGTTCTATGATGTGACTCAGCCACGTCGGCATGAGACACAGGATGGATGTTGGTTGCACCTGCCCAAGGCCAATTCAGATGACAAGCAATCGACAATTTCAGAACATGCACCGCCGGATGACTCTTGGAACGGCGACGGCGAAAGGAACGACAGTGAGGGACATACTACTGATCCAATTGTTGATCCTGACACGCTGTCAGTTCAGGGACGTCGACGGCGACGAAGAGCGCGACGAACGAATCAAACACCGGACACGGAAGCGCCACAGTTGAATAACAATACGTCAGCCGGAAACGATCAAATTGTGGATTTGTTAACACAACTGGTGGCGAATCAGAACAAAAAGAGTGACAGCAGCAGTGCATCATGGACATCGAGACAGGGCCCATTCAAAGGGGTTCGATGGCGAGGCGGCACACCGCCATCTCCGCCAGCTTGGAGGAACTCCAACGACCTGAGAGCCTTTGCACGTTGGGAGCGCAAGATCGACGTGTGGAGCATGCAGATTAAGCCCTTCATGCCCATGTCAGATGCTGCATTGATGTTGTTCACTTCACTAACTGGCGAAGCAGAGTTGGAAACAGAACACTTGGACATCAACAAGATCAATTCATCCGATGGCATCAAGTATCTCATGGATTCATTGAGGGAACCCCTGCAGCAGAAGCTGCTTTTCCAGAAGCGCAAACTGCTGGCTGACTACGAACAGATTGCCCGCTACCCCAATGAGTCGGTTCGTCAGTTCTCCAATCGATACGTTCGGGTGGAGAAAGACCTTGCTGCCATTGGAGTCTCTACATCTGGAATGTACGACAGCGAGTCACGTGGCAACCGCCTTCTGGAAAGGACTCGACTGACACCGGACTTGCAGAGACTTGTTTTGATTGGAGCTGGGAACACTTTGGAATTTGATCGGATCCGTGAGTCACTCAATTTTCAATTTCCTGATTTCCGTGCTGCTCCACAAGTGATGGGTCACAACTCTGGCGGATCCTCAAAAGGGAAAGGCAAAGGCACTTCATCGACTTCATCTACGACCTTGTCATCAAGCCCTTCAGCATCCTCGTCCAGTACGAGTTCGGGCTCAGCTTCCAAGTTTTCCAAAGGAAATCATCCAAGAAGGGTGTACCAAGCTGACCACGAGCCTGAGCTAGATCAGATCCCTGAGGAATCTGGTGAAGCCGAGGACGATATGGCTGAAGAGTTTGAAGATGCTGAAGAATATCATCAAGATGATGATGCCGCTGGAGATGATGGAGAACCAGATGACAACCAAGATGATGATGTGGAAAACTTGGCATCGGTGTTGACGGTGACTTCGAAGAAATTAGCCTCAACGGTGCTTGGCAGGAAGTTCACTGGTCGACCTCGAAGCCTTGAAGAGCGAAAGCGGACTTCAACCTGTGCAGCATGTGGCCAGACCGGCCATTGGGCTGGAGATGCCATATGTGCAGCCTCAGCGAAAACCAACTCCAAAGGAGCTGGCAAACAATCGAAAGATGGCGGAAAAGGCAACGCTTCAGGTAAGCATCAGGGGCAAACCCACACCAAGAAGGCCTATGTTGTCAACTTTCCTGGGGAACTACCTCTTGAAGTACCACATTCACCTGGGGAAGGTGCTATATCGGGTTCATCCGCATCATTGGGAACAAGTTCAGCATTGGGGAATCCTTCATCGTTTTATACTTTCACGACTACACATCTAGTTGAACATGACCCCTTTAATGCCTACATCGCCGAAATCATCAACTTTGCCGGGTACATGATTGTTGACACGGCATGCCAAAGATCATGTTGTAGTAGACGATGGTTGGATATCCATAGCAAGATCATGGGCAACTACCGGTTTAGACCCCTCATGGTTGAAGCTTCGGACAACTTCCAGTTCGGCTCAGGAGGGCTGCATGTTGCGAGCAAGCGGGCATATCTCCCAGCAGCATTACCAGGTCAGCCGACTCAGGGTTTACTGCTTGGAGTTAGTGTTTTGGAAGATGCTCAGATTCCTTTTTTGGCTAGCAATGTCATGCTTGAGAAGTTGGGATGTGTCATCGACACGGTACGAGAGCGTTTGCGTTTCGAGTTCATTGGTGTTGACATTCCACTTCATCGAAAACATGGTCACTATGTTGTCAACATTGCCAAGTTCACGCAACATGCACACATGTCAGATGTTTGGAAAATCATGTCAACAGATGAGTTTTTGAAAAGCCCTGATCCTGAAGTGATGATCGCAGCAACTCTTGCACAAGCGAGTGAACACCCAATTCGAGATCCAGCTCATGCAGCGAGTCACCAACGTCCCACCAGAATGGCTTCAGCGCTGGCGGAACTTCATGATCCGCCTGATGACGTTGTGTTTCAGGACACTGCGGAGCATGAGCAGGATGGTGCGACTTCGAATGGCACCACGATCATGGATGACCATGCTGGAACAGCACAACCTGACGTTGGAGTTTCAGGCCGAGAATGCTTCCAGACGTCGTCCAGTCCCAAGTCTTTGCACTCATCCAAGCTTCCGAAGGTATGGAAACAAGGCAGGACGTTTCAGCCAATGCAACGATTGCCTGCTGAAGTACAAGTACAATCAAGAACGACAAGGCTGGGAGGTCTATGGAGAGCAGCCCTCACAGCGCTCATCACAATTGCCACTGCCCTCTCCTTCGACCATCCTGCCATCAACGAATCCGAGAGCCATGGGGTCTCGACCCAAGGCCCGAGCAGCCAGGACAGCTTCGAGGAGCTCTATGGCACCATCAGAGACTATGACACCATGGGAGGAAGCTGGGATGACCTTCGAGGAGTACGATGCCGCAATGACGAGCGCACCTCATCTGGATTCAGACGAACCAGACGGCTATCCACCTTACGACGAGGGCTACGATTGGACATCGATCGCCTGAACGAGGACTACTGGGAGCTTGCAGCCGGATGCTGCATACGGCATCACCTGGTGCCCCGCAATGAGCTCTTTGACCCCTACGACACAGACTGTCCAGTAGCTCTTCATCGTCTACGACAAGTTGGCGCGGCCGAGATTGAATATCAAGACGGCAAGTTGGAGGTGGTGCACTATAATTGGACAAGGAGATCCAACAAGCAGACCTCTTCACCTTGGACTGGCCGCACAGTTTTCCAGTTCAAGGAGTTCAGCAAGAATGACTTGACGAACGCCTGCAAGCGTGGTCTTCTTCAACGACTACGTCATGCAGCGAAACTTCAAGAAGTTGAGAAGGTTTTAATGACCAAGGTCAAACCAAGGTTTCGAAAATCACGAGTCGACCTCCTTGAGACCTTTGCGGGGGCGGCCAACATCAGCAAGCAGGCTTCAGCATGGGGCCTCAAGTCTTTGGAACCGTTGGACTACAACACAGGCTATGACCTTGCCGAACCTGACACCCAACGCCAGGTGACTTCAATGATTTCCAATTACAGACCACTGCTCCTACTGCAAGGAGTCGAATGCGGACCTTGGAGCATCCTTCAGGACAATACCAACTATGTTCACCGCCCAGATGAGCTTGCAGAATGGCGTGAAACCATCCGTCCTATGATCGATCAGGTGGTCAAATGGTGCGAGCAGCAGGATGATGAGGGCCGATTTTGGCTCATTGAGAACCCAGAGACAAGCAGACTTTGGAAGGAGCCTGCTATGAGGAGATTGCTTGCAAGACCATCGACGAGGACGACTACATGCCACGCTGGGGCCTATGGAGCTGTGAACAGCAAAGGCAACATGATCAAGAAGCCCCACACATTTTGGGGCAACTGCCCAAAAATCCTCGAACAACTCGGCGACAAGCTGAATGCCGAGGAATGCAAACTATGTGAACCACTTCAAGGACGAGAAACCACTTTGAGCCAACACTACTGCCAGGGCATGGTTGATGCGATCCTGCTCGGGCTACATCAGACAGCCGCAGAACAAGATCCAATGCGACCACATTCCTATGCAACCTATGCCATCGACTCCAACGAGGTGAACCAGTCTTTGGAGGCTTGGCAAGAACTTTTCGACAAGGCCGAGCAACTGTTCAGACAGACCAGGATGAAGAACATTGTGCTCGCCCAGAGCGACAACTTTTGGCAGGACGTTCGCAGATTGGTCCCATGGCACACCCTTGAAAGGGTACAGATAGCAAAACAGCCTGCCATTCATCGATTTCCAACACATGTGCCTCACACTCATCGAGGTTCGGCATTGCTCTTCAACGACGGCTCCAGAGATGTGACGGTTGAGGACCTGACCGACATTCGATATCCCAAAGGACGATTCCAAAAACCAGTCAACATTGGCATATTCTTCTTTGGCATGGCCCATTCTCCTCAACAAGAACCAGATCAACAACAGCCTCAACCTGCTTCAGTACAACCGCACGTTGAGGATAATCCCATTGCCAGAGCAGATTTCCTTGATAGAGACATCACTTTCCCTGAGAACAAGGACTACAACAACGATACAAAGAACATCGTGACAAGACTTCACAAGAACCTGGGACATCCACCAGCAGCTGAACTGAAGAAACTACTGGCGATGAACGGTGTTTCCAATCAGAAGATCCTTGCGGCCGCAGATGACCTCATTTGCGGTTCTTGCAAAAGGACCAGAGCCCCAATGAAACCCGCACCTTCGTCAATGCCTCAGTCAAACTTCAGACAGTTTGCAGATGCTATCCAACTTGACATTGTCTACATCCGCGACATTACTGGCCAGAACTTCCCTGTTTTGGGAATTATTGATGAATGCACCCATCTACACCAAGCATGCATCCTTGAAAGCAGACTGCCTGAAGAAGTCCTTCGGAAGTTCGTCCAGACTTGGTCTCAACCTTTTGGATTTCCATTAGTCTGCCGACTTGATGCTGATGGAAGTTTTCGAGCAGCCTTCGAAGAACATTTGGACGCCACCGGAACATTTGCTGACTTCGTTCCACCAGAAGCTCACCACAGAATGGGCCTGATCGAACGGCACAATGCCACCTTGAGGGCCATCGCTGAGCGCGTGATTGATGCGCAAGGCGTCGTGGGCTTCAATCAGATGGAAATGGCCATTGCAGGAGCCACCTTTTCAAAGAACTCATGCACTTGGTCTTCCGGACGGCCTCCCTACATAGCTGCTTTTGGACGGATTCCACGACACGGGGGACTAGATCTACTTTCAGACCAACACAGACTTGCAGTTGGATCCACACAGGGCCAGATGCACCAGTTGGCTGACACCTTGAGGGCCGAAGCTCAGCAGCAGATTGCTGCGATGACTGTGGATTCCTCTTTTAGACGAGCTCTTTTGAGGAAAGCCAAGCCAAGCCCCGAGGATGAGTATGTCATCGGCGACACTTTGGCATACTGGAGATGGACTACAAGAAGTGGCAAGAAACGTGGTGGCTACAAATTAGCCAGGATGTTGGGATTTGACCCTGACGGCAAATCCTTGTGGGTTCAGTCTGGAACCAACACCATCAAGCTGGCCCGTGAACAAGCCAGGAAGGCCTATGGTTTTGAAGCTTGGCATCCAGACCCATCAGATCTTCAAGCCCTACGTATGGCATCTGAGAACATCAAGAAGGGCATTTTTGATGACGAGACCATTCCTATTCAGAACGATCCATACCAGGAGCTTGGGAATGATGACCACCTCAAAGAGACCTTCCTTGAACCTGCGCCACTACCAGCTCTTCATCCAATTCAACAACTACAACCTGAACCTGCGCTTCAGGTGGTGCCACATTCTTCAGAACTATCTCAACCTTCTTCAGTACTACCTGAGCTACCTCAACAACCAGAGGCACAACAACATACTCAGATCAACACACAACAAGAAATTAGCAATCAACATCAACAGACCAACATCCACATAGAAGTGACATCACCAACCTACAGACAAACAATTAATCAACAAGCAAACACTTTTGGACTTACACAAGAACAGCTGAGACGCCCAGCTGTGAGAACACCAGTACGCAGAACAAACAGAAGCAGGACACCTAGCAAGAGAAAACAACCAGCAATACCCGAAACACCCGACATACCTGCAGCACCAGCAACACCGTTGTTGGACACACCGCCACAAGCATCACACACACACAGAACACACAGCCAGACACAGCAGTCGTGATATCCGACGACGAGGTCGGCGACACAGCGCCAGTCACACCACCTGGCATTAGCAAACAGGCAGGAACAGACACAGCACCAGCACCTCTAACACCGGCGAAACGACCGCTTGAAACACACACAGGGCCTAGCACACCAAGGTCGCGAACGTCCCAAGCAGCACAGCCAAACACAGAGGTGCAAGCAGAAGCAACATCCAAGCCTGATGCTACAACGTTTCACAATCAGCTTGTCAATATGGCAGCACCAGAATTCAAACAAGCCTACACGGCTAGCATGACAGCACCGAATCAGCACAGCCCACAGCACTGCAAGTTTCACCGTACAGCAACTCAAGCATCGATGACCTACACAACAGAAGGCATCGAACTTAGAGACAAACACTTCGATGGCACCGAAGAGATCTACATGCCACACAAGAGCAACACGTGCTTCAAAGCATACCAGACAAATGCAGAATATCAAGGTGACGGCATCAGCGATGACTCAGACGTATCGCAAGATGACATGTCCACCTCCAAGGCACAACAACCGTCTCTTACACGACAACAACAGAAAGCCTTGGATAAAGAACTGCCGTGGAGGACCATCATGGAACGTGGGGGCGACTATCTCCAGGCATTCATCGACGCCGCCAAAGCTGAGGAGACATCGTGGATGCAGTATGACTCCGTCGAGCCCCTCTCCAAGGCCGAGGCAGACAAGATCATGGCTTCAGCTGAAGGACGAAAAAGGATCTTGAAGTCTAGGGCAGCCTTCAGAGACAAGGCAAAAGGGGCTGGCCCAGTTCGGGCCAAATGCCGAATTGTGGCATTGGGTTGCCTTGATCCAGATCTCTACTCACTGAACAGAGACAGTGCAACGCCAACACGTCAAGCTGAGATGATCATCTATGCCATCTTCATCTCAGGTTACAACAAGAAGATGGGACAAGGAGAAGTCACATGGACACTATGGGCAGGAGACGTCAAGACTGCCTTCCTCCAAGGAGAGCCCGAGCCGAGGCACGCTCCACTATATCTGTCCCCACCAAGAGATGGTATATGCATTGCAGCTGGCGTGCTACCTGCACCTCTATACAGAATCAAGGGAAACATCTATGGGTTGGCTTCAGCACCAAGAACGTGGACAATGCATGTCTGCCGACGCCTCAAGGAATGTGGATGGCAACAACATTCACTTGACAAGATGCTGTTCTTTTTGTACCAGCGTCCAGCCGGCTTCAAGGAAGAAATCCTGGTCGCCGCTGCAATTGTCTATGTAGACGATTTCTTAGTGACGTTCAACGAATATTTCAATCACCAGGAACTCCTCCAAATATTCAACTGGGGTAGTCAAACCACTTTGACCACCGAGAACCACTTGGAATTCAAGGGGCAGGAGATTTACTTGCGCTATGACAAGCGCGGGTTCTATGTCCTGGAGATTAAACAGCAGAAGTTCATTGAGGCCTTCAAGAGCGGCAAGATCAGTGACAAAAAGGATGACCCTTTGAAACCCAGTGATTTCCCAGAGTACCGTTCAGTGGCCGGAAGTTTGCAATGGGTTTCTGGACAGACGCGTCCAGATGTGGCAGCGACAGTAAGCTTGCACAGCAAAGGCAGTAAAGCACAGTACAGCGATTTGCTGGCAATGTATGATGCAGTTGAACATCTGCGGAACACCAAGACCAAGGGCTTCATTATGAACCCCGTGAACATTAATCAGTCCACCATCGTGGTCACCTACTCCGATTCTTCATGGGCGAATGCGGAGAACTATGCCTCACAGCATGGATGTTTGGTGCTCCTAACAGATACGCGCGCTACTGAAGTGGCAACACATGGTTGCCTGATTGACTGGAAAAGCTCAAGGTCAAGCAGAGTTTGCCGTAGCACTCTGGCGGCAGAGGCAAGTGCAGCAGACACCTCAGTAGACCGATCCAGTTTCTGCAATTTGATGATCTCAGAGATCTTGCAACGCATGCAATCCTTTCGAATCACTCTTCCTCTGCGAATGATTCAAGTGACCGATTGCAAATCTCTTTACGATTCAATCATAGCAGAGAATCCGTCCGTAGAGGACAAAAGGACGATCATTTCAGTGCGAAGCATTCAACAATACATCACTGCTGAAAATACCCATTGGGTACCCACACATCTTCAGTGGGCGGACGGTCTCACGAAGTACAGCAAGAAACTGATGACCATTTTCCATGATTGGCTCCAACATCCCTACATTCTTCTCAGAGACCAATCCCAAAAATAAAGGGAGTGTGAAGTTTGGTGCCGAGGGATTGGTCATTTGCACATCCATGAACCATGGGTTGTGACTGCAGTGCACTGGGCCGAGATTCATTAGAAAAGGCGCGTCGTTCTTTGCATGCCATGGCCATTTGATTTCTTTGAACACCATTTGCAAGCAGCACGCATTTTGGTGAGAGATATGATATGATATGATATAGTGCAATATAATATATAATGATATAATATACTATAATATAATATAATATGGTATAATATAATGCAATATATATACTGTATATATATATTCATATGTATATTTCTATGTTGCTCTCTTTTCCAAGTCATTGAGGACCTGGAAGGGCTGGATTTGTTGCGTCAAAAAGCCAAGCAGACTTTGCTCAGTGCAGCTGGTGATGGAAGCCTAGTCGTGGCGTTGAAGGCAGCGGTAGGGGCTCAGGTTGAGGCCATGCAAGTTGAGTCCTTGCGCCTGGAAGCCAGGAATGCTATGCTGAAAGCTGCTGGCAATGGTCGCTTGGCCCAAGCCTTGAAGCAGATGCGCAAAGCTCTTCCTGAAAAACTGGCACACACCGCTGAGCCCCAGGACGATGCTAAGGAAGTGTCAGTGTCTGAGGTGTTCAACGCAAAAGCAGCTCCAAACCCCCCAGGCCAAGAGGATTTTGCCCAAGGTACGGCCCGGGCTCTGAAGCTTGCTTGGTGCATGGCTGGCTCACCAGCACGTAGCCTTCGACAGAAGGACGTCCGGAAGGCTTTGCAAGGTGAACGCTTTTGTCGGCCAAGCCTCCAAGCATATCCATTTGTTGAACATGTGCAAGCAGAGGACAAGAGAGATTCGGAGCCCATTGGCGCACCTGGCAGATCAGCAGATCATTTGGCTGGGCAGCCGCGATTGACCGGTTCTGCTTCAGCGATTTCTTTGGGCTTGAGCCGCGCCAAAGTAGGCTTGAGATGTGTGAATTCTCGCTGCTCTTCCGTTGGATCATTGCGTCCTTTGAAAGTGAAAGGACCGGTGTTACCACCAGCTTTGCCCCCCACTGCTTTCCTCCACAAACACGAACCAGCTGCCAAGCAGGGCATGTGAATGCAGCGCTGCGGATCTTCCCAACAGTCAACAGGAGCTTCTGAGGCAAAGCTTTGCATCCATTTTGCAGGTGGCAGATGTAGTGAGGCTCAAGGCCCAATCCGGCACTGTCCCTGAGCTCAATCCTTTGTGATGTGGGCTCCTGTAGAATGGATACAATCTTTCTTTGATCATGACGAAACATCGTTGAAGACTCTTAGGATTGGACCTGCAAATGCATACTAAACCTGGATACAGTAACAGAAAACTAGTTGATTGAATTACTATAGATTATATATGATTATATAAAATAGATGAATATTTGTTGAATCAGGAGAGACCAGGAACGCATCATTGTGACATATTGTGAGGAGATGTTTCGGCAGCCCCAAATGCTGACTGGAAGTGCGGTGCGAAAATCTAAATAGATGGACGCTTCGCGTGCGAAGCTCTTCTGAAAGTATGCTGACAAGATGCAAACTTCAGAATGCATGTATTGGGATGCCCTAAACTGTGGTCCTGATGAATTCAATTAGCTGAAGCCGTAGAGGTCTCACACTCGGATACGAACGCAGACATGTTGCCTTTGAAAATGATTTCTGCAGCATCGTGCTTCCCGTGAAGCCACACATCGTTCTGAATGATTTGATATGATTTGAGTCTGTCCATCTTGAATATTCACAGGCTCAGTACTCCTACTCGTATGATGTGTGTTTCTTCAAATTTAAAGTTATTTATTATATATTGCGATGCCGATGGCTGTCACAATGCATATCATACTCTACATATATATGATTATATGTACGTGTATATATATATATATATGTAATAAATTATAATAATACAGATGGAAAGATTATATATATATATACTGTATATATATATAGTAACGTAGTCCGCGTTTTTTCAACTAGCACCGGCAAAGCCTTTCAGCTGGCAGGCCTTGCGCGCCCAGCCTTTTGCCAAGAGCTCGAATTGGGCGCGTGGCGCGCAGGGGCAATGAATTTTCCTCAGCAGAGATTGTGTCCCTTGGCCATCCCTTGGCCCATTGTGGCCCAGTGTGGCCCTTGCCCAGGTACTGTGTGGTACTGTACACTAGGGACACTTCAGGGAAGTTGTGGCTCAATTTGTGCTCCATGTTTGAGGTGAAAGTGATTGAAAGTGTGGAAGTGTAGGAGCGTTTTGTTTGCCATGATCTGAACATATACCATCACACGACTCAAAGACTATCATCCACAATATATAATTCCATGTTTGATCATTTTTGCATAATCTAGTGTAGTTAATATTCGTTTAATTCTTGAAACCTTCTCCATGCGTTGAAAGATGCTTTGGACCAGGCTAGCGGCCTCTGCTGGCATTGTGACATGGGTCGCTACCGGAGGAAATCCTGGCAACTTGCTTGGCCTTGGTGGCGGCAGAAGTTTAAAACGTCAGGATATGGCCGAGAAAGAGGCGCCCCGAGCATTCTCACATGTTCTAACTGAACTCAAACTCCAGTCGGAGCCATGTCGCACCATGGGCATGGGTACGGAACGTACCACCGCACTTTTCCTGCTGGTGGCATTTGTATTTTTTTCAGACAGCTCTGCCTAATTGGACCTAATTGGAACCATTTGGCGTCATTTAATTTGCCATGTCAAAAGGTCCAAGTGGCGCGGCAGATGTTTTTCAGAGCAGCTGAGAACTACGCGGACTCACGAGTGCCTGAGATTCGCTAAATGATGCCCAATTTACATCAATTTACTATAGGTTGTGAAAGGAGCCTCAGGATGCCTCAGGATGCCTCAGGTGTGGCAAACATAGCATATATAGCATTAGTACACGTGCAGTACATTTTTCAGCCCCGGTATTTCTTTGTGGCATCAAAGGATCGGTATCTGCTATGAGAAACCTGCGAATCCGCCGACCTAATTTGAATGATTTTAATTTTGAAACGCCACCAGGTCACCATGCTGAACATGTCTCAAAACACCATAAAACACCAAGGAAAGCACAGGCGTGCTGCTGAATCGCATGGCGCCCGAAATAGTGCAGGTTGCCAAGCAGCGGCTGGAGGCACCAAGAAATGATGTACCCAGTAGAGGAAAGTTGTGATTTAGTTGGTAGCTTCAGCACGTCTCGGATACTCGAAGCTGCATTTTTGAAAAACGTCCTGGCATGCTTTGACATCCATTTTCTTTTGGGTTGTTGACGTTGCTTCAGCTAGGGTGCCATAAAGACACTTCAACAGAGCTGGCGAGAGCAAGAAATTGCGGAAGGGGAGCAAGAAGTAAAGGCCTACTTGGTATCTTGTTCCAACGTGGACTTAAGTTTAATGCACACCGGTGGCATGGGTGGCAAAACCGGTACACCATACCATCCTGTCGAAGATTCTATGTCATTGCGTCACTTCACGGTTGACGAATAAATGAAAGGTGGCAGTGGCACACGGACAAAGGTTTTGAAGAAGGGACGTGAAATTTATCCTGCGTGGCAAGTATAATCTCCCAAAGATGTGTATTTTGGCAACTGGAATAATATTGTCCCGCGTTGTCTAGGCGTTTGATCAGTTTTCCTGCTTCACCAAGGTACCCGAATATTTACGGAACGGGAAGGAAAAGGGTGCATTTATGATCGCAGTGGCAGGCAACCAAAGTGCCTTTGAATGCCTTTGGTATTGATTCAGTATGATTTAGTTGCTTTCTGACCTTCAATGCAAAGATTTCGTGTAATTCATTTGCCACCATCCACGGGCTAGAAACTGCTACAAGAACTCAGAGACGCAGACCATTGCAATCAGTGCTGCCTTCACCATTTTCACCGCTCCCCCTTGTACCGTGTGGCGGGTGTTGACACTTCAAGGGGCGTGCTTTGCCATAAGTAATTTGACCCCTTAGGAATTATGAAGCCCTTTTCTCATCCTGTCACAAGAATTATCACTGAAGGGAATCAGAGAACCGATTTTGAAGGCGCGTTTCGCAAGATCCATGCAGCTTGGCCTAGGTGTGGGAAAGTCCTCCTTTTTGCGAGCCTTTCTTGGCTATGAAAAGGTGACCACACCCACAACCACGACAGAACCCGTACCATACCTCTTCCCTGTAGAGCCACTTTGACAGCCAAATACTACAAATGTGTGCAAATATTTTGCATTTTTTGCATCACTGCGAGAACAAAACGCAAAGAAGTTCTTCATTGCACTGGCGCAATGCAATCCTCGCTTATACGGTACGTGATGTTGGTTTGACTTTTTGCAAAGTTGATACATGCTGGTTCCAAGGTCCGATGTCCCCTGTATGCTTTGGGCCTCTTGGCATAACCTTTCATGTTGCTTTGGAACAGTTTGATTGAAGATTTGAGCAGCCACCCTGTTGCAAATGTGTACTTATATATGCTTATGTATGCTTATGTGGATTATGGCAGTCTTTTCATGTCGTTTGTTTTTGCTGAATTTGGTTGCAGAGAGTCCGCCGCTAGCAGGACTTGCCACCAATGCCGTTGGGCGCAGCGAGAGACCAATATATGGCAATGGTGGGACTGCGGCACTTTGACCTCGTGATTGTGTTCCTTGGAAGCGCATTCTTGATCATTTCTAGCATGCAGCGTATATGTATTTTATAAATACATAATATATATATATATACATAAATATGTAATAGAATTAATACGTTAAGATATATTATACAATTCAAGGCAGCCAATGTTGGATACTGGTATTTCCAAAACAAAAAAAAATAACACCGGAGTTTTCCAGAGACATGCCAGAATTAATGAGGGGAATGAAGTTGCAGCATGTTGCAGCTTATAATGAATCATCACCGAATAGGGGCAAAGAATGTGCCCGAGTTCAGTTAGGGACAAGTAGAATCAAACCATATTCATCGTATTAATTCGTATTATACATGTATAATCATATATAATTATATTATATTATAATATCGTGTGTGTGTGTGTGCATGCGTGCGTGAGCCCTTGTCAGAAAGGGGCCTCCTGGTCTCCCTAGATCGTAGCGATATGGCGGTCATCTCATTGAAGGCTTTGCCATTGTGTCGTGTGATTGATTCTTGCAGCTCTCCGCCCTGAAAAAAACAAATACCTTCTTGAATCTTATTGATCCTTCTTCTTTGAATCACAGCCTTGCCTTGTGATTTGATGCAATCGCGGATCTACATTTTGGTACAAGTTGATTGCTACAAATCCATGGCACATCTGCCGTGGCCCCAGAGTCAGGGGATAGAGAGACTGACGGTTTCAGCTTCCTGAGCAAGAAAATGCAAGACAGGATGATGGACAACAAGTTCTCTGAGACAGAGCTTCTTCTACTAGATGAGTTGAAGAACTGGAAGGCTTGCAGATGGCGTTGCGAATTGATTGATAAGACACATATTTGTTAATTGAATGTTAATTGGTTTTGATGTTTTATTTAGTAAGAACATGTAAAAACCCTGTTTCCTGTGCTTAAGTATTTTCCAGACGGACATACACTGTGCCTTTGACCACTCATATCACTCCAATTCGGATGCTCGGCCAGGTGCCTCATGTACTGGTCAGGAACAAGCTGGATGTTGATATCGAGTATCTTTGCACAAACATGCACAAAAAAACCAATGTACATTATATACTCGTACATAGTGTACATCCATTGCTTTCCTAATTTTCTGACACTTTACACGCCATGAAAGAACAAAAAACTGTTGCATGAAGAGTACTATTTTTATTTTTAGTATTGCATCAAACTGATTTGTCCCAAAAAAGTGCTGGCACTTTGCACTCGCGCGTGTTGTTTTGGGAATGTCACAAATTCATTTAAATTCTATGCTGTGTCTACATGTTTCATCATTTTTCTAAGGCGCGAATTCAGGAACGAGCAGTTGGTGTGGGACTTTCGAGGTACCCACATCGCTCCCACACTGTCGGGAAGGTCAAGATTTCTGGAGATATTTAAAAACTGATTGAAGTAGCTGCGTTCAAGCAGCTGAGTTGTTTTTGTGGGGGCTGGTTCCTGTTGTGCTGAGATTGCTGCTTTTTGTGGCATTTAAATGCATTTAAATGCATTTAAGCCAGCGACTGGGTTGCCCTGGGAGGTGTGAAGGATGGGCTGGATGATGGTGTCCGGGCTGAAATCCTGACGGACACCCTGACGACTGTCAAGGAAGACCTTGTCGATCTTTGTGCAGTGAAAAGAGCTGGCCTCAGACTCTTGCACAACTTTGATTACCACGAAGACCATTGACATGTGCAGGATTGAATGTCGCAAAGGCTGTGGAGCAATCTGAAATGGATGGATAAGATGTGCTCAGCCGTATCTTTTTGTCAAGTGGCAATCCACGCTCATGAAACCAAACTGATAAACTGCTTTGTCCGAGGCGTCTATTGCATTTCCACTAAGGGTGAGTATCAGCAGTTGTTGCTTGACTCTTTTATGCGGAAATTAAAGGGTTGCCGGGAGTCGCTTCTTCTCGGCCTGATGTGACAAGATACTGTGAGATTTGGGCTTGCCGTGAGTGGTTTGTGATCAGAGTATGCTGTCATAAATATGAGTATGTTACCTATGGTTTTGGTTTTCCTTGCACGTTTTCGCAAAGTGTGATTGCATGTGATTGCCGCTTGTGACATGTTTCAAAGGATAATTGGGGCATGTCTAGGCTACATGTCTTCCTTGTCATGTTGTGAAACGATCCAGAGGTCTGGAGTATCGTGTTGAGAGAGGACGGAGAGGACTCACAGTACTCAGTGTAAACAACAGTTGCCGTTTTGGCTTCAGCAGTGCATTGTTCGTGGCAACATTGAGGGACAAAAGGATGGCGCCCAGGAAGGCCTCTGATGCCTTCAGTTTCGGAAAGTGTTGCTGCTATGCATTGATGGTGATGACATCACCATGGCGGCTGACTTGGGCCACCCTGACGTGCTTGACTGCATCTACCGTGCTTCGAAGATTTCGAAGTATCAAAGGGACACGGAGTTGGTTTGTGAAGGCAATGGATTTGGCCTTCTACTTGTGCTGGTGTCATGCCCTCTACCACTCGCAGCTTGTTGTTATTTGCTGGAGATGTATGATATGGATACACTGGTGTATGTGGAGACTCTTTCTTTGGATCCCCCTGAAAACATGCCTGTGCTTGGCACTTGTCATGTTCATCAGAAGCCGCTCTTTTGCACTGCTTTTGGTGCAAACGCTTTCCAGGTTTTTCCTTAGATATCGCAAACCACCCTCTGACATGATGCAGATCCGGGCATACCACGGCACACATCAGAAGAACGTTGAAAGCATCCGCAAGTTTGGCTTTCGACCATCCTCGGGAGGAATGCTTGGACCTGGTATTTACATCTCCCGCGATTTGAACAAAGCACAACGGTATGCTGGTAGCACTGGGTACCGAGGCCTTGGAGTGATACTCGAGCTGAAAGTGGAGGTAGGCACAGTTTGCACCATAGACCGGCAGGGCCACAAGGTCCAAAAGAGTTGGCACAGATCGTTCGATACTGCCTGGGTACCCTCGAATTGTTCGATGGTACAGTCACAGCTCGAAGAAGGATGCGTTGCAGAGCCCTGCAACATTCAGTTGGTGCGTGTTTGGCACCAGAACCAGCTGAGCCGCCTTTTTCTCTATGAGGTGACTCAACTCTTGAAGGATGTTTGGACATTTTTGTTACCCACCCAACCTTGTACAGATGTGGAGGACAGTGCAGGCAAGCCCCACAACCGGGTGAAAGTTAAAGAAGACTGAGGCCACAGCTTCAGATTTGTCAAAAGGTGCAATCCTTTTTTTGGACCAAGACCAAGACAAGCACTACTTGTATATATCGTTGATACCAGACATTTCCAGAATATAAGCAAACCCTCCAGGTTGATTTGATACTTTGTCAGAGATGTATTTTGTTCTTAACTGCACTTGTCCATTGGTGTTTTGGCCCTTGTACGGCTTGCATGTGTTGTCAGATGTTCTCAGTCTTGTGCAAACATGGTCCTTTCTTGACTCACAACAGCCGTCGCTGCAGTAAAAGAAGGGACCTTCGTTGCCTGGCTGCCTTGCAACTTGGAGCTCTTTGATACTCTTTGTTTTTGCCCTCGTGTTGTCCCATTTTGTAACCTGGCCTTCCCAAGGTTTGACTGGCCTGCCTTGGACGACGACCTCAGGAAAACTATCCACATGCGGTGCACGCCCAGCATGCGTGCAGACAACATGCCGGGACCACAGGAAGAGCAGGAGGCAACACATGCAGAGCTGAAGGCACCTCCCAATGAAGCAGGTCAAAACCATGCAGAGCCAAGCAGTGCGGATTATGAAGGTGGCTGGCGGACAAGTACCGTGTGGCAGCCCTTGGCAAGCCCAGCCTCTGAAAAGAAGCTAGATCCTTCTTCCGAGAAAGAGCTCCAGAAGTCTGCAACTGAAAAGGTGGCTGAAAGGCCGGCAAAGCCTGCAAGTGAGCTTGAGAAATCTGTAGCTGAAAAGCCGATGCATGCAGATGCAGAGCTCCAGAAGTCTGTGGCTGAAAGGACACCAAAGCCTGCAGATGGGCTCCAGAAGTCTGCAACTGAAAAGGTGGCCGAAAGGCCGGCAAAGCCTGCAGATGAGCTTGAGAAATCTGTAGCTGAAAAGCCGATGCATGCAGATGCAGAGCTCCAGAAGTCTGTGGCTGAAGAGACACCAAAACTTTCTGATGAACTTCAGAACTCTGTTGCGGAAATGCCAGCACAGCTTGCGGATGAACTGCTCCGGCAGTATGTGGCTGCAAAGGTGGCTGAAGGACCGCTGAAGCCTCAAGATGAGCTGCAAAAGACTGTAGCTGGAAAAGTTTCTGAACAAACGCCCAAGCCTGCGGATGCGCTCCCGAAGCCTGTGGCTGAACGGCCCCCGAAGCCTGCATTTGCAGAGCTCGAGAAACCTGTAGCTGGAAAGCCTCTACAGCCTACAGATGAGCTCCAGAATCCCGTGGCTGAAAAGGTGGCTGAGAAAGTGTCAACGCCAGCAAAGGACCTTCCCAACCCGGTGTCTGAACGGCCTCCGAAGCCTGCATTTGCAGAGCTCGAGAAACCTGTAGCTGGAAAGCCTCTACAGCCTACAGATGAGCTCCAGAATCCCGTGGCTGAAAAGGTGGCTGAGAAAGTGTCAACGCCAGCAAAGGACCTTCCCAACCCGGTGTCTGAAAGGCCTCCGAAGCCTGCGGTTGCAGAGCTCGAGAAACCTGTAGCTGGAAAGCCTCCAAAGCCTACAGATGAGCTCCAGAATCCCGTGGCTGAAAAGGTGGCTGAGAAAGTGTCAACGCCAGCAAAGGACCTTCCCAACCCAGTGTCTGAAAGGCCTCCGAAGCCTGCGGTTGCAGAGCTCGAGAAACCTGTAGCTGGAAAGCCTCCAAAGCCTACGGATGAGCTCCAGAATCCCGTGGCTGAAAAGGTGGCTGAGAAAGTAGCAACGCCAGCAAAGGACCTCCCCAACCCGGTGTTTGAAAGGCCTCCGAAGCCTGTGGTTGCAGAGCTCGAGAAACCTGTAGCTGGAAAGCCTCCAAAGCCTGCAGATGAGCTCCAGAATCCCGTGGCTGAAAAGGTGGCTGAGAAAGTAGCAACGCCAGCAAAGGACCTCCCCAACCCGGTGTCTGAAAGGCCTCCAAAGCCTGCGGTTGCAGAGCTCGAGAAACCTGTAGCTGGAAAGCCTCCAAAGCCTACAGATGAGCTCCAGAAATCTTTGGCTAAAAAGCCACAGACCCTTCCTCGTCAAAGGCCGCAATCAGTTGGAAGTGAGATGCCGAGTCGTGCAGAGAAGTTGCCAGAGTCTGGCACTGGAAGGCGTCAAATTCGCAATGGTGAAAGGCGGCAGACCCGTGCCGCTGGAAGGCCAAGGCGGAAGTCCGCAAACCCCCGCAGACCCAGAGCAGCAGAACCGCGCAGGTGAACAGTTGCACTTTGCAGAACCATGCAGTAGCTCTGTGGCCTCGATGATCCTTTGAATATGTTTGAATCTCCGACACTTGCAGGAGGATTGGAAGAGAATTATAATATATTATAATATGATTCAGAATGTGTTTGTCTTTATGTGATTTTAGATTTCTCCGAGCTGCCCAAGCAGATATTCACAGGATCAAAATAGCATCGACAAAGTGTCACTCGGCAGCTGAGGGAAGCACTTGTGGCTTGCCCTTTGCCTGTCTTCAATTTAATGTGCTGCAGCTGTACCGCCAAGATGGCTCCTTAATCTGGAATCGCAAATCCACTTTCTGCAAAGAAAACACGGTAGTTGGTTCTTTTGTTTGCGACGGGGAATGTCATCACATTTTTGATATAGTTGGGTCATGTTGGGTCAATGCATGGTGCTACAATGTGCTACAACTGCAGCTGCTTATGTCAAGATAGATTCAAATAGATTTTCCGGAAGGTTTGCAAAGGCCCAAGGAGTGCAAGCTGTCGGTTGGATGTTTGGTTTGTTTTTCCTGATGTAAGATTTGGGGTTCCAATTGATTGTAGGATATTGTAGGTTTGTCATGGTTTGTCCTACGATTCTTCTTTTGATTCTGGCTGTTGCAAGTCTTCAGTAGGCAGGTTCCGTCGTGTAGGACCTTTGAACATCAGTCAATGCACCTGAAGCAGGTCTCCCAGGAACCGCGCGGTCAAAGCTGCCCACAAGCAGAAGTTAAACGATACCCAGTATTCATCGGTAGTCCCTGTAATTATATTGGAATGATTTTATATGATTTTATATTATATTATATTATAGTATATTATATATTATATATATTATGGTGATACATTTGGAGGGAACAGGCCGGAAAGTACACTTATCAATGAGGCCAATTGCCTGTGAAGGCAAATTAGCCACTGACCGCTCAGTTCTCCATGTGTCCACTAACAGGTGGTGGACCATCTCAGGATATCTCAGGACCATTTTGATATTTTATACAGCGTTGCACAGCGCGAAGCAGTCTGGAGACAACCAGAAAATGTGCTGTTGTCGTGCTGACATCACGAATCATCATAAGCTGTGTGAAAGGTGCGTGAAGACATGTGAAGACTGTGAAGACTATGACACTTGCATCAGCTCCCAAAGGCAATGATATCCAATATATTTTGGGTTTGATGACGTTTTATGGTGATTAGAATACTCGCTGCTTCCGACCGCAACTGTTTCCCAGAAAACTGTCAAATGGCCATGGCCTTGGCAGCGCCGAGCATTGTGAGTGGCGTGCCGGCGCTGTCTAGGCTCTGGGGAGAGTGGCTGGTTTGATATGTGTTGGTCAGAGTTTCGCTCATGGCATGAAAGCAATGCATGATACTCGTAGCTTTCTGTAATTAGTAAGAGAATTGCAAAAGGTTCCGAGAACATTCAGAACTCAGAACATTCAATGTAATTATATGTAATTATAAGTTTTTAAACATCGTTGAAAAGAAAGATCCCCAAAGGATGTGACATGCCAGGCGCAGCTCACCGCACGGATGGCTCGTGCCGCCGTTGCGACCGCTGCGAGCGCCTCGCACGACCAACACGGTGAGAAGAGGGATGTCTGGCTTCTCCTTTGTCAAGTTCGCGCCACTCTGTGCAATTTGGAATGCGGAATGCTGAGGCTTGAAGGCCTGAAATTTGAGAGGAGGAGTCGTACAGAAATGTCATTTTATGATATTTTATGTTTATTGTTTTCAATCATGTTTTCTCAATGATCACTATTCCTCGTCATTCCATCCCATTGGCAAGCAAATGAAAATTGAATACTTGCGCTTAGGCCTAGGCAGCACATGTTTAGGGGTGGCATCCCTCCAAAAACTTGCGCTGCCATCATCTCTTGCGCTTAGCTCCGGAGGTGCTAAGAGATATCAATTGCATTCAATTGCTAATGGTCGCCTACATGCTTCCTGCAAACTCAACTTGTAGTGCTCAAGGCTTGTTAACAAACGTCATTTCAGAATTCCATTTGAGGTGGTTGGATCATCATCCCAGGGTTTCCAAGCCGAACAAAAATGTACTGTAATTCGAAAGGTTGGTTTTGCCCCCCCTCCCCCTCTATATATAGGGATAGGGATTTCAAACAAGTCACTAACATACCCTAAATCACCAGAGATTTCTCATATTCTTCGAACGATCTTTGATATTTCTTGGAATCTCTCTGAGGTCTCAGGTAAAACATTATCCTTATTATATAATACATTTATTATATGTAATTCTTACTTAAAATGTATACAACCTGTGTTGCAATTTATTGCTACGATGAATAGACTTATTAGATCTTATTAGATAATTGGTATATAGATAGATAAAGGGGTAAATGGTGAATGTATTGAGTATGAATAGATGGATAGTCTGGAAATGGTTCAATCACATTGCATTCAGCCTTCCTATCTTTGCTCAGGATTGTTGGCGGCCTTGCGCATTGGCTGGCAAACTTCTTCAACTGGACCGCCCATGTTGATAGCGTTGCGTTGGAAGTACAGTTTTTTGTTGAGTTTGATTGATCTGATTTTTATATATTTTTATCAGTTTATTTACATGTTGTGTTTTGCTACCAATGATTTTGCGGAGTTTTGCGTCTTTTGACAGTGTGCTAGTGAGAAGGTTGGGTTCCTGGGAGTTTTGTGCGAGCGCATTTTCTTGTGCAGGGCCCGCAAGCCAAAGACTGCACCAGGGCCAACAGAAGCACTCGTGAGAAGGCAGAAAAGAGCGCAAGAGGAGGCCCATGGCCAGCAATTCCTGGCGACTGTTTGGACATACCCTCTGGTAAACTAACATAGCTATGGGAAATCACCATTTTTAATGAGTAAATCCACTATAAATGGCCATTTTCAATAGCTATGTTAGTTTACCAGAGGGTATTTTGGACATGCTTGGAGGTGATTGGACTCTGTGCTTTGCCCTGCCAACACCAGTCTTTGCTAAAAGCTGCAACTACTCTGATCTGTGAGTTTGTGTCTTGGAAGCTTCTTTGGGTCATTCACCCCACTGTCAGCACAGTGCCCATGAGTTTTTCATGGTTTCAGCCTCCAAGTTTGCAAGCTGGGACCATTGGATGTTTCGGTCGCTTCTTACTGTACTTCGGCAGACTTTGCGCTATTGTTTTCCACAGCATTTCAGCTCAAGCTACTGGACATTTTCGCCTTCTCGATCTTTCTCGATATTTCGTGAGGAGAATGACTGAGGTTCGCGGCACAGGTGCAACTGTCAGATGATCTTGAGATTTTCAGATATTTCAAGGATACTATAAGGATATGTAAGGATTAATAATTAAGGCAACACATATTATTGCACGGTATTTAATATGTTTCGATGCAAGCGTTGCCTTCAGAGTCCTATGTTGCAGTCCACTTTTGTCCACTTTGCTGCCAGGAGGTTGCATCATTGTGCACACTGCTGACAGTAGCTAATTGCCGGGGATATTTAGTCGATGTTTTGCTGCTTGCTGGAAGCCAATTGAAACCAAGACATTCTGTGTCAGCAGAATAACTTTCGAAATTCCGCAGATGGAAGTGATGAATCCATCGAGCATAAGTTGATCAGACCAGTCCGACCAGTCCGCGATGCAGGTGGTATGCTCACCCAGGCTGAGGAGGGCATGAAACTTTTTGCTGCACAGAACGGTGTTGCTGCAGAAATTGACAAGGCAGCAGCTGAGGCGTACAAGGCGGACATCGAAGCTCGCACCTCGGATTCCTTTTCGGATCTTTGTCTCCGGGATTTGGGCACTGACTTTGCTTATCTTTGCTTATCTTTGCTATAGAATGATTAGAATATATATGATTATATATGTGAATATATCATATTATAATTATATAGAATGCTATAGTCGATATAATTCTGTTTCATCCTCCACCCTTGCAACGATCAGAGACTCCTCAATGAGGTGGAGAGAGAGAGAGAGATGGGTCGGTCTGAATGATGACATTGATAACACATAGAGTCCAGAAAGCAAGATACTGTACTAACATACTCCAAAATCTCCCGTCCTTTCTCTCAGGCATCTCAACATTGGAAGCTGCAGCTGCCACTTTGACCGGCAAGGACAACAAGAAGGAAAGAGCTGCGAAGGGCAAAGAAGTTGCAGAATTGAAAGCTGAGCAGTACCATGGTTGTTTGAAGAGCACACAGAAATTGCATACCGTTTGTTTATGTTGATTGATTATATGGCTGAAGAGAGGAGGAGAGTGCAAACAGCCGTCGGTTTGTGTGGATTTAAGATGGATGCTAGAAAGATGATGGTTTCAAGCATGAAACATCATGAAACCAAACTCAGGCGATACGTAGATGCTTGCAAGATCGTGAAGGGGCTGGATCCCAAGTTTGGCAACTTCATCACTAAAGCAGCAGAAGTTCCTGTTGCAGAAAAGCCTGAAGTCATCGAGGAGGCACAGGCAAAGCCGGACAAAGCCAAGAAGGACTCACAAAGAACCGTGTTTGCATAAGAGAATGCAAGCCTTCTACATGCATACACATACACATGTATAGCACATACCAAGATAGACACATATAATATATCATTATATCCACGATATGCTTAGCCGCATTTGTGTGCCCATGTGAGTGTGTGTGTGTGTCTACATCATTGTAATGGTTTGGAGATGTTTGGAGTCACAGATGGTTCTATGGAAAAAGCAATTGCTTGCTGATATGCCGGCGCCAAACACATTTTCTGGTTCATGTGGATTTTTTTCAGTTGCCTGAGAGGACAGCAAGAAAGATATCAAAAAGGAATCTGCTGGACTGAGCCCGGCTGAGACAAAGGAATTGGAGGAGTTGAAGCAAGGCATTGTTGAAAGGAAGGCCATCTTGAAGGAGCAGGGACTGAGTGGCGGTCAGCAGAACAAGGATGAGGAGGTGGTGAAAATGGTAGCCCGCATGAATGAGCTTAAGGAGAAGCAGGACTGAGTTGGACTGATCATGATTGATCAAACTGGGTCAGTCTATATGGTTTTCTATATGTCAGAGAGGAGGAAGCAAAATGAAACAAAGAAGAGAGTTTATGCTGGCTGTGGGCCGTGGTTTGAGCCTAGTGACCTCGTGGCAATTCCAAGTGCTTTGCTGGGGAGTATGACTGGGGTATGGATGAATATATGGTGGAAATACTTTAGAGAAGTCTGAGCGGCGCTGGAAAGAGAGAGAGAGAGAGAGAGAATTTGATTAGACTTTGCCCGCCAAGAAATTACTGTACTAATGTTGTTTTTTGTCCGTAATATTTACATATATTTACAATAGATATGGGCTATGGCTATAGACCACGCGCACCTGCAGTTGAGCCAGCCAATGTTTGTAGGACCCAGGCAGCACCAAGAAGGAGAAAGATGCCAAGAAGGACTCCAAGAAGAAGACGCCACTGAGCGCCGAGGAGCAAAAGGAATTTGCGCAGCTCCAAAACGAGATTGAAGTGTACAAGGCCAAGCTGAGAAGCGAATTCGGCTACAGACCCTGGGCTGAAAGTTCTGCCATGGGTGGGCAGGGTTGCAGGTTAGACACAGTTGTTCTTTTGAACAGAAACGCGCCAACAACGATGACATTTGTTCAGCTCCTGAAGTATGTGCATATCAACGAGTGACAATGCATCACTTTGTCATGTGTTTACAGTACTGAGGCAACAAAGATATGAAGGCAGATCCGGATCTCAAGGATATGGAAGCGCGACTGGCTGCCTTTGAGAAGCGTAGCTGAGTGTCTTGTCAGAAGGATCATTGGGTAGCAGGCCTGAAAATTGCACGCCGATCTTTGAGAATTTGAGGATGGCAAACACAATTGATATAGAAGTTGAGTCAACTACTGTAGTTGTTTTTTAATGTTTGATGATGTTTAATGGATCATTTACATTAATTTAAACTATTCAGCAGTTGTTTTGAGTCGTTGGATGTCCTAAGATTTCCTGAGGCAGAGACCCAGCGGACCCACAAGATCCTGTGGCAAAGCTTGGCAAAGCGTGGCGGTTAGCGCCAGTGGCTGATGGAATGGCACAGGTGAAAAAAAGCTGGGCCCAAGGATAGGCCAATACGGAATGGCCCAGATGGAGATATGTGCGTTGCATATGAAAAACGCCTGAAACTCAAACATCTTCCATTGACCGAATATGTCGATGTTGTATGGTTTTGTATGAGTCCATTCTAAGTACATAGTTGAAGATACCATCATCCAACCAGATCCAACATGATCCAACCAGTGCAATTTGCAGACTTTTTTCGCATAGTGTGTGACATCACTTAAGTGAACATCGATACTGTAAAGATATGTAAAGATCTTCCGTATACTTTTGGTCTAGGTTGGGCCGAGCTACTTGTCAAACGCAAGATTTAAAATTTATCAAACAAAGTTTTCAATGGCCCTAACATTGGTGGATTTTGCCATATGCGAGATCAGCAGTGTCTGAGGCCATTGGATATGAGGACACGGACTTGACCTATCAAGAAAGACACACTATGATAAAATATGATAAAAGATAAAATATTCGTTTGTGCTTGCCCATAGGCTCAAGATATTCGTATAGAAACTGTATGAAACAGTTTGGTTTTGAGTTCCCGTGCTCCCGACCTGTATCGACGGCCCTGCTGGAAGTGGGGCCGTTCACAATTGATATGGCATTTGACGGTATGGATTGCAATTTGTACAGAATTAATTAACGCTAGCAGGCGCAGTCTTGCCAGGAAGCGCTGGATTTCAAGGTCATGCGCCAAAGCATCTCTATTCTGATGTAGCCCCACGTCGGAGCAAAAGAACTGCCATTCGCTCTCTTGACATTCGGGCAGCTGATGTCATGTGACGTTTGGTGTGGCCATCCACCTTGGGTGTTTGAAAGGCTGAGGAGGCAAAGAAACAGTTTCGGAGAGCATCGCAATTCTTCGTCAACACTAGAGATACTTGGCCAGATGGAACTCATCCACTGCACATGCTGCAGATGCGATGCCTTTGCACAATTGTTCATACCTACAGTATCCGATCCTATACGATTGCATATGCCCATATGATATGCGTCTTCACGCCAAAGATGCACACATGATTTCTGCAAAGTTCTGCTGTCTTGTACTGTAGCCGACGCTGTGGTGAGGTGGGGTGGGGGGGTTGAGGGGATTGGCCGGTTTGAACATAGTGTAGTCTCGTGTATGGGTGTTTGACTAGTATACGGCTCCAGTACTGCGAATACCTAGAATATCCTCGAGTATCCTAGGTCCTAGAATCATCTCAGGAATCTATAAATATATTTCATCATGGAACATCATGGAACATCATGGAACACCAGACGACACACTTTGCGACATACTTTGAGTATCGTTTTCAGTGGGGGTTGTGGTCGGTGTCCGGTCGTGTCAGGAATCCACGGGCGTGGTGCTGAACCGCTCTGCCCCGGAGATCGTGTCTTGTGCACGGCGGCGGCTGGAGGAAGCGTTGCTTGAAGCGTTGAACCTGCCGTTAGACAAACATATATAGGTGAGTACAACGATGCACAACGAACATCAACGAACAACATCGAACAACGAATGTCACGGAATGATTATACTCGTTATATTTGAATATCTACAGTTCAGTTCGTCGTACTAGAATGTGCTAGGTTCGTCCCAGAGTCACCTCACTGACTTCTGATCGATTCTTCAGAGATGCCTCAGAACGGTTAGATCTGAACGGAGCTCAGCTCAAGATAAAGAAGTCCTTTTCATCCCGCTCTTTGATAATTTTGATAGGTGGTCCAACTTCAGCCCTGACTCGATGGCAAATCGAAATCTGACTTTGATATCTTTGATCCTTTTTGATCTTTTTGGCAGTCACAAGTTAACAGGATCCAACAGGGACAAAACATGAAAGTCGAATAAAGTTTCATGATGGACATGGTGGATCTACATGAATAAAGTTTCACGATGTCTTATGACTTGATGCATTGCCCACGTCCAAACAGGGCGCGTTGACCACGCTACGGGAAGCAAATTCTGAGCTCCGGGAGGCGCAGGCAGATTTGCGCGCCTATCCGGCGACTCGCCTCAAACTCTATCGAGCAAACAATCGACCTGTAAGCCTCTGGTTATGTCAAAATAGCTATTGAAAATGGCCATTTATAGTGGATTTTCCCATTAAAAATGGTGATTTTTCATTAAATGTCCCATTTTGGGAATATTGGACATCACCTAAAAAAGTAGCCATGGCATTGACCATATACCATTCATGGTTGGGTGATGTGACCCATGGGGACATTTAATGACCCATGTGTAAGCCTCTAAGAGCAAACAAAAGCAAGCTTCACAAAGAATTGCAAGATACGATATGACAAGGCTATTTTGCAAGAACCAGAGACATGGTGGAAGTTGCCCTTCTGAAACTGTGTTGCTTGCCCATTGCTCAAATTGAATAAGATGATATGCTTAAAAATGTTGTGTATTTGTTTGTTTCTGTTCACGGTTCTTGAATGTCGGGTACTTGAATGTCGGAGTGGGCTCTTTTGTCCTCTTGGAAGAATCATTCTATGCGATTGTTTGCACCCAATGAAGTAAAATTGTAGCAAACAGTTCTTCAGTTCAGCCACCAGCCAGTGCGTGTTGCCTGCTCACGAATGCAAGGCTATTGTGCTAATTGCTGCTAGTTGTATCCCGTTGCGATGTAGTGACATGCTACAGAAGCTTGAAATGGTGGCCCATGCCCACTTATGATGCTGCCACGACGAACAAGTGTTCAAGTCTCACTCAATTGGGAGGGAGTTTTCAATATGTTCCCATATGTTCCCATGATATCCCCTACATGTGCTCAGCTGAGGTGCCGGAGTACTTGGCGCCTGCGCAAGAGCAGGGTGCGATCATGATTGGTGTCACAGGATATCCAGGCCCGAGTTGCTGCTTGTCAATGTCCACTGGACATTTAGATTTCAGAAACCGTTGGCATCCTTTGGCCACAACATGCCACAACCTTCCTCCATTTGCAGTGGAGGTGTTGGAAAGTCTTCCTGGGTCAATGCCGTGCGACGGGTTTCTTCGCCCAATGACCCTGATTTCGCAGAGCTTTGCGTGGATGGGCCTACTATGGAGCCGCAAATGTACCGGTTTCCTGCACAGACCCTCGGCTGTGATGGGCCTCATCCCAGTACGGTTTTCATCCTAAATGTGACCAAATGATGAAAATGAATGAAAATGATATATAGAATTATATATATATATATTATATATATATCATATATCCAAATGTATCCCATGTCCATCGATTGTCCATTGTGAGCCTTGCTTCCCCTAAACTTGTTCAGTTTGACAGCATCAGGGGCTTGAGCCCTGGGAAGTTGCAACACCCATCACCCGTGTTGTCTTTGTTTTGCAAACTTCTCAGAATTAGCAATGCTTACGCATGTTTTTCAGACATTTACATGGACTGGCCATTCCCAGATATTCCCACAATCTTCCGTGGCTGACGCGAGAGTGTAGCTCGCACGAGAACCCCTGCACCCCGTTGAACAGTGTGAACTGGGGCGATGCAAGCCAGGCTGCCGCAGTGCTTTGGCTCAAGTGCCACCAGCCATGGACGTTCCAGACATTTTCTCGGAAGCTGAGCTTCATGCCCTTTGTCGAAGCCATGCTGGGTTGACCACGCTCCTCTTGCAGCTTGTCTACCAAAAGTGCCGTAGAACCCTGCAGGATAGTGCAGGTTGGCGTGGCATTTTGCCATTCGAATCGTACGTTCACACCGCTTGCGTCTTCAGAAGATGTCGGAGTTACAGAGTTTATTTGAATTTATTTGATAAGTATTTTATCGAAGGAAGTTTAGAAGTCAAACCTCCGACAATATGGACAGATGGAAAAGCAGATGTGGGAAGAGCAAGAGAAGAGAAAGGAATAAGAAAGAAGATCAGAGAGGAGAGAGTCAGACGAAAGAAGATGCAGGTGCGCGAAAAGGTAGAAAAGTCGCAAAACACTGTGTTAGGGTCGAAAAGGCTCGGCTGCCTTGTGCGGTACCAGTGGTATCGGTATAAGAATTTTCGGTGTTGTTTCAACCCTTGTTTTGGCCACCACTTTTTTTTCTGGAACAGGTCAGGCTACTGTATGCCAGGCTGGTGTTGGCTTCCGAGGTGGGCGCCATGGCATCCTCCCAGCGTACACCTCACAAAGGTCTTGGAGGCAGTGGCAAAGGAGCAGAAGTCCGCGCGCTTTGCGAAGGCCAGGCCGCCAGAACGGATCAGAACTGATCATATGAATGGCTCAGATCCAGAAGGACCAGATATCACCAGATGTTCATACACTACGATACAATCCTACAGCAAGGAAAACGGATACCTTGTTTTCCTTTCTCTTGTGCTTTTTTGTTGTTCTTCGACATCCTTTGACCGATTTTTGCAAGAGAATGTTCTCCATTTTCTCTCCATGCACCGCCGATTGGCTATGGGTCCGCTTCAGTACAGATTTAATTATACATAATATATATATATACAATAAATCATATAATATATATTATCAAGTTATATCATCAATGTCGAAGTATGTTGGTTTGGAAGGCCAATGTGGATCTTTGTGTGTCTCTGGCGAATTCCATGGGAGCTGAACAAGTGCCATTTGTGGTCTTCCTGAATCCTGAGGGAGTGAAGATCTTTGCAAGCAATGATCGGCTGGAGGGATTGTTCTATGGGGGGGAACAGGTTTCGGAACATTTTGGAGCCTTAAAAAATCTAAAAAAAGACAGGTGTGATTGGGATGATTTGTCCTACTGTAAATCCTTGGTGTGTGGCCCAGGATCGATTCTTTGGCAGGAGCGGATCCTCCCAGATTGGTGGAAAAAATCAAGTCATTGTCATCGAAGACTATGGAAGCTGCTTGTGCAATTGTTTGTTTGGAAGAGTTTAGAGTGCATTTACAACAGCAGTTGCTGCTTAGTCAGTAACCTCAACTGGCCCTCCAGAGGTACTGTTCGGTACTTTCGGTGAATTTTCGGGAAGGATCCAACAGTCATTGTGCAAGGAATCGTGGCAATATCCTGGCAGTGTTTGAAGATTTTGAAGCTATCAGGAATGGATCAAATGGAGAATATGGAGACAAACGGGGAATCCCTGTGGGATCGAGGTTCCAGTTTCCAATGGTGCTGCAGATCTCAACAGCAGAGTCTCGCCGTATCCTTCTCTCGGGTTTTAATGATTTTATCATGGTTTCTCCTGAACGAAAGCAGGTTTTCGATGTTTTCGAGACGCATACTGGCTTATGAATCTGAACAAGAAATAATAAGAACTATATACTGCAAGATGAAAGCAGTTCAAGCTTGTTCCTGGAACTGTGGACACTTGTTTCATGATGCTGCTTTGATCAAGGACTGAAGGCACTGGTGAACTTCTCTCCAGTCATGTTGTTCATGAAGGGGCCGCTTGCAAACGCACAGACATTGCTAAGCTTTTGGGTAGTTGGGCAATCAGGGTCTACATTGTACGGGACAGGCAAGACGAGCAAGATCCTGGCCTGAAAGATCCTGAAAGTATCTATGTGAATTGGTGTGATAGTATACAATGAATGCAACACATATGAAAACTGCAAAGGAGGAGCTTTTTCGAGCTTTCACATATCTTTGGTGGAGAATTCAGAATGCACAGTCACACTGTTTGATGTGATTTCGTGTCCCGAGGAACAAAACAGAGCCACAGTGCAAGTTCTCCAGGCAGGCCATCGAAATGATGCAGAAACACAAGGTGGAATACTCCACTTTCGACCCTTGACATCCCTTGACCTGGGCAAATATGTTGGCTGTTGGCATATCTTGGCGTATCAAATAGGTCCCATGAGTCTTACATAATGCATCATAATGCTCTAGGACTCGGTGTGTAGAGCGCGGAGCGCGGCCAGTGCCAACAAGCTCCAGTGAGACCATGTTGATGGATTTTGTCAATTTTCATCAACCATCATCAACCTACTTGTAGCAATTATATACAGTACATGTTTTTTCCCCCATGTGCATGCAGATAAATGCAGGCTAGTCAGCTTACATATAAAGCGTTTTCTGGGCATGTTTTGCTATCTTCGCTTATGTGATTGTGACATAATGTTGCTGAAACTTGGTGTGCCAAAACCAGTCATAAGGACATCCTGCAGGATGAAGAAGTGCGGCAAGGTTTGAAAGAGAACCTCGGTCAATATTTGTGTTTGTGTGTATGGGTGTGTGTGTGTGTGTGTAATACTTTGGATGTGTTTGTTCGGCTGGTTGGCTGGTTGGCTGGTTGGCTGGTTGGCTGGTTGGCTGGTTGTCTACGTGTGCGCGAGTGCGGCTGCAGTGGTGTTTGTGGTCGCGGGTGCATGTTTGTCGTTTTGGATGTGTGCGTATGTGTGCAAGCAGATCTTGTTGGGGGTGGATTTCAAGCTGATGTTTTTACTTTGCTCATGAATGACCTTTGCGTGTAATTAATTAATTAGGTCTGACTGTAGGTACTCCAACTGGAAGACCTATCCGCAGCTCTACGTGAACGGAGAGTTGGTTGGTGGAGTTGATTTGATGAAGGAGATGGAGGACGTACCTTCGTTCACAGCTCAATGAGTGCTTAGTGCTTAGGCAGATAGAATCATGTCTCGGCGAGGGTTCTACAAAGCAGCATTGCACAGGGACAACAGAAATATTTAAGTACGAAGTGATGAATGCTATGTGATATTTGTCTTCTTTTGCACCTATTGTAGGTGGTCTTTATGCAGCATGGTGGACCTAAATAAGCAAAAGCACCTTCCCTTCCTGCAATTAAAAGGCAGACGCAAGCCAAAGCAACATATATCAAATGCATCCGTAGAAGTTGCTGCAGCTGCTTTTGAGTCACTGGTCGATGTGGTGTAGTGTTGGTTCAACTTCTCAGTCCTGTCTTGAATTGTCTTGAGATTTGCTGTTGCCGATATGTCGCCGACTATTAATTTGCAGGAAGATGGCTCACTGTCAGAGATGCTTGGAGCTGCCCAGCCTTTGCAGGACCTGAGCAGAGTAAGTATGATGGAAGTATGAAAGATGATCAAAGCTCGCTGATGTGTAGTGATGAAGTTGATGAGCATGGCCTGACTATGGCTCTTTCATTCCGCCTCTTGCGGTAAGCATCCAATACAGCAATGTTTTGGGAGAGTATGGACACGAGAGATCGCCCGTGACTTCAATAAGCATTTTCCAGCTACCCTCAAGCCGGCAGCCAACTAACACGTGCCAGCACTCGCTCACAACTCATGATGCGCCAGGAGAGGTTGAAGTCATTGATTTGCCAAGCTCCGGTGATGCTCTTTATGAAGGGTAATCCCGAGACCCCACGCTGCGGATTCTCCCGTTGCTCATTTAAAGATGGAATCACAGGATCATAGCTTGCTGCTAGGCTTGCCTTTTTTGCAGGAAATCGTTGGATAGGCTTTCCTTCAAGACTCTTCAAGCAACACTCTTGAACATGGAACACCAACTGTGAATTTTCCCAGCATACAAACATGTTCTTGCTTGTTGCCGTCTCTTGCGAAGGCAAAATGGTGGATCTATTAAATGAGCATGGCGTCGAGTTTGACACGTTCGATATTCTTTCCGATGAGGAAGTGCGACAAGGACTGAAAGATTACTCCAATTGGCCAACTTATCCCCAGCTTTATGCAAAGGGGAAACTTCTTGGCGGCCTTGACATCATCAAAGAATTGGCGGAGGAAGGTTCACTGACAGACGAGCTGTCTGCATGAGACCCACACAGATCGCGAGCTTGACGCTCAAAAGCGGCGCTGTGCAAAGGAGTGCTTTACATGGTTGAACAGTTCAGGGCACTGAATGAAGGTGTATGGTAGCTTATGTGGTTGCCACACACCAGGGAATTAGGGAGCTTAGACCTCACTGGGCTGCAACAATAAATATCATACAAAATATATCAAAATATTATACAACATTATACAACCACCTTCCACTCTGATGAAACACTCTTTTGAAACTCATTCTCACACGATGTTTTGTGAAAAATGTCTTAGAGTCGATCTGACTATTTTTTCCAGCGTGGGACTTGAGCATGGCCATTGGCGCATATTGGCGCATGCGGTCCCAAAAGATCCGTGGCGTGCCAAGGACTAACAAACCATGCGTCATTTGGGCGCCTTGGCAGATCAGACTGTAGAACTGTAGCACTGACTCGGTAACTGACTCGGTACTGCTATTGATGCTATTGCTTAAATAATTTTATATGTGGATTATATGTGGATTGTCCATGATTGTCCCCATTTTGCAGTGAACTTCTTTAATGCCCACATTGCAGTTCCCAAACTTGACATTTTCCATTCTCTTAAGTCTTAAAGTCTGTCTTAATGAAATGAATATGCCTGATTTTGATCCAAGTTGACAAATGGAGCAGGCAGCTTGAATTTAACCCCATTCAAGAGATGTCAAGAGTGTGATGTGTAACCAACTTTACTGCAAGGACTTGCCAGGAGTTGGCACTGCAGGCTTCCCTGCGGAGAATCTTGGGTGCAAGTTGAGAGGGAAGTTGTGGTGGCGTTTGAAGAGCAGCTGCGCCCTGCTCCACCATCATATGCAGAAGTTCGGAAGAATGTACATTTTGCTCAGGACATATTTGCAGAATTTGGGAATCAGACACTTCGATGTGGTCGTTCTCATCACGGATCAGAGTCTCTTGGCCGAAATCCCTTTCAAGTGGTGACACCTGGTAGAACTTGAGGTCTTTTGGCCAGATTTGTCCTTCAAGGAAGTTGGGTGGTACAATTACGAAAGTTGCTGCTTCACTATGCTTCACCAAGGATTTACGGAGGCTGAGCTTTTGTTGCTTGATGACTTGCGACATTGGAATGTGCCCTTCTTCATGGTCCGGAACAAAATAGAGACTTGGCATCGTTTCGCTTTTACACTTTGCTGACATAAGTTCGCGCAGTAGATCTCCGTTAGCCACTCCATTCTTTACATATCAACTGGTATTTATATATAATATTATTTGCACAATTATGTGCATATATATATACATATACATATATATATACTCACATATATATATATATATACCTTGTAAATCCTTGTGCAGCCATATCATATATCTGGAAAAAAAAACTACGACCAACGAAAAATCCTGCTTGTGAGCATGGCAAATGGCTCTTGACGACGGCCTTTCTGCAGGTTCTACATGATGTTTAGGGATGTCAATGTTTAGGGGGTCTTTAATGGTTTCTATAGCATACTCACGGGTGTGGGACAGGTGGGCAGTACCAGGTTTTCAGAAATATACATACATTGTAAAACAATTTCCGTCCAACCCAGACGTTGCTCCACACTTACAATCATCATCATCATCATCATCATCATCAACATCATCATCATCATCATCATCATGGACCAGATATACAATTGAAAGTCCGCCGACATGGTATTTCAAAAATACGCAACCCTTCCGCAATTCCGGATTTCACACCTATGATGTCCAGCAGGCAAGTGCTGAGAAAATAGCAATGTTAGTATTTTGAGTGGGTTGCATACTTCGCAGCCTACCCAAGACTTACCACGATGAACTAGAGCGGAGTCAGGCTTTACATTTGTTGTTGTTGCTTGGTGTGCTTTTTTTGTGTCTTTGTGGCTCTTGTATGCCCCGGCATGTCTTTAAAATGTTGATTCCTTGGAACAGGACCTTGATGTCCAGCGTGAACTCGAATCAGAGCAGGAGGTTTTGGACAACCGAGGCGCAATGACAGAGAACAGATACAGTATTTGTGGATGGAGCAGAGTCAGTTTATGCGTTTTTAAAAGTTATGTTCATGTGACACGTGTTTATTTAGTTTGGCACTACGACTGCCCCCCCAAGAGGGAGATTTCGAAGCATTTCCCAAGGAGCTTCATGGGAACGGTAGTGATAAGTGTTGCAGCATCCATGCATATCACAGCGTTATTTGATTATTGAATGCTCTTTGCACAGCGCAGGCTTTGGAGACAAGCTGGACAATGAAGAAAGTTCCTAGTCTGCCCACGCCATAACCGGATGGAAACCACGCAGCATTTTTTGTTTAAAATTTGCTTAGTCAATTAGTGCAGACTCAGGAAGAGACATCGTCCGGGAAACCTTGATAAACGTCAAGGAAGACTTATCAATTCTTCACCACGTGGACAGCTGCAATCTCAGACTTCACGTTGCCTCCTTCAGATCGAGGCCCCATACAAGTTGATAGATTCAATAGGAGAATACATAGCAGACAAAATCTGGAAACTGCGGGATGTTTCCATCTTTTGTCTCTAAAACTCGGATGCCAACAAGTTCCAGATTGTTTCCCTCGTTCTGCAAGTGTTTCGTTCATGAGGTGGTCTGTGTGCTTTCTCAGAGATCCCAAGTAAGATGGCCCTTCTTGATGCATTGAGGCGTTTATTGCATATCTGCTATCAAAGAGTTTTGGCATTCGTTGGGCCCTGAGCACTCCTGACGAGAGAAATTGGAGAGTCTACATTCTTTGTTCAAGTGCCCTTCAAAACTGAAGCAGTGGAGATTGCTGTTGGCTGACTTGTGGCATCTTGTGACAGTGTTTTTTGGGAGGTATTTGGTAGCCATAGATGGGCATAGTATTTCGATGTATGTCGCCACTGTTGGCAGTGTGAAATGGGTAGAGCATGGTAGAGCCACAGCTGAGATCAGCTGAGGTTTGACTTCCCTCGCCTGGAGCAGGATCTCACTGTGGCCCTGAGACGGCAGCGAGCCAGTGAGGAAGGGTCCGTGGAGCTGGTCGAGGGATGACGTTTCAGCTGCAATTTCTTGCATTTTTCAAAAGCAAAACAAACACATGCCGTAATTATATGGTATTATATGTAATATTATGTAGTTAATTATCTAATTTTATCTAATTATATTTTTGCTAAAAACCTGCTCGCAGTCAAGACTTAGACACCCCTTGACTCCTGGCAAACAGAAATAAACCTACTCCTACACAGCTTTCAGGTTTGCAGCTGCGACCTGCCGTTTTCACCCATGGCTCCTGCATGCAATGCAGATCGATATTGGATGTCCTGTGAAATTGCGACCTGTTTCCTGCCAAACAACCTCGACGGGATAAAAATCCTGTGACGTTTTTGACCCTCCAACTAGATGACTAAACAACTTGCATCCAAACTTAAACATTCAAAACAACTATATATATAACCCCCGTCCCTAGTGTTCATGGAAAGCTGCTCCTTTATTTAAATATATAAGTCATATACGTTTGTGATATTCTGGAAGTGTAATTCATTTTTTCCCGCATTTGTTCATGTCATGGTCTTTCATTCGAGGTATACTGAATTGAAGCATTCTACCAGTAGCTTAGAAGATTCATTTGAGGATAAACAAAGAGCCGAACACTTCTTGAAGACGTTCTGCAGTGGAATAAGGAACAAGTGCCAGTTTTTGGATGTTTTTAGGTGTTACTATTTTTGAGTGCGTGGGAACCGTTCATGACAGTCCGCCAAGCACAAATTCATTGACGTTGTATAATGGCTTGTATCTATCAAGAAACTGAGCATTGCAGGGCAGGAGTCGGGTCGGGGATCATGATGATATATGTTTCACTCTGTTAGATTATGGTGAGTAGGTGGCATCGTGCTGACATAGAACTGATATCACATGATATCACTGTATCTCTCAAATCCCTCTATATCACGTGCATTTGGGGTACTGCCACTGTGTTTGAATGGGGAAGAATACTAGAGAACAGTTTCTCCCTTCACTGCCGACAGCTCAACTCAGCATGCAGAAGCCCTTAACAACAGCAGAACATGTGATTCCAAAGCAGGCTCGTTCAAAATGATTCCACAGTTGTGTTGTTCAAGACAGCTGCTAGTCAGTTAATTTCGCTTGTCACTTACTCTTCGATAGCCGGCTCCAGCAGCTGGCAATGATGTAGTACTGGGGGCAATCTGGGAAAAATTGCAGAATCAGTGGGCCATTCAATTCAAACGTTTCGTGTTTTTGTTGCGCTAGTTCCCAGTCCTAGTGGCTTTTTCCAACATGCCACTTGGCCCTGCTTGCCTCTAGAACTGCCATTTGGGTTCCTGCGCTTCCGAAGATGTCCTCACACACGAAGATATGGATGTAACCGTTCAATAGAGCTTCGGAATTGCATTTTTGCAGCGCTAGTGTTTGCAACACGGTGTTGCAGCCAAGATTTTCAACGCGTGCCGGAGTCAACGAACAGTTGGACACTGGATGATGTCCGGCGCAGCTTGATAACTGCTCAAAGTTGAAGTGGCCCTGTGTTCACACTGGCATCAGAATTTCCCCATGTCGGAACCCTGTGCAAAGGTAAGCACATTTGAGCAGAGGGAGCAGCGAGCGCACCAGTGCGCACGACAAATACTATGCAGCTGGGTTTTCGCTAGATGGCCCTGTGGGCTGTTAATATGTGGTATACCTCGTTTTCCCATCATACTCAGAGCCTTAGATCAAACATGATGAAACGGATTCTGAGTTTAAGCTGTTTGTTCCGTCTTTACTGGGTGATGGTACGCAAGTTCCGGAATCGGTCATTTCAAAACCCAGGAGCTCTGCTTTTTCCATTATGGATCCTCAGGACGAAGCCTGTGGAGACGTCTTTGGGCCACTTTCCGCTCCAATTGGCACCTGAATTTGTTGAAGCATGTTTAACCCTGTTAAATCATGTAAAGTCATGTAGAAGACTGATGAAACTATATTATCATAATATGAAATACATTTCTTAGTGTTTTCGTTTTGGAAATTGGGACCTCCTTCTCCCCCAGGTGCTCTGCAAAAAAGACGTGATATCGGCGGAGAAAGCGCGACAAAATAGCTGACATTTCTTTCACATAAGGGTATTGTTCAGAGTAGGCTTTTGCCTTTTGTTCCACCATTGAGGGGTTGTTGATGGGTGTTTCAATTTTCCATGTCCAAGTACATGTTCAGTGTATTAAAAAGCACAGATCGCTCGAACTCTGCTTTGACACCCACAATCTAGCCGATGTAGCACTTGCAGTACTGTTGGAGTAGAGATCAATTTGCTGCATGAAAGATCATGCTTGTCCCAGCAGGCGCGGCGATGGCAGGCAGCTTTGAGGCCCGTCCCTGTTACTGTACGGGAAAATGTGGTGTTCACGAAGCCAAAGAGTATCAATGTTGAAGCCGTTGAAGTGTCAAAGTTGAAGTGTCAATGAATTTGGCATCTTTGCTGTGCTAGCAGTTTGGGCCCAAGGCTTCAAAGTCACTAAACTGCATGAAACTGCTTGATTGACTTCAGTTTGTTGTAAACAGCTGCAGGGTGCAATCAGGATGCAAACATAAGCACCTACCGTAACCCAGGACATTATACAGTAATATACAGTAAAAGTTAAAGGTTTTGTTTGTATGCAGCCGGGACTTTGATTCCGCAGCCAATTTGTTGGTTGGCTGATGGATGTTGACGCAGTGATTGTAATGGGATTATTTACATCAGCGGCTTTGTTGCTCTCAAGTCTTTTGATGTATGGACTGAAGGGTGGCAAGACTCGAAACATGTACTAGAGAAGCAATGGATTGTGATGAGCTTTCAGCAACGTCGACACCTCAACTTTGACATGCATGATTCACCGTGAACTCCATATAAGTAATAATTTACTGCTCGCACTTGCAGACCATTCTGAAAAGGATTGGGTAACGCTGGGTAGCTGGCGAATGTGGGCGCAGCCAGAAAAACAGACGGAGCACAGTCTTTGGCTTTGGGGAGTTGTCCCATGTTGTCCCTTTTTTATCCTTTTTTTTACCATCTCTGCGTCTTACCAGACACCTCCGGTGAGGAAGAGAGAGAGGCAGAGAGAGACAATGGGAGAAAGGAAGCGAAGGAAGGGAGAAGATAAGGGAGAAGAACGAGTGGGAATTGCAGAGTTGTATTCTGTTGCATCGTGTTTGCTGAGCTGCTAGTTAAAAAAGTATAATTACGTGATTTAATATTTTATAATGCATATATTTCGTATTTGACCCCAGTAGTGCAAGAGTTGGATGGTGCTATCAGCGAACGCTGTAAAACTATGTCCCTCAAACACCGTTTGTGAGCGAAGTGTGTGCAGTTGCAGCAGATTCTTGGAGGAAACATCCCATATCCTATCATATACTATAGACTATAGATATGCATATATATGTAATATAGTATAATATAATTTAATATAATATAGTATAATGAAATATAATAGCATATAATATCATTTAATATAATATATAATATAATTTAATATAAGTTAATATGATTTAATATAATATAATTTAATATAATATAGTATAATATGATTTAATATAATATAATATGTAATATAATATATTTTACTATATTATGTATAATATAATATTTAATTTAATACAATATAATTTGATTTAATATAATATAATTTAATATAATATAATATATATAATTTAATAACATATAATAGCATATAATATAATATAACATAACATAATATAATATAATATGATATAATATAATATAAAATACATTATATTATATATTATAATATAATATACAATTTATATTATATATTATAATATAATATACATTATACTATATATATATATTATAATATAATATACATTATATTATATATTATAATATAATTTTAATACATTATAATATAATATCATGTAATATAATATGTTATTATATATATATATATGTTGCACATTGAAAAAATCCAGCTTGCATTGTAGAGCTGTTCGAGATTGTTCGAGCGGCAAACATTGCTCCTGACAAGCGCGCTCAGTGGCCGCAGCTATATATGACAAACTGAAACCCAGAGTTTTGTCCGCTTATCCGTATCTCTTTTGGCGTAGTCATGCCGTTGAATGCCCTTTACGGCTACTACGTTTTCGATCACCTAGAAGAGGTGCAGCTGCTCTGCATCGGAGGGTTTAAGGTTCACTCATGGATAGTGGCATTTATTCTGGTGCGGAAATAAACTAGACAACTTGGGAGAAATTGGTAAGTAATAGAGTCGAATAGGGATTGCAGTAGAGAGAGAGAGAGAGGAAAAAAAGGAATAGTATTCAGTATGCACCATAATACTTTAACAGACAAAAAGAGAGAGAGAGAGTTTCACCATGCATGCCTTCTAGTGGAAGAACCATTTATCTCCATTCCAGACAGGTAACAGTTCTGCCCTTGGGGAGTTGAGGAAAGCCGACAGAGTGGACTCAGTAGACGCAGGAAGCAAAGACTGTTTAATGATTTAATGCAAATCTACACAGAATCCAACTGTGCAAATCAGAATTGTGCAAGGAATGAATGAGTTGCAAACAATTGTAAACATTCACAATTAATTTTACATGCTGCTCACAAAGGCTTTGAACACTGTGGGAATGGGGGCAAGTTCTTTGGGAATGATGAGTTCTTGCTGCATGATCAGCGGATCATTCGGACCATGGCAGGCGCCGAGGATATTTCACGTCTCGTTGTTTCTGGGCAGTGTGGGCTTGGTGCTCACTACTGCATTCTCCTTGCACCAGGTGTTCCATGACTCCCGGCATCACAGTCTTGAAGAAACGGAAACTTTACATATGATAGAACCGGTGACAGATGATGATGAGTACTTACAAATAAATCCATGAGAAAGAGTGAAAGCTGGAAGGTACAGTGGAGGTGTCTATTCTTGGAATATTTCATGTGGGCCAAATTTTTGATATCCATAAAATATATAAAATAGCGCAGATTCAGAAGTGCGAAAATTCCAAATCTGAGGACGTTTGAAGATACCCTCTGGTAATTTAACATAGCTATGGAAAATCACCATTTTTAGTGGGAAAATCCACTATAAATCACCATTTTCAATAGCTATGTTAAATTACCAGAGGGTATTTGAAGAGAGTTGAATTGAATGAACTTGAGTCAATGGTTTCCACCGCTGGTGTCCAAAACCTTCAAAAGGCTCGGAGGTAAAGGTCCCAACAAAACGTGTTTCGTTTACCAAATGAGCCTTTTCCGCGAAATTTCGACCCTTGTCTTTATCGCAATGAAGCTTGGAATGCCTAGCCCAGACCAATGGCATAAGGACCAGATGACCCTGGAGCAGACTTTGCATCGAGAAGGCCATGCAGTGACGCCGATGAATGTCCAGTTGGCCATGGCGATCAGAAGCTTGGCTTCAGCCATGGTTGTTTGGTGGCTGTTTGGATGTTTGGCCACAACTCTTTTTTATGATGGCAGGATGTTTCAGAAAATTTCAGACTTGTTTCGCTGTTACACTTACTTTCTCGTCATATCATGTCATATCCGTGTTCTTAGCTTCCCTGAACATATAGCATATGGAAAATCAATGAAAATCATGCAGCGATGATATGTGATGGCACTGATTTTCAAAATCCGACGCGGCGCACAGCGCGCAGCTGTGACAGCATCACAAGGCACTCTTCCAATCTTTACAGCGGGAGCAGCTTAGCTTGAAAGACCTTGGCACATTTTCTGTGCCAATTCCAGGTGAGTCGTCAGACATGAATGATCAAGTGCCAGCTGCTAGCCACTTATTCAAGGAATGCTATCACAACCCTTATCATCAACATTCATCAACTATTCTCAATGTGTTCCTGACGCTGTAAGAACTGTGACAACTCTGGGATTTACAAAATGATTTGCGATTTTTAGTCATTTGTGATGTCCAAGGTCGCCTACACATCCCTGTGGGTCCCAGCGCTTGGCTTTGTGCTGGAATTGCTTATTGCAATTTTCTCTTGCATCGCCATTGGCTCTTTAGTGCAGTTTCTGGGCACAGATCAGATATGATCAGATAGTCAGAAGATGTCAGAAGTACAGCGAAATGAGGAATCACTTGGAGGATCTATTCTCATTTGTTTGCCAATGCAATTGTGTTTTGCTATGTTATGCTATGTTTTGCTTTAGTCACTCTAGTCATCTACGCTGAGGTACTTTTTGCAAGCTTTGGGCGAGCCACCAGCCCCACGGCGGCTCATGCGAAAGGTGCCACCCTCAGTAACCTTGAATTGCCATTCGGTCAAAGTGCGAATGCAAGCCTGTTTGCAGGAACAAATCCATGGTATATGTACGTATAAGATCGTATAAGTATATGTATATACATGCGCGTATATGTGCGTATATGTACATATAGACAGACAGACAGACAGACAGATAGATAGATAGAGGATAGAGGATATATGATATACATGATTGGGTTATATTGTGCTGCTTTGACCTGGAACTCTTGCCAAGTTTTGAGTGCCCTTAGCCTCAAATTGAGATAAAGGTGCCAAAGAGACGGTGGTGGTGTGGATCCTTGTGTGGAGGTGCGACTGTCACAGTGGGGCAGCTTCTTGAAGAATGCAAGTTGCTTGATCAACAGAATAGCATTCACCATCATTCACCGGAACATGCACTTCATTTTTGGGCATTGTTGGGGCGCCATACTGACCATACTAACACATACTAACACAATCTACAGATATCTACAGTGTCGCTTCTTCCTTCGCAGATGCGCAGGTGTCAATGACCTGCTTCCAGCCTTAGGGCACTTTTGGAGCAAGGACAGGCAATCAATTTGTACAAGTGTTCCTTCCAGCGCATGCATTGCTAAAATCGAGAGTATCGTTCGTTGGCTTATTGTGGCCAACAAGTTGACAAGGAACTTTACGGAATCTAATTTCATTGATTTGCGAAGCCTTGGGTCGCACCAGGAGCCTCACAGACTACAACTTCACGACCTTCGGTTTGCTTTTCGGGCCTGAACCTTAGACAGGGTCCCCAGGGTGGCTGGGAAATGGAGGACATCCCCTTAATCATCCTCGTATAGTTGTATCTCAAAAGGGTGTTCGTAAGGGATATAGATAATGGACATGCATGATGCTATGCTGTAGAGCAGCGTGTTTTTGCCGCCCTCTTCACATCCGCTCATGACACATGATTATAACGAGTGCTGGGACTAGAAAGAGAGAAAGGGAGAGAGGAAAACAGGTGAAAAACGGCAACCCTTGAAATTGCAATCTAAAGACTAAAGACCACAAGTGTGATGAGGAGGACACATGCGACCCATGACAATCATGACATGAGTCATGTAATGGCACGTTTGCCTTACTTGCCCCCTGTCAGCATCCCCCCAAAAGGTCGTGGCCTTTTTCATTTGGAGCTACGTCATTTTGAGCACGTGGCAAGCAGGAGTGAGCATGGTACCGACACAGGCCCGTGATATTTCATGGTTTTGGAATGTTTTGGCAATGTATGGCAATGTAATTATGTTGTGTTCTTTGTTAAGCTTCATGTTGGGATCTTGAGCAGTTTAGTGCTGCATGCATTCATGGCCATGGCATGCGTTTGCTACAGGTTGAGCGCGTACCTGGTGGCTGGTGCGTTTACCCCAAGCCAATCGGAAACACAATGCAGGCACCTGGGTCCTGCATCATCCTGCACCCACTTCACATTGACGCAGTATGCATGCTCAGTATGCAAGCCGTCTAGTGCTTTATCTTGTTTCTGAAAGGCTTCGTACGCCTATGTTCAGGCTTTCGCCTCACCCATCCTCACCTTTTCCAAAGAGGGAATATTTAGAGGGATTTAGAGGGTTCAATGTTTGGACAGTTGCTTTCTGTATTTCACTAAAGTTGATGTGGGCCACCCAACTCTGTCATCCTTTGACTGGTGCTGGTGACTGAAGTTTGCTGAGCCTGTTTTTTCTTTGACTGGCCAGCACATCACAGGTGCACCTCACCCACACAATTACTGGTACCATCCATACTGTATTTGGATGTATTTAACCGCCTTCGGCGTGTTCTGCTGGCAACCATGGAAAGAGCTATCCTGTAAGCTGCAAACAGCCCTTGCACAGGCCCAGCAAGAACATGGTTTTTGTGTAAAACATGGTGTTTGTGGATAACACAGTTTTTTGTGTAAAACAGCTCTTTGTGTAAACGAGGGTTGGACGCAAAAACATTGGTTTTGATGGTTTTGTTCAAACCACAGTAAACCAGGGTTTTGGAAAAGGCCATGTTGAGAAAGGGTTTGGAAAAGGCCATATTTAGAAAGGTTATGCGTGTAAAAGGTGTTCGGCACAAAAGCCAGTGGATCAAGTATTGGACACAAGAAGCGACGGAGCAAACCGATGGCAAACACAACAAACAAACGGAAACAACCATCGAAACGACAGCAAGTTGTGCAAAACCAAGCCGGTGTTGAGCGAGGCGTGGGCAGAGTTGAGCCCACCACAACGTAAGGAAAGATGAAGACAAAACGCTAGGCGGGGGGGGGAGGGAGGGGGGGGGGGTGGGGGGGGGGGGTGGGTTCAAGTTAGACGAGGCAAAAATCCGCGCCAAGGGGAAAGTCTAGACAAACACAAAGGCAAAACAGACAGCACAACGACGAACAAGCAAGATCCACAAGACACGCCGGCGGATTTGGTGTTAGTACCTGTTCCCCAACCCACTTACAATCGTCACCGTCCCCGTCACCACCATCATCATCATCATCATCATCATCATGAATCATCATCATGAATCATCACCATCATCATAATGAATCATCATCATCATCATAATGAATCATCATCTGTATCTTCATGAGGGATCAAAATTTGCCACCCCCTCTGAACAATATGTTGGTTGAGGTAATAACATCAACTATATCTCCATGAGGGATCATAATTTGCCACCCCCTATGCGCAATATGTTGATTGGGGTAATAACATCAACTATGTCTCCATGAGGGATCAAATTTCGACACCCCCTAATATGTTGGTTGGGGTAGTAACATCAACTTTATCTTCATGAGGGATCAAAATTCGCCACCCTCTATGAAAAATATGTTGGTTGGCGTAACAACATCAACTTTATCTTCATGAGGGATCAAAATCCGCCACCCCCTATGAACAATATGTTGACTGGGGTAATAACATCCACTTTATCTTCATGAGGGATCAAAATTCTCCACCCCCTATGAACAATGTGTTGGTTGGCTCAATAACATCAACTTTATCTTCATAAGGGATCAAAATTCGCCACCCCCTATGAGCAATATGTTGATCGGGGTAATAACATCATCTTTATCTTCATAAGGGATCAAAATTCGCCACCCGCTATGAACAATATGTTGATTGGGGTAATAACATCAAGTATATCTCCATAAGGGATCAAGTTTCGCCACCCCCTGTGAACAGTATGTTGGTTGGGGTAATAACATCAACTTTATCTTCATAGCCACCTGAAGTCAGACGCGGAGCAACGTCAGGGTTGCAGCGTACTTGTTTTGTGTTGTTTGCTTGCCAACCTCATGTAATTTGAAGAATGTTTGGCATCAAAGTTCAGAGTTTGATTATGCATTTGGTTGCTTATCAGATGCTTCAACTGTCAGCAATGACACCAATGACACTGATGACGAACCGCGAGGTGATTTTGATCGTTTTTGCAGTCTCCTCCACCTTCGTTGGAACTGCTGGTCTTTCCATCATAGCGAATGGCGTGGCCTACGCTCTGGGCGAGGTGCTGGTGGCACGGCCAAGCGATTTTCTCACAGAATTTTACACGCATCCTCCTGTAGTCTCAATGTTTAGCCGCCTTGGCCTTGGCCACTTAAAGTTGGTACCTGCGAGACATACATTGTTGCAACATGTTGGGTTGACGGGGGGGGTTAGCCCCGCTTCCAATTGTTTTGGTTCGTCTGTCTGTCAAAGGCAAAGTGCATATCATCAAAAATTAGTGTTTCGCTGTGGCGAAATGGCAGTTTTCAAACATGCTTATGATGTGTCATTGACTTGAGTTCTGCTTAGCAGTGTCAACATAACTTTCATTTTTTCAAAAAAATGGATGTTGGGAGCAACCCTTACAGGGGTTTGTTGCCGCGATACATTTGCATTTTGAGCTCTTTTTTCATTGATGTGTCAAAGGCAAAGTCACATGATCAAAAAGGAGTGTTTCGCCGTGGCGAAATGACAATTTTCAAACATGGTTATGTTGTGTCATTGACTTTTACAGGGGTTTGTTGCGGCGACACATTTGCATGTTGAGCCCTTTTTTCACTTGTCTTCCATCCACGAGACATCTTCAAAACATTTCACATGACTGACTTTGTCAGTCATGTGGGCAATGAATTGAGCGAACGCCATCATAGTCGCTTCCAGGCCTAAGTTCTTGTGAATGTAAAGTGCTGACAAACCATCCACGTGTGCAGTTTTCAATGAGAGGCCTCCAAGCTTATTGTTTCGTCTCAGCTGCTGTTTCAGCAGAGCTGTGTGAGATTCTGCGACCTGGTCTCCTCCGACCATGGTTACTTTATGCCGGCCAGTTTGAGCTGCTTTGCAGCCAATGGCTTTCAAGGCTGTTGTGGAAACCTTTCTCTTTTTGAGGGACTGTACAGGTGTGTATTCTGACAAGCTATGTCTAGCAGTGACTGCTTCCAAGTTCAATTTTTTTCTAGTTCCCTTCAATCCTTTGGAGGCATCGGAGCCCAGGATGTGTTTGCTGGGGTTCACTTTGTGTTGCAAGAGCGGCACAACTTCGTCTAAAGTCTCTGGCGGGCCAGGAGCAGATGTAGCCGTGAAGCGGTCAGGCAAAGGATAGAAAGCGCTTTGTTTGTTTTTTCTGCTGACAGCCACTAGAAACCGACCACCATGCACTGCCACTTTGGAAGTTGGTTTCTTGGCAACCGTGTTCCCGGCTGGCTTCTTTGTCATTTTTCGTTTCTTTGACCCCACCTTGTTTTTTCTGGTTGCCGTACGACACGAATCTACCTCCAGGATTCCGGCGTCAAAGGTCATGGATTTGTTTTTCTGAAACTCAGCCCAACCTGTCACCATGCGAGCTTGCTTGTAAATGGAATCGACATAGTCATGGGATCGCCCAACAATGTGCGCAGCTGCATCTTGAGGAATCTTAGCACTGACACAATAAACCGTACGTACGAAGCCTTGCATGTCTGGTTCATGTCCACCTCTCAGTCGGTTGATGAAGGGTGTGTAGCCAAATTTCCAATTGATACCTACAGGCAAGAACGGCCACAACTGAAAAACGCACAAGTCGAAGACTAGGTGAACATGCGTATATCATTCGCGATGGATCCAAAAAAATGAAACCATACCAAGATGCGAGGTCGCAGTGCTGGACAAGAACGGTTCGAACAACGCAGTAAGGCAGGATCTTGTTGAAGCTGGTTCAAGGATGCTTGACATCTCCAGCACTGACGTCCCCACTGCACCCCGAAGAAACCTTTGGCTTCCAGGTATTTTTTGCACCGCATTTCAGACCACAAGGCTAAGGATGCAAAGTCAATCTGCTTGAGACCTCGCAAAGCACGGTACTTTTTGAATTTCCCACGGATTCCGGGAGAATAGCTGAGACCCTTCTTGTGAAATTCTCTGTTGACACCAGAACTCGTAGCGATGGTGCGACTCGGAGGTCGTTTGCGCCCAGAGGGATATCTATCATGTCCGAGGGATTTTTTCATTGGACGTTCCCTGTGTGAAACTCGGACCTAAAAAGGCTTTGCAAAAAGACGTGACATGAGTGGAAAATGGCCACTGGCTTGCTCAAAAAAACCTCACACCTAGTGAAACACATGGCACCCACAACTTCACCAACCAAATTCTGGCGACTGGGAGAAACGTGCAAGGTGTGTCTGCAGTCAAGGTATCAGAGTCATGGCCAAGTGGTTTGAATTGATTCCCATGATATTCGCGATTGACAGGCCATTTCATTCTGCGGAAACTTCATGCTTCATTCTTCATCAGGTGCAAAGATCTCTCAGCAAACAAACCGCAGCAGCAGCTCTTTTTCCGATTGGCACAAAGTTCTTCACACATCGCGCTCAGTGTTTCGGCGCAAACTGGCAGGGAGTTCTGCATACTTGTTTCTCATGAACTTGGGCAGCTCCGACCATTTGTCTTTCGGAACAGGAGCGGAAAAAAAACACATTCTTTTACCATCTTGTACTTTCTTGAACCTATTGCAAAGCAAGCGAATCTGTCCTGCAAATTGACCAGAAGCATAAAGGTGCGGCGACAAAGCATATCCACAGTCTGCCCGCATGCATCTACCCCATTTTGTGTCAGGCAGGGAGGTCGCTCCATCTTCATCTGCGACCGGTTTGACACGGTCCTCAAAGAGCGCAGCCCGCTGCAGCATCGACATAGGGCCGCCAGACGAAGACGCAGCCGAAGATGAGTGAGTGAGCTCGGCAGCAGAAGCTGAGGGCAACCTGAGATTCATCATTCTCAAATGCAAATGAATGCATCAGGGAAAGAATTGACAGTACAAATCCTTGGAAAACAATTCGAAAAACAAACCAAGAAGCGGGGCATTCACAGAGTGCTTCAAAAGATAATCGAGTTTTTGTCGCAAAGCTATAGGACTATCGATAATCTTTCCACCTTGGAAGCGCGGTGGCGACAAACTTTCCGATTTAGCTGACGATGCATCTCCTTCAGCATCTTGACTTTCGGATTCCGATTCCAAAGTCAACGTAGGAGCCAACATTCTTCGAATCTCCGGGCTCTCACAGACCTAGGATACAACAGTTTGAACGTCACGAACATGACAGTACAAAGTCTATTTCGTCTATTTCGGCATCCGACAAGAAATGATAACGAGGTCATCTAAGGAAGAAAAGTAAGATGTCAAGAAAAAAACTAAAACCGAACTCAGAAACAGGAATCACGGAGGGTGGATGTTCAAGAGTTCTGCGTCCTGCAGTCGAAAGCGGCTCAATGGGCTGCCCAGATTCCAGCAAATTTTGCAACATCATTTCACATTGAAAGTCCCAAGGTTCAGCCAACTCTGAGTCAGGAAAGCTCTGCGGCATTGTTCCACGTAGCCGCTTCTGCAACCATCCACCTTGTTGAAGAACTTTCACTGGCAGAGGCCTATGTTCTTTCACATAACGAAACCAAATTTCCTTGAGAACCGACAAACCCTGGCGAAGGCTCGTCCAATGATACACTCGTTCCACTGCAGCAAAGGTGGTCTCAGCTCCAGCATCCCCATGCCATTTCAACGCTAAGATGTAGTGAACATCCCACAGTTCTTCCGTGCTCAAAAAGGACCAAAGAACACAGACAGGTGGAAACTTTTCATGAGCTGCGCGGAGGAGAATTAACAATGTAACACCATACAGAAGCGGATCCATGGAAACAGAGCCCAGCAGCGAGCTACACAAGCAAAGCTGTGCTAGACAAGCATGACATTCCCATGATATTCGCGTTAAACCCTTTCTTGCGTTTGAACCATGTAACTACGAACTACTTTTGGAAACTTATATGTCTAAGCAAACTTGACGAACTCTCACGCAACCAAGAACTCCAACCAGCCCTGACACACCAATGCAGCCCAGCCCCAACATCTGAGATGCGTACCTGCAGCGCAGGTAGCAGGCAGACATGACCGGTGAAATTTACATAAACAAATCATCCTGACAAGTATATATTATTCAGTAAATATATAATTATATAATACAGTAAATATATCATACAGTTAACACAGACCCAACCCCCCCAACCCCAAATACGTTCTTCGCGTACCATCAACATCGAAAGCAAGTGCACACACACTGCCCCCAAGACCTTCTGAGCGTAGCAACCCCCCCCCAACCCCAGATGATCAGCGTAACATCATCAGCGTAACATGAACGTTAACATCCCACCCCACCCCTCCCCAACCCCAGATGATCAGCGTAACATCATCAGCGTAACATGAACGTTAACATCCCACCCCACCCCTCCCCAACCCCAGATGATCAGCGTAACATCATCAGCGTAACATGAACGTTAACATCCCACCCCACCCCTCCCCAACCCCAGATGATCAGCGTAACATCATCAGCGTAACATGAACGTTAACATCCCACCCCACCCCACCCCAACCCCAGATGATCAGCGTAACATCATCAGCGTAACATGAACGTTAACATCCCACCCCACCCCCCCCAACCCCAGATGATCAGCGTAACATCATCAGCGTAACATGAACGTTAACATCCCACCCCACCCCACCCCAACCCCAGATGATCAGCGTAACATCATCAGCGTAACATGAACGTTAACATCCCACCCCACCCCACCCCAACCCCAGATGATCAGCGTAACATCATCAGCGTAACATGAACGTTGACATCCCACCCCACCCCCCCCAACCCCAAAAGCAACCCAGTAAAAACGGGGCTAACCCCCCCCGTCCAGCCAAAAATTGTTGGTTCATTGAACTGGTTTGAGGGGGAACACAGGAGATTTAACCAAACAGGAGGGATTTGCTTATTCGACAATGGATTGAATGGAGCATTAGATCGATTGAAGAGACAACTTGCAGGAAGCCATTATGAAATGACCCACACATATACTGCTTGGTGGTGTGGAACATGGCTTTTATTTTTCCATATATTGGGAATTTCATCATCCCAACTGACGAACTCATATTTTTCAGAGAGGTTGAAACCACCAACCAGATATAGGATTTCCTGTAAATGTTTCCTTTGTGACCAATTCTTGGAGATATTTGTATCTGGTGAAGCCAAAAATGAACCCTTTCTATCAGAAATGGGTGGCATGAAACCTCCAAAAATTGAGGTTTAGTATTGGCCACAGGAGTGTGTCGTTTGAGATAGAAGATCTCTGCAGCTACTGGTGGTTGATTGGATCTCGCTGTCCCTTCTGGTCATTTAACAGTTTGCTATGGAAAACCACCCTTTTTACACAATATCATAAGTAGGCGTATCCTCGATAGATGGGACCTTTTTTTCCCCATAGCAAGCTGCTATACCTTAGCGGAAAGTCTCTCCAAAATCTGCAGGCGGGTGCGCAGTTGCTGGCGAAACACGGTCTCATTGAAATTGCTCCTGGGCCCATGCAGCTGGAGGGGTTGGAGATTTGCACACTTGGGGAGATATCAGGGATGTACGCCTATCTATAACAGCCAGTGTAGGCATGGAACCATTATGATGCAACTTTCAGAGGGGATGTTGCTACCGTGCTAGGCATGGTGAGGATGTCCATGCCTGGACATTGACACCATGACACCATGACTGTGCCCGAGATTGTCTCAGAAATCACGACATAAGGAAGGTCGATGGTTGTGATGGTGGTTTGTAATAATTGATCATAATTGGCAATTAGATGCAATTAGCATGTCGATGATGACTTGAGACATCTGGGCAAATTTCAAGCTCATAGCTGGCAGCAGTTTCTTGCCTGCTGATCCTATGGCTTTGTCACGACGAAACGGGATACCCTAAAATCTCATGGTTTTCAGGGGTAAATCTCATTTTAGGACACACCCAAAGCATGGTGTTGGTGACGCAACCCCATTCGATCATAATTATATCGCCAAATTCATCCCCTAAGTCCATCATTCATTGGTTAAGATATGTTGATATATCCATTCTATTCCATCCATCATACCGTATTTATACTATATTATATTATATCAAAATACATCATATTATACAGTATCATATTATATTAAATTACATAACATTATATTATATAATGTTATGTTATATTACATTACATTATATTATATTATATTATATTATATTAAATATATTATTTTAAATATATAATATAATATATCCCAATATTAGCCTCCCTTATTGGCATATTCCCATAACTTGCCTTTCGTCGATCTCCCCAAAAAAGGCCATCGACTATGCAGTGGAGCACAGCAATTTCCAACACGCCTTCGAACTGGCCAACTTGTCGGCGAAGCACAAGCTGCCGGACATCCACCTCAAAAAGGCTGTCGGGCTTTCGGAGGGTTTCGGATGTTCAAAAAGGAAGGCAGCAATTTTTTGCGTTCGGCTATGCTGGTGGATTTGGAGTGTTATTTTGTGGGAATCTCTGATATCATTCTTATATCGAATCTTATATCTACGGATTTAATCTATTAAAGAGGGAATCTCTACCCTAGGATTCCTAGTCTCTGTATATATATATAATTAGATATATATATATATATACAGCTTGTATCCTCAATCTTATGGGCCAAGCAGGCCTTGGCTTTGGAAGATGATGAGCAGCCACTGGGACGTTGATCACCATGGAGATGTCACGAATGGTAAATGTCCCAAAGAAATCCCATGGTTGGTTGATGTTACCCCTGGAAAACCATAGGAAAACCATAGGAAAACCATAGGAAAACCATAGGAAAAACCATAGGAAAATGGAGGTGTACCTCTGCGTAAAGTTTACATAACTATGGAACATCACAATTTTTTTGGGTAAATCAACTATAAATGGCCATTTTCAGTAGCAAACTGTTTGTTGATCAGAGGGTAATAGGTCAGTTGAATTTGACATGACTATATAGGCAGGCCAACGATTGGATTTATGGCAGAATCTACGGTTGGATGGGTGAAAATGAGCCAAAATTTATGCTGTAACTGCCGGGGCCCTGGGAAAGGTCCCCAAGAACGAATGACTTACCACGAACATCCACTAACATGACTAATTTTGTGGGCTGGGAACACCATTTTTGACCTCCAAGCACCCTTAGCAAAAATTGCCCAGAAAAGCGGATTCTGGGAGACTGGTTTCGAATTGTTTTGTAGAAGAATCAGCGGCTTCTTGGATTGCACCTGCAATTTCTGGAAGGTACCATCTGGTAATTTCAATAGGCTATTGAAATGGCCCATTTATAGGAGTTTTCCCATTTAAAATGGGATTTTCCATAGTTATGTTTAAATTACCAGAGGTACTCGTAACATTGTCTATTTGACCACGAAGAATTGAGAACACAACTGTGACACAACAATCACGGGATAGACATGCATTTTCAGTCGAGGACAAGACCAGATAGATTTACTTGGATACTTCCCAGTGCTGGTGACAGCCTAGCTCTTTTTCTGGTGATATCTCGCTACTAGTGGTGGTATGTCAGCTGTTTCATAGTCAAGGCCCAGATTGCCCATCAGATCCCTTAGTTCCTTCTAATTAGATTCCATTTTTTGATAAGGCTTTGTGAATCCGTACAACTGTCCCACTAAGAAGATCATGAGTAACTTATGAACCCCATCAGATTGTTCAGGCGAGTTAGTTCACTCACCCACCTTGCCTGATTGCTCCTAAAATCAAACGGAATCTATACCATCAACAATTTGCATGGTTCAACTACTCTTTCCAACTGCTTAGCCAAAGCGTTTGTCTAAAAAAACAGGGTGACACATGATGTTGGCTACATGTATCCCATTATATACTGGTTGGTGGTTTCAAACATTTTTTATTTTCCATAATATATGGGATAATCCTTCCCATTGACTTTCATATTTTTCAAGATGGTTAAAACCACCAACCAGCATCAATGATATTCCCCTTCTGGTTGCTATATTCCCATGATATCCCCAGAGCGCCCAACGCCCCGGGCAACGCGACGAAAAGCCGAGGTTTAAGTTGGCCGAGGAGGAGTTTATCCAAGCGAAGAAGCCCAAAGAAGCCATTGATATGTCCGCGGCGATGGTCAGGGATGGGGAAACCTGGTTTTAAGCGAAATGTAGCAAGAACTAAGAGATGTACGCCATCTATCTATCTATCCATCCATCCATCCATCCATCCATCCATCCATCCATCCATCCATCTAGCCATCCATCCATCCATCCATCTATCCATCTATCCATCTAGCCATCCATGCATCCATCTGGCCATCTAGCTATTGATCCATCCATCTATCTAGATACTGTATATAATATACAAATCGGGACAGAAACCCACTTACAAATTATATTATAAACAATACATACTTGGACGTGGTGGTGCGCTGGGATTCAATGGAGAAGAACATTTTTGAGGCATTTCATGGTGGATTTGAATCGCTAGGCTGTTGCGGCCACAATAAAGATGAGATATGATGAGATTGTGATGCCGATGACGACGATCATGAAGAAGACGATGATTATGATGACGACGATAATGACGACGAGACGATGATCATCACGATGATGTTCAACTTGATGATTAATGCTTGGTGATTGACGCTGGACCATTGATGCTCGACGATTGGTGCTGATACTTATTAATTGACGATGGTATGCTCAGACCTGGTTGGTGGTTTCGCACTCCCTTCCAACTATTGGGGTGCCCAAGTGACAACTGTGACAATAATCCTGAAGAATGACAGGAATATATCGGAAAATCATGGTATTTCGGGCAAAAACCAATGGTTTCCTGTGAAAAAGTCCTGAAACCGTCTCGAATTATCCATTAAATGGTTAAAATCCCAATTTTTGATGGTTAAACGTTAAATCTACCATCCAAATCCATTGAATCCTCACCTTTGGTGACCGTGATGGTCGTCGTCGCCAGGTACGTCCACCAGCGCGATTGGGTGTCAGCCATGCGGGTGGCCGAGGCGTCAAATTATTCCCTACTAATCCTAGAGGGGTCAAGGTATCCATATTCCACAGCATTCCCTACTAATCCTACTATAATTCTGTAATTGATTCCACATTACTGTAGGGATTCATTCTGTATTCCAGGTATCCATATTCCAAATGACCTATCCAGTGGTTTTCCATCGATGCTGATTGGGAAGATCATCTCCAAATGGCCGACCGAAAAGCCAGAAACGGTCCCTTATTCCAGTAGCGGAGAAATGGGTGGTATGAAATCCTCCAAGAAATCGGAGCTAGTGGATTTGGGGTATATATGGTTAATACCTATTAATACCTATTTATGGTATATATATATATATATATCAATTACCATCGGAGCTACAATGGTATATACCCTCTGGTTATTACCTATTAATAGCATGGTGATTTTCCAGTTCGCTATGTAACAAATAACCAGATGGTAATTGATTTTGAGACTCGACTCTCGCATGAACTCAGAGGTCCATAATGACACAGCCCCGGACTCTGGTGGTGGGTCAGTGCATTTGAAACTATGGTGACTGAATATCGTGATTGATTTTGAGACAGACTTTTTTCCCTGGCAGAAATGGGAAACTATAATTTTGACTCCATTCCCTCCATTTGGACGTCTTTAAAGCAGGTAGGCCCGGACCGGGCCCTTTAAGGTAGAGCACGAACTTGGTAGATTTGAGAAGTTACACCAGTGCTCCATCCAAATCCATGACATACCCATCCTGTATCACATCCTCATCAAAGTGGAACCTCCAAGGATGTTGGAAGATGAATTTCCTCATTTTTCCCCCACTTGGGGCTTTCAACCGGGCCAGGCATACGAGCCGCAGAGCGTGAACGATGTCATGGTGCATCACGCCAAGGATTTGGTGGATCAAAACAACATGCAGGCGCCGAGTCAATCGAGTCGAAGGGTCGAGTCGATGGGAGGTGGTGGTTCCTGGAGTGATCTTTAGATCCGTTTTCTCGGATTATGTCTACCCATCGAACTATAGGTCATTCTTTCGGTACCAGAAACCCAACAGTTCACCTACTATGCACAAATTCGCTATCTAGCGGACACCTTGTGGTAGCTGGGGACGATCCTAGGCGGATTTCCCTACCACAACTGCTGGTTTGGAACATGAATTCCAACTTTTCCCCAAGAGTTGGGATGATGATCCAATCTGACGAACTCATATTTTTCCGGGGGTAGGTATACCACCAACCAGATAAACACTTAAAGGTCATAGAGTAATTCTAAAGCAACTTGCCGAACGAAATGGGGCACCTTGTAGGATACACCCCAGTTGCAGATCTTGTGGTTCTGATTTTCCGGAAAAAGAGACCTGAGAGAAGGCGACATTCATAGGTGGTTCATCCCAGTCATATGGCTATGCCTCAAAACCCTGGTACCCAAACGGTACCCTAAAATAGCTGGTAAATGGATGACACATGATGAAACAATACCTATTAAATCCTATTAATACCATTTTTAGTGGGATGAACATCCATTTACCAGCTATTTTGATGTTCACCAGGGGTACAAGGTTTTGACACACTGCCATATCTAGATATTGCCCCTACCCGAGTAGGAAAATTGTGTTTGTTCCACTGAGTTCGCTATAATCGAGGCAGCTGAGAACCTCTTCATCCAGGCTGGCAAGCCCGAACTGGCCGTGAAGGCGCGCATGGCATGGCCGGGGTTTTCTGGGGTAACATGGGGTAAACCCTGGTAGATGTTCCATGAAAGCTGCTGTGGAATAGTGAACAATTAGTTTTTCGGGGGGTTCCATGCATGATTCAAGTGGTCTTGTGACATGTTGTGACGTGTTGTGACATGTTGTGGCCCATTTTCTATTGGTCGTTTCAACCAGTTGTTCTTTTTCGTTGGACTTGGCCTGACTGTTGTATTCCGAACAAGTTCCTACTGTACGATTCTGGACATCCAGTTACCAAGATTTCACAATTTTGGCTCCCTATCCCCTCGATTTTTTGAGCCTTCAACCCCAATGAACATCAACATGTCAAAGCTATGGCTATGACCCAAAATCCCCCAAACAGGGCACCCCTGAAGCCCACAATCCGTCCCGGCTCACCGCTTCAGGCTTACTCCTCCAAACGCAACGTCCCTGAGGCAGTACGGGCCGGGGCGCTTGGTCTTGGAGAACTTGCGGATCGGATAGCGGTGTTGAGAGGCAACATGTTTCAACTATCTATATCCATAATGAGAATCAAGTTGTGTCCTCCAAATATGGGAATCTGTTGGATCATCATTAATGTCAACCCCGGATTAATCAACCCTTAGGCTGGTTAATTGGGGTGGTACCATTTTTTTTTATTGGATGAAATGACTATTGGAGGAGTACCCCCCTAATTTTCATAAACCATGGTTTAGTCTCATCCGGGGTTGACATTATGTTATATTATGTTGAGAATCATTTGTGGCTGACAAAGTGGCAGTGTCGTCCTGTACAGGGTCACGTCAGGCTGAAGGACACAGTCACTTAGGGAACCTCCCGCTAGTTACCCTCTGATCTTTTACATAGCGAACTGGAACATCACAATTTTCAAGTTTGGTAAATCATCGTTTTCATCATTTGTTTCTATGGGCCATGGCTTCCATAGCAAACTGTTAAATAATCAGAGGGTGATGAACCACTTTGTTGTAGGGGCTTATATACTGTCATTACTATCTTTATAGATACATATAGATACATAGATAATGACTGTACATCTGATATAGCTATGTTAGACAATTTAGGGTACAGTTTGTTTTTTTAAGCCTCCTCTTTGGTTGGTCCTTCAGTTCTTCTCGTCCCTGCATGAAAGGACGCCAGGGGAATGACAGCAACCAAAAACCCATAGAACTTGACCAGAAAACACATGTGAAAACTCATGAAATCCATGATGATATCCCCAGTATGGATCAGAAAAAGGCTGATATATACGTAGTATACGTTGGTAGTAAATATTCCCATTACATACCCATTACATACCTATTATTTCCCATTATATAGCCACAATAGTTTTTGTTGTTAATACCCCCATGATTGTTGGCTTTATATCCCCCCATCGTTGCTGTTCTTTCGAAGTCTTTCGAAATGGTGCGTCCAAAAACCATGGCGTCTTAGGTGTGCAAGAAGCATTGCCCTCATATGCTGGGAGATGTCGTCGACTCCTACGGCGAAGGAGGTGGAGCACCAGGAGATCCGGGGCGTCGGTTTCTGGGGGCCGACGTAGCCATGCTTTCCCCATGGAAGACGCCTCTGGTAAACATAGAAAAAGCGATGGAAAATCACCATTTTTAGTGGGTAAACCAAGGAACTCAATGATCTCAATGGTAATTTTCAATAGCAATCTGTTATCAGAGGGGCCATGTTGAATTCCCCGGTATCTCAATGAGACCTTTGGTTTTCACATGTCACCAGACCTCAGCCTGGGCCCCAGCTTTGAGTGAACAACGCAACACATGAAGCGGCTGAGCAAGGACCCTTTGAACGGTGGTTGCACACGACCTTGCGTTTGAATTCTGCTTGGGACAGATATTGTGTTTGCTGCTTCTGTGTTTCTGGCTCAATTGAGCCCTTGGTAGAGCCCTTAGTCGAAGAGGCCCAGCAAAAACTGGGCAATTCGTCCCAAGAAAGCGAAGAAAACCATGACTCCAATCTGAAATTTTGGGGTGTAAAATCTGGTATATGCATGGGGATCCCGGGATCCCCACATCACAAATTTGACACCTTTGCTGGGCCTCTTAGCGGCTGACGTCGTTAACAAATGGGAGTTGAGTATCGCAACGGTCCACGAAGGGCCACCGGGAAGTTGTGCAGATCCTTGGGGGTCAAGGAGCTGGACGACTTCGCTGTGGTTTTTTATTTTGAGGCCTGAAAACTGAGAAGTCTAAGGCCGAAGTCCCACGAGCCACGGCAGCGCAGCGAGGAAGAAGAAAGTTCCCCAGTCATTGCGCACTCTTTCTGCGCGTGAACGTCACATTTTTTTAAGTGGAGGATCATTTCAACGAGGTACAGGACCTGGCAAGAACTGAAGCGATCTTTGGAAGCTGCTCTTGGGACCAATGGAGCGATTGTTTTGGAGTCGCCATAAGCCATACCCCGATTCTTGTGATGATTGATGAACATGCGCGAAACATGTCACCTTTCATGGTCAATGATCTATGGCATTGACCAAAGGCCAAACGCCATGGTCCAAGAGTTAAGGGCCACAGGGAAGTTGTGAAGATTCTTGGGGTCTAGGAGCCTCGCGATTACACCCAAGAAACTGGGCGCTACTTACTCAGGCTTACAAACTAGGTGCGATTTTCAAGCGAGATTCAGGACCAGATCTCTCACATCTGCGAACAAGGTGGTGCCCCAGTTCGTGAACGCCATGGTTTATGGTAGATGTATTGAACTACTTACTATGGTTCATAAACCAACTTATATAACTGGGGGCACCACCTTGAAGCATTTTGCAAGAGAGTTACCATGTCACCTGTAGAGGTTTGAGAGGATCGCAGTTAATGATACGTAGCCACCTTAGCCACCTTGTGCACAGATCCTGATGGGTTACTGATACCATTTATGATACCTGCAGTTTGCAGTTTCCCCAATGTCCACTCGGTCTACCAAAGTCACATGGTTGCTTTCACTGTTCCAAAAAGCAAAGAAACACTACTGCCGTTGCGTGAAAAAGCACCCCTTGTTGCAGGACACGCGTGGTTCAGGGTTCCCCGAATTGGTCGAAGGGGGAAAAATATACATTTTACTGCTTCAAATCCTCCAATTCTGCTGCTTAAATGCAGTTAAATGCATCTACCTGTGACCAAACATCCAACTTTTGGACGATTCAATCCCCTTTTTTGGTTGTTGAGTTCAACTCCCTGAGTTTTTCTCAAATCCTCAACTTTCATTTCTTCTTCCCCATTCTGCGGCGTTCAGTTCAACATAGTTTTTCATTCCCCAGGTAATAAAGCTCAATTTCTCAGTTCCAAACCTCGTAGATCCATGAAAGTTTGTAGATCCAAACTACAGGCTTTCTAGGGTGGTATTTTAGGGGCAAAGGATCCATTGGACGTCTGTGATGGCCACACTTAAAAGCCTCGTGAGTTGTCCTTCACCGACTGGATGGGTACTGAAAGATCCTGGATAGTTTTTTGCTAATGGAAAATAACCATAGCCAGCAAACGATTTTTGATATTTTTTGTGGATCAAAGATTGACCATTCCTGCCCCATCCTGCGCAACAGATGGAGATAGGAAACGCATGGGTCCACGCCTCCAGGAACGAAAAACTGGGCCATCAAACCATGAGGCCCAAGTGATGCCCAAAGTGGCAGCACTAGCGGCGAATATGTTGCACAAAATCAGAGAAAGTGTTAGTCATAATAATATGAGAATGCATTATAGTCATAGAATTACATGAACAAAGAGTATTTCTGTATTTTATAGTAGTCATTATGCATATTAATGATATATAATGATATTATGTAATGTCTTTCCAATGCATATCTGAATACGTTTTAAATATACATAAGATTGAAACCACAGTAAAAACCAGTAAAAAGCCAGTCTGATCAGTGTGGCCATGGAGGTGTACTCGGCCTTATTGGGTGAGAGGTTGACAGTACTTGAGGCAGATGAATTCGAAGGTAAAACGGTGAAGAGTGTCAAGCAATCTTTTGCAGCACAGTTTCCGGGATTTGCAGAAGATTCTTTTTTGACTTTCCCAGGGGTTAATTATGGCTTTTTGGTTCCTTTGGAAAAATGTGCTCAAGATGATTTGTGGCTTATTTTCCAATGGGTTTAACTGTTTGGGGAGGTTGCTTGGAATATTTTACAATCTATTCTTATGGCCCCACAAATCTAAGGTTCGGAGTCTCCAGATTCAGGCAGCGGATCTTCTCGGAAGATGGCTCAGAAGAGATCCCGGATGATGATACCTTTTCCCTGGCGCCTGTTAAGATCCGGCTGCTTCTCTTGGAATTCTGCCCAGCTGATGCTGAACGAAACCAGCAGATGATTTTGGCATCGAGAGACAATGATTCAGTTTTACTCGAAGAATTGCTGCGGTCCCCGCAAGATCCCAATGTGGTAGACGAGGATGGAAACACACCTTTGCACCATGCGGCCGAGAACGGGCATGTCAAACCTGTGCAGCTGTTGCTTGAGGCAAGTGCTGAGAAAGATTTGGGACGCCATGCAGATGGGATGACGCCCTTGTATTTGGCAAGTGCGGATGCTCATTTGGACATTGTGCGGTTGCTGGTTGAGGCTGATGCCGACAAAGAGAAGGCTGCGAACGATGGAATGACTGCATTGGGCATGGCAGCTGCGGCAGGACACCTTGATGTTGTCACCTTTCTGATTGAGGCCGGCGCCGACAAAGAGAAGCTGCAGAATGGTAGAACGACAGTATTGGGCATGGCAGCTGCTCTTGGCCAGCTCAACATTGTCACCTGTCTGATTGAGGCCGGCGCTGACAAAGAGAAGGCCATGGACCATGCAATGACAGCATTGGGCATGGCAGCTTCGGAAGGACACCCTGATGTTGTCACCTTTCTGATTGAGGCTGGCGCCGACAAGGAGAAGGCCCTGAAGCATGGAATGACAGCACTGGGCATGGCAGCTAGCAGAGGACATCTTGATGTTGTCACCTGTCTGATTGAGGCCGGCGCCGACAAAGAGAAGGCCCGGAACGATGGAATGACAGCACTGGGGGTGGCAGCTAGCAGAGGACACCTTGACGTTGTCACCTTTCTGATTGAGGCCGGCGCCGACATACACAAGGCCCGGAACGATGGACTGACAGCCTTGGGCATGGCCGCTGCGGAAGGACACTTTGATATCGTGCGGTTGCTGCTGGAGCATGGTGCAGATGTGCACTCTGCCGGCAGGGGTCTGGATCTGGCATTGGACATGTGGAAATCTTTCATTTGCTGACTGAAGATGGAGCCAAAGGCACCGATGTTTCTGAACATGTAATTGAGAAGGTTCGTGGTGGAGAAAAACGACCGGTACCATCACGACATGTTGGGGAGGCGTAGGATCGATAGAAGATAGAAAGATGGCATGAAATCCCACTGCTTGGGACGGTGCTTGATCTTTCGTAGTATTTCTGTCTTGCGGATCCCAACGAAATGTTGCTAACAAATTGCTGATTGGTTTGAAGGCCTTACTGTGTAAATAAATAAATCAATATAGATATATACATATATATAGATATACATATATATATACATATATATATATATAATATATACACACTCATCATTCCCACACCTTTAGCAAATGCAAAGGACGGGCTCTCAACCACCCAACCATGGGTTACAACAAAAAATCATGTGTAGGCAAATCGTCAGCCTTCTGGTTTTGCAGTTTTCGGGTCGCTTCAGGTTCATGATTGATTGTTAATGGCTAAATCGCGACAATCTATTCACGTCCAACTTCTCCCCAACTTCATCAGTTCATAGTTTTTCACTGTTTTTCATCCCCACCTTCACCGTTTTTTTCGACACCCCCATCTCCCTATCTAATCTATCTACTCGCAGCGCCCATGGCCCAAGGAGCTCCACAGAGTCTGGATGAGATTCTGGACGCAGCCAAGATCTACGAGGCCTGGGACCACTGGGACCTGGAAATGACCCTTCTTGACAACTCGATGATTTACCCCAAAAGGTGGTTTTCCATAGCTATATTCAATTACCATCAATTACCAAAGGCTATTATTATGGTATATAATACCCCCAAAAGCAGGAAGGGTTCGTTTTTTTTTAATCAAAGGTTGGGATTGGAATGGATTGGATGACTTACACCAAATTATATAGTGCATTTTTGGGGGTTGCAACATACTTTATATGGATAAATCTGGGCTGATCTGACTGGTTTACCCAGTTGTCGCAATCAACACATTGGACGCTCGCTGGCTGGGTGTTTGAACATGGGGAAATCACGCAACAAAATTTGCCAATGGATCAACTAGGGTTAAAAATGACCCCGAGTTGACATTTAAATTGTGGAATTGATACAGAAATAATATGGCACCATGGGTTTTATTAGCAACATGGGCTTAGTATTTGGTCATTCTTGTGTTTACTAAATTTGCCCAGATGAATTTTGATCAATCGGTGACAACTGTAGATAAATATGAATAGATATGAATAAATATGAAACATATCAACAGATGAGTTTGGATTTTCATGATAAACCTCAGCTTATATCGATGGTGGTTGTTTGGCTTTTATACACGAAGCCGTCTTTGCCTCGCGGAAACTAGACAGTTGCCTTCACAAGCAACCAGTGAAGAAATCTGTGATGCGCGTTTGAACATACAAGATTGAAATTATTGGATATGGTTCTATAATGTTCTATATCCCTCCAATGTCTATAATGTTTTATATCCCCCAATGATCGTTATAGATTCTACTCGTACCCTGGAGTTCTGGCGTTCGACCTACAATCCCTGGCCGAGTCATGTCGCTTTTCGGGAGGAGACGGGCAACTATTCCCGGGCCATTGACACCTACCTCTCGGCCCCTTGCGATGGGTTGTTTGGGCAGAGACCATTTTGCGAAGCCATATTTTCAGTTGGGGATTTAGATTCATAGAATTGGATGATGGGAAAATTTACAGGAAAGCCCTATATTTGATGGTAAAAACCATGGTTTCCTGTAAATTTCCCCTTAAACCAATCCAGTGATAGATTTGTTCGTTTTTTTTTTGTTTTCTGGATTTTAGATTGAGATTTATGAAGAAATCATTAAGTTGTTCATAAATCAGGATGGATGACCGTAGGTTCCATATCCCACGTTTTGACCCATGGAATCGCATAAGATCTCAGTATAGCTGACTAAAACACAGACATGAGCGAACATATGGAGTCAATTACTATTGTAATGGTGACACGAACAGGGATCTCATCGGCATCTCATGGGTATAGATTGTCTGTGTAGTATATCATGAGATAATGGTTATATAATACATGATTCATGACATTGGATGAAACTGGTAAACATTATCATACAACCAGTTAATGTCATTTCATGGTTACAAACATCATTAACATCATTGACCAGTTACGAAAACCAGTTTATCAAGTTGGTGCTTTCAAAAAACATCACAACTTTCATGGCCGGGCGATCCCGAACTCAATGGTACCCTCTGGTGATTTGTTGCAGTTTGCGAACTGGAAGCCATGGCCCATAGAAACAGATGATCTTCCAGTTCGCTATGATCGAACCATATCGGGGATTCTCCAGCAAGCCATGTTTGAGACTGGAGGATACCAGGATAGCCCATCACATTTTGCTTAGTTTTGTTTTGTGATCTATGATGATCTATGATAAACATTGATAAACCCTATATTGGATGGTCATAAGCCCTATAATTTGGGATAATATAACCTATAGGGGTTACTTAGATGATGATCTATGCATTTTGGGGGGTCATTTGAAGGGGGACCTTCGAGACTTGTAGCGGCTTTCTTTGATGCCAAGGAGGGGTCACTTGGCCACTTTCAGGTGTGAAAGTGTGTCACTACAACTTGACAACTTGGTGAATTGTGCTTAACTATGCGGTGGAGTTTGATCATCAACACCAAACAATTGCTATAATTAGTCTTTGTTTGCACAGTCTAAGCATTTCCGGAGCTAGTTGTTTCCGACATATTTTCTTGAGCAATTTCAGCAGATGCAGATGCATCTCCGGAAAAAAAACAACATCATTTTCCACATGTTCCATATGAACATTTTTCCCAAGATTTCAGACTTGTCCCCTGCTTCCACTTTTTTTTTCATTTTTTTCCATGTGTTTCTCCCCCAGATTTTGGAACAAATCCCCCCTTGCATGGGTGTTTGATGCTTTTTTTCGTGGTTTCTCCACGGTTTTTCCATGGTTTTTCCCCTGAGATACCCTCATGGCCAAAAACGTTGACAGTTAGCTATTGAAAATGGCCCAGTCAACGTGAACAAAATCGAGTGAACATGGCCATAGTTATGTTGGTTTACCTGGTAATTGTTTAACAGTTTGCTATTGAACATGGCCCAGTCGAAATAGTGGATTTATCCTCTGGTAATTTAACATAGCTATTGAAAATGGCCGTTTATAGTGAGTTTTCCCATGAAAAATGGTGATTTTCCATAGTTATGTTAGTTTACCAGAGGGTATCCATCAAAAATGGTGGATCTTTCCATAGCGAAGTGCTGAGTTTCCCCATCAGCCCAGGTCACGGAGACGGCCTCCGCGGATCCGGATCGCCTGGAGGAGGCCAGTAGTGTGCTGTGCGGCCGGTTAGGGGCCCAGCCCCCAGTCAGAAGTGGGTTATAAAGGCCATCACCATCCATGAACAGTTAAACATTAGTTAAACCACTTATGATTAACTATAGTTATATCATGTTATATTCAGAATTTACAATTCCCCCATATGTAGATGATTTATAATCTGGTTGGTGGTTTCAAACATGACTTTTATTTTCCATTTCATAAAAAAGGGATGTCATCCGAAACCCATTGGCTCATAAATATTTTTCAGGGGGTTGAAACCACCAACCAGTAGTGGTTTATAAGTAGTTTATAAAGCATGAACTAGTAGGATATCTATAGTAGGATAGTAGGATATCTATATAGGATGGCCATGAACTATAGTTCTATCTACCATAAGTGGTTATATCTACTAATAGTAGGATATGATATCTACCATAAAAGTCATGTAAGTATATGTAAGTTGGTTTATAAACCATGAAAAACACCATGAATAGTAGGAGATCTATAGTTTATAAACCATAAATAGTTTTTTTGAACCCAACCATCATAGGATAATAGTTTATAAACCATGAAATAAACCCCATGAATACTAGTTCGTTAGTTATATCTATCATAAACCATAGTAAAGGCACTTATAAGGCAACTGAACGCTATCTTGGGGGCCCCATCCTGTAGCTATAAATGGATGATAACTAGGGGTACCCCTATGACTTAGGAAACCTCCATGTGTATTGTCTTTCTCGATTTTAAAAAATAGATGATATATGATATGATATGCTATAATATGATATAATATGATCTATTATTGTTGACAGTTTTTTGATAGATATCATTAATATCACAGTTTTGATGGTATTTGATTATATATGTATATATAAATATATGTTCTGATACATTATTGTTAAATATATTTTGGATTGTCTTAAGCAATAGTATGATGATCATATTATTCCACAATAGTATTAACCAATCTTATGACACTATTGATTAATATCTGGATGGTGAGAGATGATATATACTACTATACACATATTAGTCAATAGTATCATAATCATATCCAATGGATCCAATACTTGTTTTTCATCAATGATTTCTTCGCCATGACTTTTTTGATATATGCAGACTGTGAAAATGGAGGTTGGAATGGGAAAATCAACTGTATGAATCACATATGTATATATATACATGATTATATGTATACATATATATATAATATTGAATTATTGGATAAGTACATTATATGGGGTGTTGGGATGATTATTGGTAATTATTCTTATTAGGATTACTATGATCGTATTGGTTTTTGTGGGAAGGGATTGTGACCTTCTTCGGGAGTGGCCATGTTGAGACGTTTGCAGACTGGGCTTGCCATTTTTGCAAAGCCTGTGTTTGAAGCAACAGAAAGGAGGTACCATCTGGTTATTTAACATAGCCATGGAAAATCCCAACCATAAATGGAGGTTTCGTTCGCTGGGAAAATCAACCATTTTCCATGGCCCATGGCTATGTTAGTCATAACCAGAGGGTATATCCCATTAAAACCACCATTTTGTTGGTTAAACCCCATTAAACCACCATTAAACCACCATTTTCCTATGGTTTTCCTATGGTTTTCCACCATTAAACCACCATTAAACCATGGGTTTTTGGAACCTGGCCCCGGGGGATACTGGATTTCTCCAAGCCACGGAGATAAACCATGAACCGCCGTGGATACCGTGGCAGCAATTCGCCGAGTTCGTTGCTATCGCAGACAACAACAAGACCGGTTGGTGGATTCTTTTCCTGTGGAATTATATATGTATACACATAGATATTATACACAATGTATATATATATATATACATACATATATATATATATATATTATACATATTATACATATATTATTTCCAGCATTTAAAATTCCTTCATCGGGATTTCGCCAAAGCCCCGACAGTCGAACTCACCCCCCCAATGGTTGTTTCAGATTCGCCACCAAAAAAATGTGGTTCTTGGTGACCTGTGTCACCCTTGGGTTACCGATGAATACAGATGATGTGATCATTTTAATTGCCATTGAGTTTGTGGATTTCCGAGCAGGGTAAACATACAAGAAGACTCAAGAAGATGTGGAAAATTTACGGGTTTTTGGTAGAAAATGTGGACAACTTCGGTTTTTTTGGTAGAAACATGATGGGTTAAACTGGTGGGTTTTCCACCCACATCCCTATCCCTTGCTGGATGCCGGCGCCACGACAGGTCTGGGAGAATAGTGTGCGGCTCTCCATGAAGCACGCGCAGGCCTGACGAAATTTTGAGTCGGTGACCTCCTAGGTCCTCTAGATACAATGGGATGGGATTCCTATGGGATTCCTATGGGATTTCATGGGATTTACCCTCTGGTAAACGTTTACATAGCTATTGAAAATGGCCATTTATAGTGAGTTTTCCCATTAAACATGGTGATTTTCCATAGTTATGTGAACGTTTACCAGAGGGTAAATGGGATTTTAGACATGGAACCCCAAACATGATCGTTGGAAGTTCATTTTTCTGTGGGAGATTGCAAGTTCTGGATGCCGAGGGTGAAATTCTTGGGGTGCACGGGGTTGTCTCGAAAATGGTAGATTGGTAGATCTCCCAAAATGGTTGTTTCGTGGCTGGAAATGATCAACAATTGAATTGAATCTGGGGCTTCCTCTTTTTGGGATAACTCAATGTCGAAAATAGAAGCAGTTCAATGCTACAGACCCCCCCCAAAAAACAGACATACGCAGACTCTAGTATCTCAAATAATCTCAACGAAATGTTGGAATGTACTGGTATCACATTGGACGAGGAGCAAGTGGGACATTACTTGGATGTGCATTCCAGCTGGTAAGTGGTCAAACACCTACGTACGTAGAACTGGAGAAAACATCCCATTCCTTAGTATATAATCCTTACTCTAGTATACCCTCTGGTGAACTAACATAGCAATTGAAAATTGCCATTTATAGTGGATTTTCCCATTAAAAATGGTGATTTTCCATTGCTATGTTAGTTCACCAGAGGGTAACTGGGTGAGCCAACCACGATGATTTTCACCACGTGCGATAACAATCCCAGTGGCAAATTCCCAACTTGGATGCATGTCATAGTAGTCAATCCTATTTCACCATGGGCCAACAACAGATTGATTATCATTTGATATAATATCATTTACCCCCTGGTAAAAGAAACATAGCTATTGAAAATGGCAAATTATAGTGGATTTACCCATTAATGGTGGTCTTCCATAGTTTTTTGTTAACGTTTACCAGGCCGGGTAGCCATTAAAGACCAGGTGATACGTATCCCATGAGTTGATCACTTTCCATCCCCAGGAACGCTACAATGAGACCGTGTCCATCGTGGCCAAACGCTTGAAGCTGATCCAGCGTTACGAGGCGAGCCGCGGCGGAGCTGGCGAAGCCATGGCCCAGCCATACGTTCGATGATTTACCTTAAAATGATGATTTTCCATAGTTATATATATGACATCATATGACATCATATGACATTATATGACATTATATGACATTATATGACATTATATGACATTATATGACATTATATGACATTATATGACATTATATGACATTATATGACATTATATGACATTATATGATTGACGTTATATGACATTATATGACATTATATGATTGACGTTATATGACATTATATGATTATATAATACTATATATTTACCAAATGACCAGAAGGTGTTTGAAGCAGCAATGCTGTGACAGAAACAGAGGGGGTAAAGAATGGGTGCTTCGGGATGCTGGGAGGGTCTGAAGTGATGGGTCAATCTGTTGTGGGCCAAATTTGGATTGGGCCAAGATGATTTGTTGCCTCAAGTACCCTCTGGTAATTAACGGTTAGCTATTGAAAATGGCCATAGAAATAGTGGATTTACCCATTAATAGCATGGTGATTTTCCATAGCTATGTGAACGTTTACCAGAGGGTAGTTTGTTTCAATGATCAAGTGATTTCCATTGCTCACGTTGATCACTCCTGCAATCTCCTGAAAAAATGGCAGGCTGTGTAGCCAATCTACCCGAGTTTGTTTGAACATGGACGGTTAAGTGTAGCGAAGAAACACTGTGGAGGATATGGTTTGTAATTGTACAGAATACATCAATCATCTCCGGCCTTGATATAAGCAAAGTTGTCGGCATCACGGGTGCAGTCTGCAAGTAGAGATTCACGACGGTTTATGATCAACACACCCTGTCAATGGATTGATACTGTGGATGGGCCAGCGAAATCCGAATCACCAGTTGGTACCCTCTGGTAAACTAACATAGCTATTGAAAATTGCCATTTATAGCTGATTTACCCATTAAACATGGTGATTTTCCATAGTTATGTTAGTTTACCAGAGGGTAGATGCTAAACATCCCATTGTAATCCCATGAAATTCTCCCAGTGTTTCATAGTTGTCTCAGAGTTGCCAACTGGTGATTTGGATGACTCGAAGCCATCGGAAATTACGGTAAGAAATACGTTTGAAACATGTTAGAACCATGTTTTCCTTCCAAGTTTGGGGGGGTTCATGCAAAAAACCCTTACCCTCTGGTAATTTAACATAGCCATGGAATATGGTCCATTTATAGATGGTTCACCTATTAAAAATGGTGGATCTTTCCATGGCAAACTGTTAGTCATAACCAGATGGCGGAATCCAGCAGCCTGGGATGGCTAGAAACTCATCCTTTAGATTTTTTTTAATGGAACATAGCTAAGAAGTAAGCAAAAGATGTTTTTTTTGGACTACCAAAGATTGTCCATGACTATAGTTATACTACGAGGTTTATTGGAGATAGTAGAAGGGAATAGCTATCAATCAACCAGTATAGTGAGATGGGAAAAAGGTAATTTTTAATGGCTCGACACATGCAGCTTAAGCTAAGTTAAACACTACCTGGTGAGTTGGAAGGTAATGGGCCGTTGGCCATGTTATCGCTTTGCAGTTGCCCTTACTCTCGTCATGAGTGGCTCAATATTTAGAGAGCTGGTTGCTGGTTTCGGCCATATTATTTTATTTTCTCAGTCACTGGACAGAATTTCATATATATATATAGTTTTGGGAAGGTTTCGGGTCAAGATTACCCCCACGGACGTTCTGTGACCTGTGATTACCTTAGCGGCATATCGTGACTGTTTGCCGCGGGCTGCCATTCAGCCTTTCGGTGCCTTGGAACTTCTTGAACGACTTGTGATTGCATCACATTGACCTTTCTGTGCTGCTCACTCTCGTTTTCATTTGGTTTCTTTGCATCTGGTGGCGTCCCGGAGCCCCTAAACTCCCGGGTGACTTGGAGCCTCTTGCATCTTCTTAACTGGTTCGCCCTGGAATTTGCATTTGGTTGTTCTTCTTTTTGGACCTCCTGGTGTACGACCTGGCGATCGGGCTTGCACAGGACCTCTACCTCATCATCCTTGTGTACCCCAAAGTGATCGGGCTCTACATGGGATTTTGGAATAAGTTTGTGACCGTGATCTTCATCTTTCTGATTTCCTTTGACATCTCTGCTGAAGAGCCCTACGTGATTTGTCATCACGACGCTGGCTACTCGAAGAAGAGCCTTACGTCGTGCTCGTGCGACGGCACGCAGGCAGTGGTACCTTCATCGACGTGGCTGGATTCAGCTGACTTCGCACAGGATCTCCAAGATCTTCACGGTGCTGAAGAAACATCATTCGAGAGACGCAACTTTCCTTGCCAGGATCGCTGCAACAATGTCGACCAATGCACCATGGCGTTGTGGAGGCTGCAAACAAGTGAGGAAACGCTCTGCAGAGTTTTGCCCAGTATGTCGACTACCATGGCAAAGCACCATCGACTACTCCTACGTTCACAATCCAGGAGCCCGTCAAGATGGGAGCGCGACATGGTCTCAAGATGCTTGGGACAATTCTCACGATTCCTCTTCATGGAGCAGGACAAGGTCCAAAAGCAGGACACACACGCCAAAGGGTCGCAGAAGATCCAAAAGTGCACAGGATGACAACAATATCAATACGATGGCAAAGGGCATCCAACACAGCCTCCGACCAATCCATATTTTGGAAAAGGCCAAGGCAAGGTGCCGTTGCCCCCATTGCCGCCCCCAGCGACTCCATGGACAGGATATGCACAACATGGACAGTCTATGATGATGTGTCCACAGCAGATGCAACAGATGATGCCTATGACAATGACACCATCCCAGCAACAACATGCTCCTCAGATGCCAGTGCTTGTGGCACCGTCGGCTCCTGCACCACAGCAGGCTGCGCCTCCGCAGGTGAATGTCGATGCAGAGCAGAAGGAGCTTATGGAGATGATCAGGGCCCGCCAAATGGAACTGCCCCCAGACATGAGGCAAAAAGTGCAAAAAATGTCCAAAAAGGAAGGGGCACAGGCCACAAAGGAATTGCACTCTGCAGTGCGCACCCTGGGCTTTGCGAGAAAGGATGTGGAGGAGGCTCTACAAGCCAGATACAACCTGATCGCATCATGGAAGCATTTTCTTGCCGATGCGGTCCAGCAATGGCAGGGCTACACATCCCTTTTTCAGCAACAAGAACGAGATCTACAAGAGAGAATACAACAGGCCCATGCCAACTTCATGACTGCCAAAGTTCAAGCAGAACAATCGCAGCAGGAGGCTGGCAAGATCACGCCCATAGAGATCAAGGACGACGACGAGGAGCTGACGGGGGAGCAGGCCAATGCAGATACCTCCTCCGGAAAGATCCAAGAAGGTCTGGTGAATCTCACAGCTTCTCTCCAACAATTACAAGCTCAAGCAGAATCGATAGAGATCGAAGAAAAAGCTGCCAAACGTCCAAGAACGACCATCCCAGACCAAGCGATGGAAACAGAGGAGGGAGAAGTTTCACAAGGCACTTCAAAGCAGCCTTTTGCCTAGCCCGGTTGTGCATGACATTCTCGTATGACGACCTAGGGCCTTGCAGGCATTGGGATAGTTCCACCCCAGCCACTGTCATGAAGTGGAACAACAGAGCCATTGTGAATGAGACATTTGTTTCGGAATGGCAAGCACAAGAACAGGCCGCCATTCTCCAACATGAAGTCTCACAATTTTGCAATCTTCCATTGACCTGGACACGCTCTACCAGTTCCCGATCTATTGAGCGTTCAGACCTTGTACTTTCTCGTTCCAGACCCAAACGTCCTACTTCACTGCATGTGAGTTTTGCAGATGATTTGGAATTGTGGATTGGAATTGAGGACAGCCTTGAGATGTACAAGCTGCAGGTCCCTCTGGAGATTGGTGCCACAGGGCAAACTCCTTGGAGCTGCCCCAGTTTTGAGCCTACAGAAGGTTCCACGAGAGACCAACGTTTCGCAGCTCACACTGACGGCGCTGGTCAAACTCATTTTTACCATCTCCCCAGCAGTCCGCTGTGGATGAATGGAATCATGGACCTACTCAATCAAGAAGGACATTATGATCCTGGTGAAGAGGAGGAGATTGTTTTTGTCACTTCATACTACATCAATCACCAACACCACCGCTTTCATGATGAACCCAGGGTCCTGAGATTTGACCGAGAGGTTGCAGAATGGGAGAGGGATGTGCGATTTATCTGGGAAGATCTCATTGATCATGATGCGCAGATTGACATCGTCATCGTGCGCCCAGATCCTCCCAAGTTTGCATTCCCAGCGACCGCGGCCACAGTGATTGTGCATCAACATGCCAGTCCTGAAAGAGCTGCATGCCTGATCTCGCAAGTTCATATCATGGATCCTGAGACACGATTCTCTGAGAGTGCGCATTCCACGGAGTTGCAGATCACGCGTGACCAGGCCATCCACCTTGCTGGTTCGGAAGCAGTTTGTCAACAAAGAGCTGCACAAGGAGCAGGAGATTGTACCATTCACATTGGACATCAAATGTTACCTGCCGATGCCAACATCGCGATCTTTCATGGATTGGGCCTACACATACGTATTCCTTCAACTCTGACACAAGAAGAGATTGAACAAAACCTTGTCCGCAGACTTCACAGACAAAGGCAATTACGAGATGGCAATGAATGGGATCCGCCAGAACCAGACATTGACCCAGAGAATGAGCACCCACCACAACGAACAGACCCAGGACAAGGAGATCATCATGCACCTGAAGATGCGACATCTTGCATGGCGCGCAATGCTGCGACATTTTTGCAATCCTCAAGGACCAGCTCTTCGTCGACTTCTGTCAGTGCTATCTCTACCTCATCATTCCATTCTGAAGATTTGCGGCGTGCCGTTATTTTCACAATTGATGGAAGAGCATTTCCAGTGAGCTTGCCGTGGAGTGACACCAGCGAACATGAGGCAATCATTGCCCGTGAAGGAGGATTTGATTCTGGCCTTATTCTCCAGCTATATCAGATGCATCAACGACCACGAGATCTTGAACGCCTTCAACTGGAATGTTTCCTGCTCCAAAACGTCCATGAACCGAGACCAGCGCAATTCATGAGGCTGATTCTTGTTGATATTGACATCTATGATCAGCAACACTTTCAACCTTTTGCAATGCGCAGACTGGCCAAATGGTTGCCCACCACTGTCAACCGTAGATCTGTCTTCAGGCTCATGGGACTGGATCAACAATTTCAAGAACAAGAAGAGCTTTGCTTCTTGTGGCACAATCATGTTGCAATCGAAGCAGATCAAGTTCCCCCACTCAGATTGGAAGACGGTGATTACGTTCAAATCCGCATTGGTGAGCAACCGGAATCTTTGAGCTGCATCTCAGACTCGACTTTGCAGCGCCTCAACATTACAAACGAGAGCTGGCAGCCAACTCCTGATCCGGAAGATGAACACCTTGACCTCTTTCAAAGGAGTATACAACAACTCCAACAAACCTGGCAACAACTTGAAGCTCAACTGCCTCAGCAAGAAATCAAAGTTGCACCTCAACATGAACGAGGGGCCATGTTGCCAAGGGATCAGGACCAGGGCCGGAATCAGGAAGGCCGCACAATGCCTCAACCTATCTTCCATGCAGATGACTATCAAAGTTTCCACAACTTGTTTTCTGCACAAGCTTTGATAGAATGTGAAGAGGAAGGCCCAATTGCTTACGTTGAAACATGGTATCTTCACCATCACAGGTGGAATGTTTGCAGAATATCCAGAGCAGTTCGTCTACACCACGACTCGCCCGACTGGATTGACGACATCATTGAGCCATGGAGAGACGTTTTTGATGCAACTGATGGCGCGACAATACATCTTGTCAGACCAAAGCCACCATGTATGATGACGGAATGCGTCATGGCCCATCTCATTATCGAACAGTCCTCCACCCCAGACCACACGATTGGCCTGCTTTCCTTCAGCCGGTCGACAAGAAGAGGCCCCGATATCCGGCATGTGGCGCATTCTATGCCACAGCTGATGAATCAGGCACAAGTACTTCGTTTGGGTGAGGTCTTTGATCAATGTGGCCCACGTTATGGACAGCATGACTGCAGAGTACGCTGTGGTGAGATCCCTTTTGGACTCTTTGATTGGGATGAAGTACCAAGAGCGACCAATCTCGTCATCTACATGCATTACAGACGTGATGTCACTGCTGCAGACAATGACGACATCGAACTCATGCAACAATCCAGCACGAGATGGAGCCGGACGCAGTCCCCACCGCAAGCAGGTCTTGAACTACCTCGACAAGGTGGACAATGCGAAGGATTTACTTTCAATCCTAATGCTGCCAGCTTTGTACCCAATGCCCCAGTGATTCGCAATGCACCTGAACACATCCAAGATTTGTATCAGCAGTGGATGCGTACTGCATTCTCCTGGGCTGGGGAACAAGCTTCTACTACAGTCATGACGTGGTTCGTAGATCAATTTCATCCTGGCCATCAAGTCTGTCTTCATCCACGACCAACGCGGCTTTACGAAGACTTTCGACAATGGACTGACCAACTTAGAAGGACATGGAGTGATCGAGCCCTTCCAGGAGCACCAATTATGATACATGTGGTCGATCCTTCTCCACCACAAGTACATCCTGAGATTGCCACACATGTACTTTTAGTACAGAATCCACAAGACACCCTGTCCTCAATCGTCGTGACTGGCTTTGATAGTTCGCTACCACATCATCGGCCTTTCACACAGTTGGCAGCGACATTTCATGAGCATTTTCTTCTCGATCATCTCATGATGTTGATTGGATTAGGTGGCCGATGCCTTTTCCAGACTCACCTATGCACTGCCAAGCACGGTACAGACAAGAGCCAATCTACCCTGGAGCTCCATTCCCTACCAGAGATGGTTATGGTCTTGTCTTCCATTTGATACCAAGGCTGCAGCAACAGGGTACACAAGGAGTTGGACTCAACATGCTGTAAACACGCACATGTCTGCAAAGACAAAGCAAAACCATACATCTACAAGAGCTGATCTCCGAACCAATAGACGAGGACTGTGAGCGCCAAACAACTGCTTCGGTGGCTCATGAGCAGTGGCCACAGGACCTCGACATTTTCCCAGCGGTGGGCGAATGCCGACCACAAGACTGGGTACAACCTGACTCGAAGATGCTGGTCAAAGTCATATATGCTCAGGAGCCATCACCGCCAACAGCACCCCCTTCAACTGTGGAACTGCAGTCCATCTACAGTGCGGAAGATGCTGAACAAGAGCTTCGAGCATGGGGATTTCACTACAAAGTTTTCTTATGTGGAGAACATGACACGATCTTTGCCCTTTCCTTGCATGAGAAACTCGATGATTTTGTGTACGTCTACTGTGCGACTGACTCGAACATTGACCAACCGGTCATCATCCAGCGACAGCACACAGAGCTCACAGAGACACAACACATGAGATTCCTCTATGCTCACGGATTCATCAAAGCTGTCATACTCCAACATGAACGATGGCATGAACGTGTTCATTGTGTCCATTTCACGGACGTCAAACCTGAACATGCGCCAGCATTAGGGACGCCAAGAGCACGCACGCCATGGCCGGCTCCTCAACCTAGAATCCACACAATTGGCCCCATGATTGACTTCGAGTCTGTCCAAAATACATTGAAGGGCACATGCCAGATTGGCATTGATCTACAGGAGCTCCGATGTTTCTTCGAAGATTGTGGAGATATCCTCTGGAAGGATTACGAACTTTTCGACCTTCCTGATTTTGTTGGAAATGCACTACAGCACTGTGGCCCCATTGACAGAGTTGATCGCTATGTCATCTTTGCTGATGGCTCGTCTCACTCTCAACATCGGCATAAACCTCCACTCTGGGTGGCTGAACATGATATAAGTGATTCTTGGGCTTTCGCGGTCTTTGCGGAACAATATGCCGAGAACAGTCATGATCCGCCACAACTGGAATTCCTTGGCTGGCATTGCCAACAAGTACTTTACGATCTTCAGGCTCCACATTCCATTGGCACTTCCAAGATCGGATCGGATGCAGCCGAAACTGAGGCACTCTTCTGGGCGGGCATGTGGCGACTCAGTCGCAACAATAATGTTCCCACAGTCTTCGTGACAGATTCTCGACTGACTGGAGATCAGGCTGCTGGACGGTGTGGATCCAGCACAAGAGATGCACCATTCCTCAACCTTCGATCGGTTTTTCAAGCACTTCATGGTGGACTACCACATGGACATCTTGCAGTGCAACATGTCAGAAGCCACACCGGGGATCCTCTGAACGAACTGGTCGACTGGCTTGCAAAGCGCGAGGCCCACACCAGCCAACTTCTACCCAGACAAACAGTGAACATGCAAAGTTTCTGCCACATTCTACGCCACCTCTGGATTGTGACAGATCAAGCACAAGATCTTCCTTGCTTAAGCCCTGCTGGCTTAGAAGTTGCCCCAATTGATCTACCAGTGCATCAAGGACTCTCTTCGAACCAGGTGAAATCAGAAATGTCAAATGTCACTTTCAACTTGAGTTGTGGCACAGCGAATGTCCGCACTTTCTACAGAGGTGAACAAGGTCATCCTGGCAAATTACACTATGTAAGAGAGCAATTTCAAGCGCATGGTATCCATTTTCTCGGCTTGCAAGAGACTCGCACTGATGAAGGATCATCCTGCAATGGACAGGTCTACCGCATCGCTAGCGGCAGCGACCATGGTCAACTTGGAGTTGAGATCTGGGTCAATCTGAAACAGCCCTTCACACATGGAGATTCAACACAGTGCTTCAAGCGATCCGATTTTGTGGCAGTATCCAGAAGTCCCCGCCATCTTCTGGTACATGTCTTGAATGACCACATCGACATTTGGCTTCTATGTGCACACGCGCCTCACAGTGGAGCACCTCAGGAAATTCGAGAACACTGGTGGCAGCAACTTTCTCAACTAGTTTGCACGTATGTCACCAATGAACATGTCCTGGTCATGATTGATGCCAATGCACGAACAGGACCTCTGGACAATGAACATGTATTTGATCTTGATGACTGTGAGAACATCAACACACCCTTATTGCGTGATTTTCTTCATGCACATGGACTTTGCGTACCAGCCACCTTGCCATTACATCAAGGAACCAGGACCACATGGACACATCCTGCAGATGGTACAGAACATCGTATTGATTTTGTTTTCATGCCCTGTTCTTGGACCTCGTGGTGCACACAGTCATGTAGTCTGGACAACCTTGATTTTGGACATCTTGGTGATCACCGAGCTATGGCCATTGAAATTCAGTGGAAGGGTACCACACAGCTGCCTCACAGATCTGGGAATCGGACCAAGTTCGACCGGAACAAGATCAAGACTGCGCAGCTTGCAATGAATCTTGACGGTTATCAACCGCCACCATGGACTACCAACATTGAAGAGCAAGTTCGACATCTCAATCACTTCATCCAGGAGACTCTCCATTCTCAATGCCCGAAACCGAGAAGTGGCCCCAAAAAATCCTACATCTCAGATGAGATCTGGAACATTCGAGCCATAAAGCTCCGACATCATCGACAGTTGAAGAATATTCAGAAGCAGAGCAGAACAGAATTGTTGTCTCGCACTTTTCTGCAATGGGCCCACAGACTGTCTCGAGACCGTCACGAGCAATCTGAAGGCTACCACCACACTCTGCTCATACATGGACTCAAGACTGGGATAGCGCTTCATCAAACAGCCCGACAGTTGCGATCAGCATTGAGCATGTCCAAACGCCAAGAAGTCAAGGAGGCTATTCATAATCTTCCAGAAGATAGTGCAGCCTCCACCATTTTGAACACACTCAAGCCCATCATTGGACCCACGAATCCGAAGCTTCGCAGGGTGTCGCCACTACCCATGGTGCTCAATGATTGCGGAGAGCCATGCACAACACCCGATGAACTTTGTCAACGATGGGCTGATTTCTTTGGCGCAATGGAAGGAGGTGAAAGAGTTTCAGAACAAGATCTACGGGCCGACTGGATCGCACATCTGAAGGACTTCATGCAAGAGACCATCCAATTGGGTCCAGAGGATGTCCCATCACTTACTGACCTTGAATTTGCATTCAGAAGAGTGCGCTGTGGCAAAGCCGTGGGAGATGATGATGTTCCACCTGAACTCTGCCATAGCTTTCCCACGGAGATGGCGCGAGCCACCTACACGCAGCTTCTGAAACTATGTGTCCACGGTCAAGAAGCTCTCCAGCACAAAGGTGGCATGCTCATTGCTGCATGGAAGAGGAAAGGTCCACAGGATCAATGCTCGTCATATAGATCTCTTCTCATCAGCTCGCACATTGGCAAAACTGTGCACAGAGCTGTTCGAGACCATCAAGCAGATCTGTATGAGGCCTTCCTTCGACGAGAACAGGTAGGTGGCCGTCGTCATTTTCCTGTATCAATGGGAGTGCACTATATTCGAGCAGCTGCCAGGGCCGCCAAGAATGTCAAGAGATCGCATTCTCTTATTTTCCTTGACCTACAAGAAGCATTCTATCGAGTATTACGCCCAGTTGCGATTGGCGGAAAACTGACGGATGCTCTTCTTGCGCAAGTGGCCATGAGGCTCCAACTACCTGAAGATGCTCTTCGAGACCTTCAATTCATCCTCCAGCTTCCATCCGCCACTGAACTTGCCGGCCTCCCCAGACACTTACAACGAGCACTCCGAGCTCTTCATACCAACACGCATTTCCGTGTTCGAGGCCAACCAGATGTGACTCACACTCGAATTGGGACTCGACCAGGCGACCCATTCGCTGATGTGATCTTTGGCTACATGTTCTCTCGATTATTGGCAGTGGTCGAAGAGAAAATGGAAAACTTGGGCCTCCTGGAAACCTTTGAAGATGTGGATGTGCATGGCATGTTTCCTCAGGAGACCGATGCGCCATTGATCCACCACACGATGCTCGGGCCCACATGGATGGACGACCTATGTATATCCATCACCGCCGACACAGCGTGTGCTTTGGAGACAAAGGCTGGTCTAGCGACGGGCGTACTCCTGGAGACCTGCATGAATCATGGAGTAACACCAAATCTACAGAAAGGTAAGAGCGAAATTTTGCTCACCTTTCGTGGGCAAGGCTCCAGGGCGCTCAAGCAAAAGTACTTTGGACCTCAACAAGGCCAACGGCTTCATGTTGTGTCTGAGTATGGTATGCATGCCATCTCTGTGGTTGGCGAATACATCCACCTGGGCAACATGGCACACCACTCTGGCACTACCAGAAGGGAAATGAGACGACGGATTGCCATTGGCAATGGAGCTTTCAATCTTCATCGAAGACTGCTTTTTCAGAACAAAGACCTGACCGCCCAAAAGAGAGCAGAGCTTTTCATGTCTCTTGTTCACAGCAAAATCTCCTATGGCACAGAGTCTTGGGTTTTGGATGATGCCAAATCCAGGCAGTATTTCAATGGTGCTATTCTGCGCCTTTACAAGAGACTGCTGAAGCTGCCGCCTGACAGTCTCGTCCAACATGAAGAAGTGACTTCACAAGCACAACTCCCAGCTCCTGAGGATCTCCTTTGTGTGACCAGACTTCGCTATTTGGGCTTGCTATACAAATGTGAGCAAGTCACACCATGGGCTATCCTGCGTGCAGACACGGCATGGACGACTCTGCTGCGTGCAGATTTGCAGTGGCTTTGGCAACTGATCCGTGGCACCACCTCGCTTAGAGACCCTGCCACGCACTTCCAGGAATGGGAATATTTGCTCCGCTACCACAGAAGCTACTGGAAGACGCTGCTGCAGCGCGGAATGCATCTTGTACAACTCCATCGACAGGACCAACTCCTACTTCGACGGCTACATCATGACATCTTTGCGCATTTGGCACATTGGGGACCTCTGTCACATGCACCTGTCCGCCCCCACATTCCGGTTGAGAGGCAATATGGACATTATGGTTGCATGAAGTGCCAACTCAGGTGTCGTTCCAAAGCTGGCGAAGGAGCTCATCTTTTTAAAGTTCATGGAGTTGTTGCAAAAGAACGACGCTGGATGACCCATACAGCATGCAGCATCTGTCTCAAAGAATATCATTCCTTTGATAAATTGCAGGGGCATTTGCGATACTCAGAGTCATGCCGGCGTCAACTCAGCGCGAGACCTCCTTGCGGTGATCTTCAACCAGGCATTGGCTCGCGAGATAACAATGCACTACGTGCGCACCACGATGATCTACTTCCAGTTCAACAAGCGGAAGGACCTCGAGCCCTACCGCGACCTCCGGGAGAAGTAGACCTCCACCATGTTGCTCTATATGAACAGCTTGTGCTCATGATCTTTGACTTTCAGACCAACGACAGCCATGCACTGCGTACCGCCACTGTCGAGTGCATCGCCAGTCACGAGATTGGATGGACGCAGACACAGCTTACCCTGAACAAGATCAAGGATGAGCTGATCAATGCACCGCTCTATGATGCGATTGTTCCTCGAGACACAGTTTGTGCGGTCCTTTCAGAGCTTGCAGACCCAATCAACTGGAAGTTTCTTACGGAGATCACCTATGAAACGGCTAATGAAGATCATTTATATCATTTGGATCTCTACGAGCAGTGGTGCCAAGATTTGGCTTCCTCACCCACTCCTTGGCGACCAACGCTTCAATGCCCGCGTCCCAGGTTCTGGGAACGAGTGGTCTTACATGCCTACTCGGGCAGGCGTAGACCAGGGGATTTCCAATGGTATCTAGATGATCTGGGCAAACAAGGCAAGCTGGATGGCCTCTTTGTCGTGTCACTTGACATCGTCATCGACTCCACTTGGGGGGACATCAGCAATCCCACGACGCAGAAATTTTGGCTTCACGCGTTGCGCTCCGGACATGTGATTGGGTTCCTTTGTGGGCCGCCCTGCTGCACGTGGTCCACAGCACGCGGAAAGCAGTTGCAGCAACCGAAGAAGCGCGGTCCCCGTGTCATACGTGACCGGTCGGACCTATGGGGCTTTCACTCTGTATCACTTCGGGAAAAGCGGCAGCTCATGGACGGCCACCTACTTCTGGGATTCAGCTTGCATGCGATGATTCTGCTTTCGACAGTGCAAGGGAGTGGTGCCCTCGAGCATCCTGCAGAACCGAATGATGAGCAGGCAGCCAGCATATGGCGACTTCCGCTGATGCAATTCATTCTTAGCTTGCCTGGCTTTTCACATATTGAATTCGCGCAGGGTCTGTTAGGTGCTGACAGCACCAAGCGCACTGGGTTGTTGACACTCAACCTACCAGACCTGCCGCGGTATTTGCGTGCCAATGCGGTCTGTGCTCATTTGCCACGGGCACAAACCATTGGCACCGATGAGCATGGACAATTTCGCACGGCGAAATTGAAGGAGTATCCTCCCGCACTCTGCAAGGCCCTTGCGGAAGGATTTTTCTCCATTTTGGTCCCGTACAATGCTACGGAAGAGACATCTCACGTGCCGGACGATTTTCTGACCCGATGCGCACAGATGGTATGCACCAACATGGGCAGCCACATTGGGGCAGACTATGCAGGCCGCTGAATGTCTGGCAAAGACCTGAATTTGCTATGCAATCTGCCGCAGCGTGTGAGCGCTTCTGAGTGCAGTCAGACAAAAAAATAGTTTTGGGTGTTTTGGATGGATTGGAACTTTAAAACCATTCCGATCTGAAAGTCATTGTGTTTCCTGTGGAAAAACATGCTTGCCGTGAATGTCTCGTTGCCAAGTGGCAAGAGGAAAACTTTGTCGCTTGAGCAAGGCTCTACCGTTGGCGACCTAAAGATTTTGACCCAGAAATCTTTCGGACAGGGGTTCCTGAGACTGGTTACAGAAGAAGGACGTATGCTGACCGACCTTATGGAGACTTTGCCATCTGCGATTCAAGACGGAAAGCACCTAACAGCCATTGCCCAGCAACCAAAGCTGGCGGCATCATGCTACGCTTTTGCCATGTGGTGCTGTGGAGGTGACAGAGTTGTGACTTGGGGATGTCCAACTGTTGGTGGTGACAGCTCCGCAGTTCGAGATCAGTTGAGGAACGTGCAACAAATTCAGGCCACATGTGGTGCATTTGCTGCCATTTTGGCCACTGGATCAGTTGTTACGTGGGGCGATCAAAAGAGTGGTGGTGACAGCTCTGCAGTTCAACATCAGTTGAGGAATGTGCAACAAATTCAGGCCAGTTCTGAAGCATTTGCTGCCATCTTGACCGATGGGTCAGTTGTTACGTGGGGCGTTCAAGAGACTGGTGGTGACAGCTCTGCAGTTCGACATCAGTTGAGGAACGTGCAACAAATTCAGGCCAGTAATCGAGCATTTGCTGCCATCTTGACCGATGGGTCAGTTGTTACGTGGGGCGATCAAACATATGGTGCTGACAGCTCTGCAGTTCAACATCAGTTGAGGAATGTGCAACAAATTCAGGCCAGTTCTGAAGCATTTGCTGCCATCTTGACCGATGGGTCAGTTGTTACGTGGGGCGTTCAAGAGACTGGTGGTGACAGCTCTGCAGTTCGACATCAGTTGAGGAACGTGCAACAAATTCAGGCCAGTAATCGAGCATTTGCTGCCATCTTGACCGATGGGTCAGTTGTTACGTGGGGCGATCAAACATATGGTGCTGACAGCTCTGCAGTTCAACATCAGTTGAGGAATGTGCAACAAATTCAGGCCAGTTCTGCAGCATTTGCTGCCATCTTGACCGATGAGTCAGTTGTTACGTGGGGCTATCAAACAGATGGTGGTGATAGCTCTGCAGTTCAACATCAGTTGAGGAACGTGCAACAAATTCAGGCTGCAGCTTGTGCATTCGCCGCCATTTTGGCCGATGGGTCAGTTGTTACGTGGGGCGATCAAACAGATGGTGGTGACAGCTCGGCGGTACAAGATCAGTTGAGGAACAACAAATTGAGGCCACAGCTGGCGCATTTGCTGCCATCTTGGCAGACCGGTCAGTTGTTACGTGGGGTGAACAAGAGTTTGGTGCTGACAGCTCCGCAGTTCAAGGTCAGTTGAGGAACGTGCAACAAATCCGGGCCAACCTGGATGCATTTGCTGCCATCTTGGCCGATGGGTCAGTTGTTACGTGGGGCGACCAAAGCAACGGCGGTGACAGCTCTGCAGTTCAAGGTCAGTTGAGGAATGTGCAAGAAGTTTACTCCGCAAATTATGAGGGCGGCGGAGCTTCCGATGCTTTTGTTGCTGTCTTGGGCGATGGTTCCGTGGTGTCTTGGGGTGATCCAAGCAACAGTGAGGTCAACTTGGCAGTTGCAGATCAGATCCTGTATTTGTAGTTTGCTTGCTGCAATAGCCGAGAATCAGCCTGAAAGAAGTGACGAATGAACTTCCTAAGGATTCAGTGGTATACCTGCTGCAGTATCAAAGAGTACAGTTGGCCAAAACATGTACAGACTATAAAGATAACATACACACTATCTGCTTCCCGCAGCCCAAGAAGTCACCTGTGACTTGCCTGAAACCGAAATGGGCATAGCTCCTGGAGTATCAACCATCGCCACTGGAGAAAAATAAATTATATCAATGCACATCATAGCCACAATATCACTAATCTATCTATCTATCTATCCATCCATCCATCCATCTATCTATCTATCTATTTATCTATCTATCTATCTATAATTTAATTTGATATACTATAACATCTATCTCTATAATATAATTTGATACAATATAACATTATATATTATTATATATAATATGATATCATATTATATTAAATTATATCATATTATATTGTGTTATATCTGTATTTTACCTCAATTATAATTATTCATATCAGATTCATATGTTGCAATTCACGTCGAGAGATATGATCCATGGAACTAGCGCACATTTTCTAATTTGAAGAGTTGTTGGATCCAGAGTCCATCTATTGTATTGGTCTGAGTGATCTTTTATTTGGCGCCCTCTACGCGGCTAACACGGCTAACCCGGCTTCTTCGCTTTGTGAAGATAAGGTCAGCATTCCATCATGATTTCCCCATGGATTTATGGAATGGTGATACGAATATTCCTGCATTTTTTCCATATTACTAATACTATAGGAAAACAACCATCAATACTCCCCATCACAATAATATTAGGGGATTGTTGATGGTTCCTATAATTGGAGTTTGTGAATCATTTACTGTACCCATATTCCATCATCATTTCCTATGGATTCAATGGGAACTTCAGGATCCAATACATGGAGGTACGTTAGTACCATATGTTTGGCCATATTTTCTGGTGATATTCACTTACATAGGCCTTATATAGGCCTTATATATGGTAGGTCCTGGAAGGTCCCTCCATTTTAGGATCCTCAAATTCCCATTGGATGGAAGCCATGGACGTTCCACACCGGGAGGCGGCCGCCGAGCTCTACGAGAGCATCGATGCAGCGCGCGAAGCGGTGAATTGTTACATCGCTGGAGAGGTGTGGATCCTGGTTCTTACGGGGACCCCGTTGGATGGCGTTCTGGGTCCCGTTGGGTGGCTGAATTCTATGGTTTATGGTACCATCTGGTTATTTAACATAGCCATGGAAAATCACCATTTTTGATAGGTAAACCATCTATTTCTATGGGCCATTTTCCATGGCTATGTTAAATAACCAGATGGTAGATATAGCCTACGTCTATGTGGAAAAGCCATTGGGAAATAAGCCATGGGAAAAGCGGGGTTTTCCCTCTGGAAAATGATCGACCCAGTCGAAAATAGTGTATTTAGCCATGAATAGCATGGTGGATCTTTCCATAGTTCTGTGACAGTTTACCAGAGGGTAACGAATTAGATCAGGGAAACCAGTGATGGGAAAAGTGATGGAACTAAATTGTGGATTCTCCGGCAAACCATGTGTGATTCCTTCTAGTCATGGGAAAAGTGATGGACAAAAACTATAGGAACATATTATGGGAAACACCACTATAACATACTACAACATCAGAGGTTTCGTTCGCGAAAAGTCATCGAACGCTGGTGGATTTTCCAGCACTCTGGTAATGACTGCGGAGATTTCATGGGGAAAATCCATGGGACTGTAGCCTCTGAGCTATGGAAAAAGGTCCATTTATAGATGGTTTACCGAACTTGAACATGGTGGATTTTCCATGGCAAACTGTTAGTCATAATCAGATGGTATATAAATCCCTTAACATGGATGTGGATGGTTAACCAGATGGTATATAAATCATAACCAGATGGTATATAAATCCCTTAACATGGATGATTTTCCATGTTCATGTTCACTGACGAGAGGGTCATGGCCAGTCATGGCACCAAAACCAGGACTGGGGTCAACTCAATGAACTCTGATGGGTGCTTTGGAACATGACTTTTACACGAGTTTGGGGTTGGTTTATAAGTGGCTGAATTCTATGGTTTATGGTAGATATAACTATAGTATACTATAGTTAATGAGGCTTAGCAGTTTGATATACTCATTGGTGCTTTGGAACATTTTTTTTATTTTCCCCAATAGCTGGGATGATGATCCAATCTGACGAACTCATATTTTTCGGAGTAGGTATACCACCAACCAGTCATCTACTGGAATGGTTTTTTTGTCCCCGATCTTCAAGATCATCCTGCAAAAAAATGGCCAACCCGCAGGTAGGTCACCAGCCCAGTTGAATGTTTGGGTGGCCACTCAACTGGGCCTTGAATCCCCCGAAAAAATAGGTGGTGGAATGGGAGGATTTCACGCGTGATACCCTCTGGTAATTTAACATGGCTATTGAAAATGGCCATAGAAATAGTGAGTTTTCCCATTAAAAATGGTGATTTTCCATAGTTATGTTAGTTTACCAGAGGGTAAAACATGAACTCAAAAATAAAACCAACCTGGGATCTGGGGATGTAATGACATTAACAATGGCAAAAAATAGGTAGCTCATCCACAACTGGATCGTCTTCCACGGCAAACCACGTTGGAATACCTTTTTCGGAACCCCCCCGTTGGAATTGATGTCATTCTCAAAAAGATTCTGAACGTGATTAGAATTTACCACTATTTGAATACAGTCATTTGCCACACAATAAATATATACCATCATTTACCCATATAGTCATCCTCAACTATTTTAATAGGACTTTTTCTTTTCTATCTTTTTGGGTTTTGCTGCAAATGTCTCCACATTTAAGTTATAATGATAAAAATAAAAACGGATACACATAGACTATCCACATTCGTATATAGCCATTTGTCTCCACATAGTTTAATTATATATTGCTATTTGTCACATGAATGCTTAAAAGCCTTATACCCTCCGGTAATCAGCTCCATGGCTTGCTGGAAAATCCACCATGATTTTCCCAGCGTTTTTGAACCTCCATGGCTACTTTGGGGATTTTCCGTTGCCAGTTGTAAGTTGGTTTATAACATTTTATAGCCCCCATCATAGTATAATATATATATATAATATATTCGTATATTAACTATAAAGCCTAGTGAAATTGGAGTTATTTGCACCAACATAGCTATCTAAATCAAGGGGCCCAACCCTCCCGTCGAACTGGCGCTAGGTTTGGGACAAGGCACGGATGTTGGCGCAGCAGATGGCCCCGGACATGGTCCGCCTGGTGGAAGATCGGTGCGCCGGAGAGCGGCGGTGGTGGTGGTGGTGGTGGGATGAAGAGGTGAAAATCCTATTGAATTCATGGAATTTTCATGTTTTTTTTCTATGGGAATGGGAATTTTACGGGAATTTCTAAGGTTTTTTTTTTGGACAGATCATATTGGGAATATCATTGATGTAATCTGACCATCTAAGATTTTGCGGTTTGGGAACATGCTCCATTTAGTTCGATGATTTAAATCGAAACTGGCGATTTCCATGGCTGCGCTGTACCAGGGGGCAATAATTCTAAAGTCATCTACTCATGGGGATAATTAGTTTGCCTTTCAATGGAGTATTAGTGGAGGTACACGGTAACTATATTAAGATATATTAACCATTTAGGGGGATAAAACCAGACTCTTTTGGGGATATTTCATGGGATAGAATATGAGTTATCAATAGGATATATTGAACAATGGGGGTACAAATGAGATATACCTGAAATATCATGACCAACCGGGATATTAGCATGTCCAACGTTGTTAAACATAGTGAATAGGGACAAGTTTGATCATGAACAAAAGGATGTAATGATATGTGATGCGATTGGAGAGATCCCACGAATGATGCAACAGTGAAAGATGGGGATATCAAACGCATCAACATGGAAATTCATCAAGGTGTTGGAAGTTTGACTACAATCCCCAGTCTTTCCATGTTTCAAATGATCTTTCCAATGTTGGTTATCAGTGGATCACCAGATCACGTCTTGGACGATGGGAATCCCAGCTGTGAGATCTATGGAAATCTCTATAAGTCTCTTTGTGCAAAGATCAAGGGTTGATGGTAGGTATAACTATAAATCATACCCTCTGGTAAACTAACATAGCTATTGAAAATCACCATTTTTAATGGGAAAACTCACTATTTCTATGGCAATTTTCAATAGCTATTTTGACATAACCAGAGGGTAGAGATTAAGCTTTGGCAGGATCAAATCTTTGGGTTCCTGTATTTTTTTTCCAAATGAATCGATGTTTCTCAGCCGATAGCTGACTCAGTTCATCGAAGTTTGGCGGTGAGGGCTCTATGGATGAGCCAAGCCAGCCAAGCGCTGTGATCAACGCTTGCAGATCAATGGACATTGGCTATCCTAGTCCTAATATGTCCTAATCAGTTGATGCTTCATTCTATCAATCTAGCAACTGTGCCAGTTGCTTTAAGTCTTCCAAATCTATGAAGCTGGTGCATGTCTGTTACCGCAAACGCGGTAAAAATGGGCGCGGAACCAATCTAGGTGTGCCGACATCAGCCAGGTACAAATCGGAGCTGGTCAACAAAGGCCCGCGGAAATGGTTTTTGACCCAGAGACTCAATACCTACAATTTCTGATACTTACCAAACAATCAACAATCAAGGTAACCAACCATAAGAGATATTTTTTTATGGCTCTATGACTGAATATGATTATCCCTTGCTTCGGCTGAGAAATCTGGGTTTTGTGACCTTACCCAGATCCCCATATCGTCCCCTGATGTTTAAAGTCCTCAAAATCTGGGGCGTCCATGTCGGACAATCTTTGATGATTCTCAAAGTAACAAAAGATGCAATGTTGAAAACCCAAACCATAAAGCATCCTCAACTGGGAAATATATTGTTTTTTAGATTGGTAGCCATCAAAAACTTGGGCTTTATGAGGCTCGCCACAGAACAGGAGATGGCGACGAACTCATCCGACGCACCGGCGATGTGGACAGTGCGTTCGGGCGCCCTTTAGAGCGAGCGCTGCCTGGGAAAAATGTTCTCAACCCCACTTGGAAAAATTGATGGCTTGCTGGAAAATGGACCATTTGTAGATGATTTTGGCCATATTTTACCATTTTCAATTTATATATATATATATAAATCATTTAAATGCCCATTGAGTTTGGAGCTTTAGATAGTCACATTTGAATTTTGATTACAGGATATCAGTATTTTCCCCCTTTGATCAATTCTTCACTGAAGATTCCACGAGTCCCTGAGGCTGGACATGTACGCGCGCAACGGCGACTGGACAAAGTGCCTCTCGCTGGCGGAGAAACAAAGCCCCAAGATGCTGCCGCATTACCTGGTGCCTGGATGGGATGGATCGAGTGGTTGTTGGGCGCATGAGATGGGTCTGAAAATTGGGGATACCCTCTGGTAATTTAACGTAGCTATTGAAAATGGCCATTTATAGTGGTTTTTCCAATTGATAATGGTGATTTTCAATAGCTATGTTAGTTTACCAGAGGGTATGCACATTTATAGCCAGGTTTTCGAACATGAGGCTCTAATAAAAAAATGAGGCTCTAATTCCATTGGAACTGTGGGAATGGGATCATACGATACAGGATTGGATGAAGATCCCACTAGGAAACTAGTTACTGTACTCGAGCTGGCGCCGGATGATGAGAAGAGAATGGTACCCCCACAAACATGGGGATGGACGGCTCTGTGCATATGCATATATATATATCATCGTAATTAGTAGTGAGAATGATTGATGATAATGATAATGATATCTAGAATATTATATATATGCAGTACGTTCATATAACATATTCTGTACATATATATATATATACACTATATATATACACTATATATATACTATATATATACGCTCTCTCTCTATATATATATATTGTATATACACGCTATATATATATACACGCTATATATATATACACTATATATATACACGCTATATATATATATACACTATATATATAGTATATATATAGTATATATATAGTATATATATAGTATATATATAGTATATATATAGTATATATATAGTATATATATATATAGTATATCTATAGTATATATATAGTATACATATAGTGTATATATATATATACATATATATAGTATATATAGAGTATATATATAGTATATATACACACTATACACACCATATATAATATACATACTATACATATACACTATATATACGATATATATAGTATTTATATAGTATTTATATAGTATTTATATAGTATATATAGTATATATATAGTATATATATACTATAAAAATACTATATAAATACTATATATATTAATATTATATATATATATGTATACTATATAATTAGATACTATATAATTAGATACTATTTATTTATATACGATATATATATACACTCTATAAATATACATATATAATATACACATTTACCTGCACCTGAAACTCCGGCAACCTGAACCTGACTTGATGCTGGCCTGGCTGCCAGTCATTCGTTGATACGATTGACATACAGTCAGTACATTACATTAGTCATATCATATCAATAAATTGTGGATAGCAACTGACAGAACCAACCCTTCATTCTTACATGTCGTTTTTTGCTTCTAGCTTTTCTTGCTCCCCATTCGGGACTCCAATTACTGAGATTTTTCACCACAACGGCAGATCCTTAAGGTGCAATACTGCAAGATCCTTGCGAACAAGGGTGACAACTTAGAGGCCGCCAGTGGGAAGATGGCCACCCGTTTCAAGGGTTTGCGACGCTCAGACCGAGAAATTCGCTGATATGAAATCCACAGAAATCCACAGAGTTGATGTTTTTTTTTTTTAAAGCCATTTAAGTCTAGACTTATGAGTTTGATGATCCCCAGTTTTTTTGGATCAACTCATCCTAGATGTTCCAACTGGAAGTTCCTCGACGAACTTTCCCAGGCCTGTCAGATGTTGGTGCGCTATGGGCCACCGCCGGAACCCTCCAATTTTCAGCTCTACAAGGTGCGGGACTCCGGGACCAAGATCGTCTCCAATGCAAGAACGGGGGGTCGCACTATGGTATTTAAATTTAATAGTATATACAAGTATCTACAATTGTAATAGCATCTACTTATGACAACTATGGCACGCACCTAGTAGTATATATATAATTATATCTTATTATTTATATAAAGATACCTACTGTACGCGATGCATCTCCAGTATATGACCCTCACGACACCAGGTCATCCACACGGACCTCTTGCGCCTTGGTGTCGGGACGGGACATCGAAGATGAAAATGACGGGGTTATAAGTTGGGATACCCTGTGAAAAATGATGATTTAATGGTATTTACCTATGAAAAAGGGTGACTACATAAATTGGCTATCTGAATTTTGGTATCATCACTGCTCAAAAGCATAATTCTCCCATATTCTCCCTATCTAATTTGAATTTAGGGAATAATTTATACCTCCGGTTTCATCAAATCTGGCGATGGAAACTCCAGGTTTTAATCACTTGATGGTTTTTTTCCAGCCCATGTTAAATTACCGGAGGGGATCTGAAATTTGGGAATAGATGTTGTGATATGGAATCCCCATGAATACTGTGGGATAAAATGAGGATATCTATAGGTATATTGTATTCATGGGGATGTGACCAAGCATGTGTTTATTGGGGGTGTTTGATATATGTATATATATATATGTATATATATACAAATATATTTGTACATATATATATATATGTTTGTTTATATTTATATATCATTTACATGTGACCATGATACACATGACATACCTATGCCTCAATTAACCACGATTTTGGCATCTTTGCATTGAGGCTCAACCACATGTCCACCACATGTGTGCTGGTTTCACTTGGTTGATGAAAAACAAGGGCTGCCTCTGATTTGCGGCAGAACGATTCTGCATTTTTCGATTTCTATCCCCCAAATGACTGGAGAGTAAAACACCCTCAACACAAAGTAAACATTTTGGAGAGTGATCAGAGTAGTTGTAGCGGAAAATGGATACATGGCGCAGTTTTTTCCTTTTTGGGCTCTTACAACCATACTGAACCATTGCTGTCAATTTGAATTTTGCCAGTTTCCTTCATCTCCAATTCTGCTGCTGAACTTCCAATCCGTGTTCCTTAAACTTCCTTGACTACCATTCTTGATATGGATGACCTTCATTCAAATTCCCATGTCACACTCCTGCCGAGAAAACCATGGCCAAAGATATGATTCTATGATCCATCAAGAAAGTCTTCCCTAAAGATCACCAAACAGGTTTTCCCAATGTACATCCCAGTTGCCCCCTTCCCACCTTCCAGCCATTTCCAGCCCCCCAGGGCCGGCACGGACGTTTCTGGAGCTTCCTTGGTGCGGGAGATGCTGTTGAGAGTGATGACGCCCCCGGGGGCCCTGGGAGGCGCCGACAGCGGATGGTGTTTGGCGAGTTGGGTTTGCCACATTGCCTGCTGGTGTCCAATACCCTCTGGTAATTTAACATAGTTGAACATGGCCATTTATAGTGGATTTTCCCATTGAAAATGGTGATTTTCCATTTATGTTAGTTTACCAGAGGTAACTATGGTTTTTGTTGGTGATATATCCAACCAGTTAATGGGATTATAACCCATTTATAACTGGGAGGACCCGTTTTTGCTCATGGTGTAGATGTTTGTTTTTCTTACGATGAGCAATGCTGTATCACTTGTTCCATACTTTTTGGTGATGTTCAACATGCACTTGTTTTTTTTTTAAATCCTTCATTTGTTTTAAATGCCCCTGGCCACCTTGGCCTTTAGATTCTGGAAAAGAACCACTTTTTTGTTTTGCATATGGAGACATTCGTTTGGGGATATTGATTAACATTTGAGTCTGGTTCTCATGTTTCGTCCAAAGAATTTGACATAGATGAAGTTGGCAACCCTGATTATGATGAATCTTTAACCCACTCAGTTGTGTTGGTCAAAGCCACATTGTCTGCCGTTCAAAATGTCCATGTTTGTGCGTCAACCCCTATCCCGTATATAACACATCTATAGGTTTTGCTGCTTAGATACATTTTCTGTGAAATGAAACTGATCCACATGTTGACTGGTATCGCCTAATTCGCTCCATATCAACATTTGGATTAGTCACGTCGAAAGTGCCTAAAGGCGTAAACCCTCCGGTAAACTCTCCGGTAAACTAACTATAGCGAAGCCATGGCCCAGTTCTAGATGATGTACTGTACCTTTTTCAAAAGTGGTGATTTTCCAGTTTGTTCTGTAAGTTTACCGGAGGGTAAGCATCATAAAAATGGCCCAACATGGAATTATAGGTAATATAAAGATAAATTATAGATAATCATCTATAAATGGGTACATTCCATGGGCTTATAAATGACTGGTTGGTGGTTTCAAACATTTTTTATTTTCCATTTCATATATGGGATGTCATCCTTCCCATTGACGAAATCATATTTTTCAGAGGGGTAGGTATACCACCAACCAGTTATAATTCTAATTGTTAGAAAAACTTATAAATCAACTTAGCTAATGCGGTACATTCCATGGGCTTTCTTTATGATTTCTATTACCCTCTGGTAAACATTCACATAACTATGGAAAGATCCACCATGCTATTAATGGGTAAATCCACTATTTCTATGCCCATTTTCAATAGCTATGTTAGTTTACCAGAGGGTAACATCCCATTAAAATCACCATTTTGTTGGTTAAACCCCATTAAACCACCATTAAACCACCATTTTCCTATGGTTAAAGATGTTGATTTCCATCGCTTTTTTGTTACACCACCAGCCTCTCTGCAGCACCTCCAACTCCTGCGGCCTTGGCGGAAGATCGTCGACCCCAAGCGGAGTTCCTCAAGGCGGGGAAGTTTCCCATGGGGATTTACACCCGAAACCGTTGTTAAATGGGGATATAAAACCAACATAAAACCAACAAGAATGGGGATGTTCATATTCAATGGTGATATATATATATATAACAGAATATATTTTAATACATAGTATAACCAATATATATATAATTATATATAACGTTATAATACATTGTATAACCAACAATTACATATTGGAAGTGGAATGACTGCCATCCGAGACATCATCCCATAGCCCCATCGAAATAGTGCCAGTCAATGTAACATCATATACCCTCTGGTAATTTAACGTAGCTATTGAAAATGGCCATAGAAATAGTGGATTTGCCCATTAATAGCATGGTGATTTTCCATAGTTATGTGAAAGTTTACCAGAGGGTAAGCTTTAAAACATGTTGTTGCATTCTTAGGTTTACCGCATGATTGCATGATGAAATCAATTGCTCCATCGAATGGTAAAAGTGATCATTTTTTCCTATTTACGTGGCAAGAAATTAGGCTGTCCCAGAATTTTGAGATGCACACAATTACTCATTAATT